TGACCAAGATCTAAGAAAAAACCTCTAATAACGATCTTCTCTTCGCTTTGTTGCGTGAGACATTTTTTAACCTTGAAAAACAACAAAACTTAGGCGTTACAGATAACCTTTTCACTTCGATTTTTTAACTCAAAGGCATTCGTCCTTAAAAGCATTACCGCAAAAATGTGCAAATCGAAGGTTTTTTGTCTGCTTGATGAAAAGAATCAGAAAAACCCAACCCACAATTTACAATAAGCTGCTTGAAAACAATGTAGTTGTCATCAGATTTTCTCTGCTATTGTTAAAACTATATTTGATTATTTTTGTTGGGGTTATCAATTATCATTGCTTAAATGATATTAAAACAATAAGGGATTGAAGATAAAGGTAAGATGTTCCTTAAACGCACCAAAGTATATAATAGAAAGTGTAGGAAAGTTGGCCAACATTTTCTTTAAGGGAGAAACACTTTTTTCATTGGATCATCGTTTAGTCGAAGCAAAATACCATCAAGATATTGATGTAAAGCAGAATTTTTTCCTTTAATTGTTTATGTAGAACTAAGCAATTAATTCGATCCGGATCTTTGTTCCTCCGTAAAAGATACACTCTGCACCATGATCGAAAATTCATTACCACGTCCAAATCTCAGTTCCTCAAGAGCTGTGGTTGGAAAATGAAGAACCAATTGTTTAGATACCAATTCTGCGGAAAATAAATTGACTTTTTGTGGTTTGAAATTTTTTACCCGCAAACTGGTGCCCTTTCTTTGAGAGGTAAAATTGACATCGGATAGAACTCATGAAAACACCCACAACAAAAGAAGTAAAACAAAGAATATCTCGCTGGGCGAGGTAGATTGCTTGTATCGGAAATGTTACAAACAACAACTAACAAATATAATTAATAACAAGTACTCACATACCATCACAGTATATTATCATCGCGATGTGAAACGCTCGCTGAGTCTAAAATTTGAGCATCCTTTGCTAAAAAGGTTGATCGAAATTCTATGAAGAAAATAAAAACTATCTAGTTTGAAAAATATTGTGATATCAGAATTTAAGACGATGTACTGATGGAAAAAAATCCTGAAAACTACAAGTAGCTTTTCACTTTAGCTCTGCACGTGCCAAACGGACCTCACTCACTCTCCACGCTTTTCATCGATAGACAATTTACAAGCAAAAGTGTTTGTTTATCGACAGCAGCTCTCGCTAAATTTGTAAAAGATGATTGCTCCGAACCTTCCGTTTATTAGAATGTGGCTTGGCATTATATTTGATGTATGAAAAGTTTTAAAACTTAAACTTTACCGCAGAGGGTGATTCCAGCGTAGAGAATCACGATAGTTTTCGTGTTTAAACTTTTGAATTTTTTCCCCTTTTAACGGAAGATCATCTAAGGACTTGACTGACTCTGAACAGAAGTGAAAGAAATGTGAACAGTGCCCTTTCATCACATTAGTAAGCTTAGAATTGTGATAATGATGTTTTCAACTAAGGGTACGGATATCATCTACAGTTTCCAAGCCTTCTTGATGAACTGTTGCAAATTGGAGTTTCAGAATGATTTACTCCGTTTTAAAAGAGTTTTCGTCAATTTTTGTCGACTATCTTCGCCTTACAGTTTTAGGTACTCGCCTTAAAGATTCTCTAGTTTTATTAATTCTGGGGCACTCTGGTGATCAAATAAATGTTTGGAGGAGAACTTTCGATAGATGTTTCGTGATATGGAAGTCGGGTATTACAGAGTGGTTAGCTCTATTTTTTCAAGGGTCTTCGTCACTTTTGTCGACAAACTTAAATATGAACTTTTTAGATACTTGCCTTAAATATTCCCTCACGTAACTAAATCTAGGATTCTCTGAGGATCCAATAACCGCTTGGAGGACAAAGAAAACTTTCGACTGATGTTTCGCGATATGGAATAGTCAGCTTTACTGAAAATATAACCCGCAATTAATATGTCAGTTCAGCCTCGCGTCTCAAATAAAACCATTCGACCCACTAATAACACGTGTTTTGTTGTTCAAACGCTATAGTATTGAAAGGTTCTGCGTGTATATTTATGTAATTAAAAGACAGTTAGTCGTTCTTAACGACGTGCAGATATTAGCCAATACTTATATGTAAGGCAAGCTGCTGAATATCAGTTTGGTAAATAGAAACTTTAAGTTAATATTTTTGCCCCTTTTGAAAAGGGGCAAAACTATTAACTTAAGGAAGAGAAAAAATGGAAATTAGGAGCAAAGTTTAAGACAGTGAAGATTGTCACGGCTAACTCACACGGAAAAAAACTAGGCTAATTTTGTTTTAGATGCACAAACCCTGTTGCACTCGCGAGAGTAGCAATTACATATATGGGGAATGTGAAAAGTCCGTCTTCCCCGCCCAAAACAAGAACTCTATAGGAATCAAAACAACAAGAACTGAAGAACCACTTTAAAAAACAAGTGTGTAATTCGTGTAAAAACATTGTAGACTTACAGATCAAAAGCAAAACGTCACAAGTCCTATAAAAATTCTGCTCACGTTTTTATGCCAAAATTACGGTAAAACCAAGTAAAAATGCTATCGGAATTTTATTGTATGTCTTTTGATCTAGCGTGACCTTGATCAAGTGCAAGAGCTTTAGTTTTTAGTGGACTCATATCATTAGCAGTCAATGACACGTTACTGTGATATAATATGTATAGAGCAATTGAACAATGTTGTTTGTGAAAACAGTATCGAGACTTGATCGTGATTCAATTGGCAGGTGCTTTTCACTTCATTTTGAGGACAGATATCTTCAGGATTCCTGTTTAAAAAATACCTTAGTAAACTATGGTCGAAAGAACCGTGGTCACAAAGATACAAATAGCTCCAATGAAAACTCAAGCCGTGCCTTCACTGTAAAAAAGGCAAATGTTATAAGCAAGAATTCTGGAAAATCAGAAAGACAGCAAACTATTAGCAAGATTTCGTGATGTCTCTCTAATCAGTAAAAGATCATAGTATATCCAAAAATACACATGGCATTATCCCATCATAAAATGACACTTAAGATCTCTTAAACAGGAAGTTAGCTTTAGGTCTCGACATTAAGACTAGACAAAAGCAGTGTCTCTAAACATCACCATCCCTGACTGAAAAGACTTTGATTGAACGAAACGATCTATCATGCACGCGTTTGAATTTAAGTTTGTGGTGCTAAACAGAAGATTACAACCTAGGGCATAGGCTTCTGTCCTAAATGAATAATTAAAGGCCTTAGATTTCAACTTCTATCACTGTTTTGTTACAAATAAGGATTTCAGACCTTAGATAAAGCATCAGTTTAGTGAGAAGCTGAAACAACTGTGCGGTTTAACTTGTGTTGGCGAATGATCACTGATAGTTTGTTTTGAAAACAATCTTGGAATATTACACCATATTACCTGCTGTGAGTGAAGTAAGACTGAAGATATTTGAAGGACGGTTACTGTCACTTGGATCAATTTCTAAAACCCTTTCGCTACTACGAAAGACAAAGAAGCAATTTTTCCTCACCGCATCAGTCGATATATTATCTAAAAAACAGGTGACGAGAAGTGTAAAAAATATCAACTACGGGAAAACGTCTGATTTAACATCTAATTCTCAGAAATAACATTGACATAATTGTATTATGTGCTATAAAAAAATATTATCACTGAGACCTTTGGTTGAAGCTGGTGCGTCACGATATTTTTAGTCGTTTTTAACGACAAGCAAAGCTACTTTCACCTTGTGAGAAATTAAAAAATAGGATAAAAGAGATTGATAGGATTACAAACGACTACAAAATGCTAAATATTATTTGGATGAGTACAGTAAGATGGAGTAAAACTTAAAGAAGGTCACACCGGCCAAGATGGATAGCTAAGAATGAAGAGGGTTGATACACTTTCAGTGAAGATAAATTCAAAATATTAGTAATGTGAGATAGAAACACAGGTAAAAGGAAATGATAAAAGCAAGAAGGAATAAGGAGGGTTTAGGATGAAGGTTAAAACGGATTATAAATGACTACAAAATGAGAATGAAGCGTGATAGAAAAACACTTCTGAGACAATAACAAACCCGGGAAGGAAGAAGATTACCACAGATTAAAGATGACTTCAAAAAATATTTGTTGAAAAAATAGAAAAACACTCATTTGGCACTTAGAAACAGGTGAGGAACAAAGATGGCTGAGGATGGAGGAGATAATAAAGGATTACAAATGACAAACCGTAAAAAAAATTAGATCAAACTTTTAGGTTGCGCACACCTATGCATACTCCTTTGTTTTGGGTTCAGGGGCCCGTTTCTCGAAAGTCCCAGTAACTTAATGGGCTCGAAACCATATCTTAAAATCAAAATTTAAAGAAAGTAGAGCAGGAGGTTCTGCTTTCCTAACCACTCCATTCTGTTTCTTTAGCGGGTATTTTCATTTTGTAATTTTCAAAACTTTTGAAAACCCCATCTGGAACGAAAACAGAAAAGCTTTACGGGGCCCGTCTTAAAGGCTTTTTCTGGCGCCATTTACCAAGGCTTATCAGCAATTAATGACTGCGATCATTGAAAAGCATAAAGGAAGCCATCCAGAACAGAATGGCAGTTACAATTTTCCGAAAAGATGTTGTTTTCAGAGTAGATATCAGCACAAAGCGCAAATCTGTTCCAAATGAAAAATACCCATACAAAAACAGTTGCAACTTAGAAAATTTATTTTGCAAACCTGTATCCCTTTTCATAGAGATTGTCTATTTGGGGGAATGAAAGCCTCTTTAAAAGCGCGTGCAACTGTACAAGTGTGCGTAGGTCCGTGATAGCTTGCGCAATGTACCATTGTAGCGCGCGTGCATTTCAAACTGGATCAACGCAAGCCATACAGCGCGTCACAATGCGAAGTTCTCAACGGAAAAACAAAAATCAAAAGCGAATCATCTATGAGAAAGTCAATTACCTTGAAGTCTTAATAACTTAACTAAGAGCCTTTGCTTCTGGAGAGCCCCAATCCATAAGTTCAGAATGAGCTGGGCTAGAGACGAATGGAAACTTGATTTACCCAACACAGCGCTAAGAAAGATTTCCGAGCTTGAAAACGATGTGGAAAATTTGCGAAAGAGCAAACAACAACAGCAGTTGCAACTGGAAACCGTGTCAAACTCTCTGCAGAAACAAAAGCAACTAAACGCAGAGGAAAAAGCTGGAAATTCCAGTCTGAGACGTGAGATACAAGAACTTACACGAAAATGCTCCGACCTCGAAAACCAGGAAGAAAAATCGCAAATAGATCTTAAAGCGAAAGACAACAAGATCGGACTGCTTGAGGAACAGTTGCACAAAGCAAGAGAGAAGCTTAAGGACGAGGAAGATAAAAATTCCGAGATGCTGAACCAAGTTGATCAGCAAAAGTTAACCGCAGAAGTGATGGAAAATGAAATGGGACAGTTGGCTGTAGAGGTGGAACGGATAAACGAAACTAAAGCGCAGATGGTGAAAGACCTTGAGGGTATGTTTTTTGAAGATTCTGAAATCTCTGTTTTAAGTCTTTATGTTATTAAATGGACTGTTTTGAATCCTCACTGTATTAGCATAGCGGATAGAAATTGGGTTTTAAGGCGTTATATTATCGGAATATACTTATTTCAATCTGTATCAATATCTGCTGAAGAAAATCAAACCAGATCAAGCGTGGTAAGCATAAGTTGAAAGCACTTTTGCTCTGACGAAAAGCTAACGCTCAAAACGTCATCTTTATAAACAATTTGCGGTGGCCAATTCACATTATCAACTCATTTGATTAAAATCAAATTATCTGGTTGAAAAAAAAAAGTCCCGCGTAGGAAGAACAGAGCCAAACCAGACGAAAATTTCATGCGCTACGGACATACCATTAGCATTTTTTTATTGTGATTTTTTAAAACATGTACATTTGTAAAAATAGTTATTACCTGATATTTTCCTGTGTGAAAACACCGCTCCGAATGCAGTCAAACCTCTCAGTCGTAGAGTATAAAGCTATGTTTGGTTTGTCAGAAACTAGAGGGTCAGTTAATTGTTCCCAAGGAATTCCGTGGGCTTTTTCAACAATTTGGGCGCACTGAGGAATCGCGAAGGCCACAGAAATTTCCATATGGGAAGTGTGGCTCCACACCCTATAACCTTGGCACCTATGTATAGGAAAACGTCGGAAATATTTCATCTAAGTATTATTTGCTTCGGAGTATAGCTTTTCGGTTCCACAAGACAACAAACGTAGCACACACACAAAAAAAATGGACTGAACTGTTAATTTGCCTAGTCTATAAACTGTGTCCTAAATGTTTTGAAGAACTTGTTGATAATGGCGAAAGAAGATTCCGGATTTAAATTGCTCATTGTTCCCTTGCAAATCTTCTAAAATTGAGTTTTCAAAATATGAGTCGCCGGATGATTGAAGGAGTATTAAAAAACCTGTTTTAAACAACTTTTCCACTTTTAATTAAATTGAATGATCCGCTTAAAATTTTAACATTCCATTTTCCTGTTTTTGATTACATTAGTAACGCTTGCTTAGAAAGTTTGAGAACTGGTTTTAGTTTTCTGTAGAACCAGTGATCTGTACTATTTAAGACATTTTGGAGGTTTGAATTAATAACTTCTGATATAATGGGACAATGTATGCTTTTTATAGGAGTAATCCAGGTGGTCTTTAGAAGTATATTCCTTTCAGATAACGACATGATACTATCTTTGGGATTACTATCAGATAATTCTGACATTATCACATAAAACAGCCCGCTCATGAGGAATTTAGGAATTCTCGGTTCGGCTGAAATTAAACCATATACTTGTTGAAAGACTGACTCAGAGTTTTCAACAGATAGTCACGAGCGAATCTAGAGAGTTCGACGACTTTGGAGTTGCCATTTTTAAAGTTTTTGTAATTGCCGCATTTCGCCAAGGTATGGTGAAACGAGAGACCACTCGTGGCAGTTCTTGTAAAGCCACAAATATCGATTGAAAGATGTTTCTTTGAAAGATAAGATAGAAAACTTATAGGAAACCAGATAACTTCAACTACCATTGCCGCCAAGAAATTCCTTCTCTCCGAAAGTAAACGACATTCTCAAAACTTTTCCACCGACGTGGTTATTTCCGTTTATCAGTGTTCTTTGTAACAGATAAAATAAACGCAAAAAAAGAACACCTTTCCTTACCAGGACGAGCTTAGCGGTCTCCTCTATCAGTAGTAAGATTTCGACAACAAGAGCTTTGTTCTTATCCTATCGCAATCGAACTTCTGATAAACAAATTTTTGTTATCATACTGAGTACAGTACTTTTCAAAAAGCCCCTTGAGATTAATACCCATTAGTTAAGGATAAGGACAGCTTTATCTATAAAAAAGAAATCTCTGTATCTATTTACTGATCATGATATAAGCCGGCGAGGCGACATTTTGAATTTATCTCCTTCTGTAGAAAAATAATTTTTGCGTCTGAAGTCTTAAGTGGTGTCATTCAAAAGATATTCTTTGGGAAAATTCCTGAAGTTGTAAATAGACAAATTTTAGAAAAACATTCGGGCTTCGACGGGATTCGCGCCCGCACGTCTCAGATACTATTAAATCGGGCGCTTCTATCAACTGACTTACGGAGCTAAACGTTAGGAGCAAGGCAAATTTTAGTGCTTTCTTCTTTCCTTCAGGTGATTCTGATCTCAATTTTTAAATGAAATAAAATTTGCATGTCTCCAAACGTGTGGCTTTGTAGCTCAGTTGGTTTAAGAGCCCAACTAGTATCTAAGGGGGCATGGGTTCGAATCCCGTCGAAGCCCGAACAAAAGTTTTTCAGGCTTCCTTTCTGAAATTGCTTAAATTGCATTCCATCCACGAAGATGATTTTTTTGCTTGATCAGTTGCTAGTTGGAAACATAGCGTTTGTATCTGGGTAATGAGCGTAGTCTATCGACACCTCCCTCTTTCGAAGGCTAAATTTCACATTTTTCTTTTGATTCCGATCATTTTCTGTTAAAATTGTGAATTTGGATTAGGTGAGTGGACAAATCCGTCAGAATCCTGTGTTAGATCCCTTGTAAGAGTCTGAAAATATACTTGACGATTGACACTCCTTTATTGATCGCCCACGCAGGGCAGGGGAGCTTAACCCGAAGGATTTAATACCCCTCACTTCCGGGGACTGGGCATCTCCCACAAGAAAGCATCAGTCGCCTCGTCTGCGGTAAAAGACGCTCGATCTGTCCATGCGCAAGTAATTTTAACCGACACGCGTAAAGGTGAAAGGTCTCGCACGTCTACTCTCTCGAGCGAGTTTGCAGCATTCTTGACAAAAGCCTGACATGAAGAGTACAGCACGCCATCGTAGCGTCTATTTTAGGTATGCTATCGATGGAACGCACCAGAAAAAAGTTGAATTTTCACAAGTTAATCAGCATTTAGCATCCTACTACCAGAAAAATGCGATTAAACATGTATTGAGCCTGTTTGAGAGTTCGGAGATGTTAAATTGTTAATAGTTTCTGTCATAAGCCCATTTTAAATCGAAAAACATCGAATTTAAAACAGATAAGGCTGTTGTTAATGAGATTGTCTGGCATAAGAGAAAATTCTCGAAGCTTATTTTGGGCCGAATATCTTAGCTTTGCTGTACAAATCCTGTAAATCGGATAAAAGTGCTCGAAAATAGAAAGAGAAGAATAATTCCTTTCATTCACTCTCTGTGTACAGTTTGAATTTGAAAAATGTTGACATTGGATTGACTAATCATTAGTTGATAATTTGATAATTGAATTTTCAGTCCAGTTAAGTCCATAAACAGGATAAACCCAACGAAATCATAATCAAAATACTGTGGTGTGAGATAAAATACAAAAGTTAGCTTTTTCACGTTTACGTTTTCGTGAATATTATCACGTTCGTATCAATCGCGACTATAATATTGGAACGTGTCAATCAGCTATGTTCTGATACTTTGACGTTTATCGACCGACGTTTTTAATTAACCTTCGGTAATCATTTGTGCTAACGGAGAGTAAAATTAGTTAGAGTGAATAGGGAGTTCGAGTTGACAGAGTTAATTCGAGTTAGTTGATCGTAAATGACTGGAAAAATGGGGTCAAATGTAAAGCAAATCAGATCTTGTTCAGTTCGAGTCAGCGGGGGTTGGTGTCAAATGGATTCGAGTTAGCGGGGTTCCACAATTTTTCACAGGAAATTCTCTCTCACACGCCTAAGGTAGTGACAAGTTGTGCGGAAGGGGGAAGCCTGGAGGCAAAAAGGAGTGGAAACCATGAAAAAACGCAAACCACTATTGTGGGGCGTCGCGGCTTCGCGGTTTCTTTCTCGTGGCTTCTACACGCCGCACAACGTTTCAAAGTGCGCACAAAACCCTTACCGCCCGCCCGCTACGCAAGCTTAAATCCCAAGGAATCTGGGGCGTTAAAATTAATGCTCCAGTGAACATAATTCATCCATTCTTGACATCCAACCAGCAAACTTCATCTTGCTTGTTCGCTGAGTACGAATCTACGTAATTTGAAGTGACAACTCCTTGCGTAATCTTTTTAAGACTTTTCCTGTTCTTTGATGGATCGTAACTTCTACAACTTTGCGTTTTTTTCCGTGAAATTTCTTTAAAAAAATACAATGCTCAATTATTTCTCGGAAAGGTACAATAACGTTTCCAAAACAACATCAAAGCCTTCTGAAAACTCCCCTATTTTGTGCTAGCACGATCACCGATTTTTTTGTAATGGATTGTAATTAGCATATTGAGTTATCTCCTTTTGTGAGGCTACATAAAAATCTGTGCATACAGTTCAGAGCCACCTTAACTTTTTGATAATCAAGAGGCAGAAAGATGTATAATGATATGCTGATGGTAATTCAATAATATAGATATTTGGGGCCGGGGGCTCTATTGAAGTCGTTTTAGACAACGAGCAGTCTCTTCTTTCGGCGAAGTTCGTCGCACGAGTAAAAAGAATCAGCGAAAAAAATTGATGTCAACGCGCTATGCGGAACTCTAAGAGTGAGGCGCACTTGTAGATTGCGCGCACTAACATCGATTTTTTTTTTCCTGAAGTTTTTTTTTCTGCTCAACGGACTGCGCAGAAAAGGAGGGACTGAGCGTAGTGTAAACTCGTTTTTGAGCTATAGATACCTAAATAGTTTAAGGGTGTTTCAGTGAGCCAACTCAATAAACACAGTTGTAAAAATGATCTTCATTTGTTAACATTTTTGTTGCTAACGAATTTAATCGTTTGAGGTTCCTAAAATACACACAATTAAGAGAAACACGTCAATACTTCCTTCTTTTTTTAATTTTTGTAGTTGCAAAAGAAAAAGTCGAGATTCTGCTCAAAGAAAACGAAGCTCTTAAAAATCAGCTCAAGCAACGAGATGAACTGCTTACGGAACACGCCAATAGCTCGATTGTTGATGATGAGTCTGCGCCAATGACGGAAACTGCTGACTCACGGACGCCGGACAACGTGAGCAACGCGTTCTTAGAGATCTTGAAAAGAGAGAATAACTCTTTGATAAGTGAGAATGAAGAGCTCAAAGTCCAAGTTGAGCATTTGAAGATTCTACAGCGTGAAAAGGAGAAAGAGCTGGAGAGGGTGACGCAAAAGCTAATTGCTTTACAAGCCGAGTGCGAGAAGAAAGTGCAATTGTTGAAAGCTCGAGAGAAAGAGGTTTCTAAATTGCAAGACAAGCTTGCAAGAACTGAAGCAGACTTACGGAACACTCAAAGCAGAGTGGAAACTCTAGAGGAGAAAGCCAAACTGCTCCATGAGGGAATTCAGAGCGAAAAACGCCAAAGTGAAAACAGCAAAGAAGAGATTACCACAATAAGAACCGCGCTTCTGGAATCCGAGCGTAAGATCAAAACTTTGGAGACGGATTTGTCTCAACGATCAGACAAAATGAAAGCTAAGCGGGAGAGAATAGAGACTTTGGAAGAGGAGAACGTGCAAATGACACAAGAGCTTGATTCCTTGAAGCGTCAGAACAACGCCACGACAGAATCTTACCTCGCCACAACTAAGGTATTGAGAGAGAAAGATCACAGAATTGAAGAACTCGAAGAGGACAAAAAAGACAAAAAGAAGCAACTCAGAGTGTTTGGCGAAAAGGTTGAAGTTCTTACCTCGCAGAACAACCGCTTGATGGAGGACCTTCGACAGGCAGAAGAGAAGTTTGCGAATGCTGATAGGTCGTACCGACAGGTTTCAAAGGCGTTGGACGATTGGAGGAAAATGATAGAAGAACCTGGAAATGGAGCAGATCTCTGGGATGGAGAAAAATGCGAGGGACTGGGGAAGAGCAACAGAGTTGACCGGGAGGAGATTAGTGAAGAGCAGAAAGAAGAAGATGAGGTGGGTGGCAAAATGTTGTAAGACCAAACAACTAGCTTAGTGGCTATAAGGAAAAAAAAAGATGAATCACTAACTCATGGGAAAACCAATGGGCTAAAAGTCAAAGTGAGGGAGAAAAACACGGTTGTGATCATCATATTGGCTTCAAACTTGCACTTAATTGACGCTGTGAAAAATATCTCCAATTTAGTAAAAAAGACTACAGCAAAAGCTTTCCAAGTAATCGTTTGATATCAAAGCGCGTCGGGAGTAGTTGCTCTTCAAGTCTCATAAATGCCTGTGCTTTAATTTAGTAATTCCATTGTGTAAGAGAGCAAACGCGATCAAATATGTCTTTCTGGCCGAAGAAACTTACTAATCGTTCTTATTTTGCACGAGGTTTGCATAAATGGCGTAGTTACGAAATAACTTTAATCAAAACGCCTTCTTCCACAAGGGAAGGGCGAAGACCTCCTTAAATCAAAGGATTATTGAAATTAAAAAAAAGATACTGAAATGGAGCAATTATTTCTCCGTGTAATGGATGAAACAGAAGCTAAGTCAATATATACGATGAAAAAATTATCAAATACTAGTGTAAAAATTCGTGGCTGGTATGTGGCGTGGCGTGGCTAAATCGAGAGATTATATTTGACTGGTTTTTTTTTCTCAGAAAAGCAGAATTTGCTCTTACTGCGACCAAATAACGGCGAAACTGAAAGAACAAGAAGATTACTCCAGTCTTAAGATCAGGGAACTTGAAGCCTGCATACGGAAACTTACGACCGAGAAGGAAGCGCTGGAGCGGAAAGTGGAAAAAGAACGGAGGAACAGTGAGGAGTTTACAATGCGAGTGCAGCAGATGGTACAGAAGATGGAAAATGAGAATAAAACGGAGAGGGATGACAACAGGAAGGAACAGAGGCAAGAAACAGAGGACCTCTTCATCATGGTGAAGAGATTTTTCACCGAGAATGAGGGCTTGAAGAAGCATGCGCTGAAATGCCTGTCCGACCTCGAACAGTTGCAAGAGTATCTAAGAAGTTGTGCAAGCGGAGTCAGAGAGGTTATTGGTCATGCGGATGAGCTTGAGCCGGTGGCGAAGCGAATATCGCTGCTTAAATCACTCTTACAGACAGTTGTGGACGAATTTGAGCGTCCACTGAAGGGAGAGGAAAGTGACACAGACGGGAACGAAGATTCCCCGATGGAAGCGAACATTCGTGCTGAGTTATCGTGGGATAATTATGACAGAGGGGTCGCCTTCAAAGTATTTACAGACAACGTGGAAGATCTCATTCAGCAGATTGATAAAGGAAAGAAAATAAGAGAGAGAAAAGTCGAAGAGTTCCAAGAGGTTAAACGCGCTCATACGGCTCTCAAAAGGGTTAGAAAAAGGTCCCGACAAGCCATTGAAAGAGCTGTCGCGCGGAGTGAAATTGAGGACCTGTGCGTGGAAGGGCCGCCGGAGGACATCGAAAGAGGCTCCCAACGGACAAATACCCGGATGGAACGCTGGAATAATTGGGAGTTACTTAAGGTCATTAAAGACCTGCTTGAACAGAACCGAGAGGTACTGGAGATGAAAATGGATGAAAATTTTGATAGATTACAAAACATCGTTAAACAGCAACGTGTGCAGGATGATGTGTTGTCGGACGAGAGAAGGCAGGAAATCGGCGGCGAGAGTGTAAGGGAGACCGTGGATGGAAAATATGCCATAGGAGAACTGGAATTGGTTAAAAGAAAATTATCTGATGTGCAGAAAATTATAAAGCACCTCACTGGGTCACTGGCAGAGGTTGAACACGAAAAGAAGACTGTCGAGTCCCAGGTGGATCTGTTGAACGGAGAGCTTCATCAGAAAGAGTCGCAGTACGAGGCCAAATGTGAGGATTTGAAACGAGTCACGAAAACCGCTTCCGACCAGGAAGTTTCTTTCCGAAACCGGCTCAAACAAATTGCGTCGGAAAAAGACGAGATCAACTCGGAGCTACGAAGAATTGTCGGGGTACTCAAGGAGAGAGAACTGGAACTGGTGGAGCGATCACAGCAGTTGAAACACTTGCAGGCCACGTATAGCGATAAGGAGCGATCAATGAAAAGCAAGATCGACGCGCTTGAGCAAGAAAACAACGGTGTATGGTTGGACTACAAGGAAGCTGATAAACGAGCGGAGATCAAAGAAAAAGAGTTTAAGGAACTTGCAGACCGGCTGAAGAAAAGTCAAAGATACATGCATTCCGTGTTTAGCAGCTTAACCAATATGGACGATGAATTGCAAAGAGCCAGAGATGTCGAAGTGTTTAGCGAGCAAGATTAAGAATTTAAATTATGATGGAATTTGAAAGGTTGTTTACGTAGAACCCCGGGTTGAAAAAGATATTTAGCAATGTGATATACATGATTTTTTTTCTGTTCCTGAATTTATGCTTTTTTTTCTTGTCTTTTCTTTTAAAAACGATTTGTTTTCGAATTGCGTAATACTGAACAAGACTGAAATGTAGATCACACGATGCCTTCCTTTTGTACCTTCTCTGTGTCTGTATATCACCGTTTATTTTCTAATTTAATTTTTAGTAAGGCTACATTAAGTTTTCGTTCATTTTTCTTGCCTTTTTATTTGGTATAAATAAAGTTGAGAGGATACAATTCTTAAGGGGAACGCATTTCATACACTTATTCGTGTGTACACCACATTTCTACCGAGCGTCGTTAATTAAAACCCGCAGTCTTCACAACGACCAATAAGAGAACAGATAAACAGCACAAAAGGCAAATGAGAGTTCAGAGCAAAAACTTTCCAACTACCTACAACGCGACAAAACGCTAGCGAAGAGTAACCCTTAGTTAGAATTTTGCATCTGATAGGTTGAGATGCGATTTTTTTAGACCAATCACAGTGCAGAGTAAATTACAACCAAAACGACTCCTCTTTACTATCAAAACTCGACTAAGATTGCTTTGAAAAAAAAAAAAAAATCGCCACTCAGGTAAGTATCGTACAAACTTCTTGCTCGTAGAGTCCAGAAAATCGCAAAGGAGACGAGGATTCCTTCCGTAACCGTTTTAAAGTGCTCAGTTGCGTCGGAAAAAACCCAAATAAAGTCAGAGCTACGGAAAATAGTCCAAGCACTCAAGGTGAATGTGCCAATGAAAACTAAGCGTGGGAAAACGACTGGCTAGAATTTTGTATCTGATTGGTAGAGGATAGCACGCTTTTTCCGGAGATACCGCTGTACCGCGTAGTAATGTAAAATCAACAGGAACCTAAATATGTCTTCAAAGGAGAATTTCGTTCGTTCATTTTTAACAAGAGCTACGCGAGCTGGAGCCAAACACAAAGGCTTAAGATCGTACTCATCTTAAAAAATTGAAAGTAATATTTGTAACGATTTCACATGTCCACTAGTTGGTCTTTTTTACAGCCATAAGACTTTAAAACATCGGACCCGGTCTAAAATGAGGGTCCCCGGGTGGGGGTCTCCCTGGGGGAGGTGCCCCAGGAGGAACCATGTTTGTTACGCCTCTAGGTGGAATCCAGTCTCTCTCTGCCCGCCCTGGAGGTGGCATCCATTCCCTTTCTCCTCTAACAGGAGGGCCTCTATCACCCGGAATCCATTCCGCCTCGGCTCGTGGTGGCCCAGGGAATCTTCCTGGGAAGCCGGGCCCCACTGGTCTAGGCCCAAAGCCTTCGTCAATAGGTGTAGGGGCCATTGGCCGCGGCACTCGCATCTCCTCAAATCTTGGAGAGGGTCCTTGCTCAGGTCGTGGAAAGGCTCCTTGAGGGACATGAGGTATAGGGGCTGGTGCAGGAGCTTGAGCAGGGAAACCACTGACTACCGGATGCTGCTGGCGTGGCCCCTCCATGAAGAACGTTTCACGTGGGATAGTAGGCACTCCAGGGAAATGTCGTGCGTCCATCACGGGTACTGGGGCTACGTTTCCAAAAGCTCTTTCACCTGGTAAAATAGGGTGAGGGGGCACTGCTGGCAGGGGCTCACGCAATGGGGCCGGAAAAAAGGGTGCTACCTGAGGAAACATGGCGCGTTGTATCTCATTCTCAGCATCTTCACCTCCATCACTCTCCCCTCCCCCCTGCTCTCTCTGATGACGTCTTTTGATGTGCGACTGCAAGTCTCGTTGGGAGAAATAACTTCGGCGGCATCCTGAGATTCCATAGCGGCTTCCGCCTACTGAACACACGTACACACTGCCCAACGGTGCTCGTTCAATCCGCTGAACACCATCACCGCACCTAAAGCAGGATTTGACAAGGGTAAGAAAATTGAAACAAGATATGTTTGGCCGAGTTTGGCTGCTGGCGAGAAAACCTATTCTTCCCTAGTGACGACCATTTAAATCAAGGATCTTCTCAGACGGGCCACATGCGTTTCAGTAACGAGAAAGTTAAATTTTCATCGTCCCTACAGTACACCATCCCATGACAATAGAGATACTCCACACAAACCTTGGACACTTTCCATTTCCCTTTTCAGCACAATTCAAACAGAAGGAGTGTTTACAAGGACTCTAAAGAGGAAAAAAAATGACATGAGACATATTCAAGGTGTCAGTACATTAACCCTTTAAATCCCAGAAGTGATCTAAGTGTAAGTTCTCCCTATAAAATCCATACATTATTAACAAAACAGGTAACGAGAATACTCAAACTTATCAGGTAGAAGTAGTTATCCTGATCTAACACCAAATTCTCATAAATAATTTACAAGGAAATGAGAAACAGTTAGAGAGCAGAATTAAAAATCAGATCTTGGGAGCTACTCAGCTGTACTTTTACATGGTATCAGATGATATTTTTGAGTTGGCAGAAACCCTAGTCTGTGACCATTCAAGTGAGAGCTCAGATCAGAAGTTTCATGTGCCACTGTTCATTATGCTATACAAGGTGGGTAAAACTTTCAAGGCTGTGGATAAAACCCTTGGTGTACATGCTTCTGAACAGAAATGTCTTACAGCACTATTTATCAAACTACACAAAGTAACTGTAACTTTTACACTTCTGAATACAACCTTAGTGTCTGACCATTTTAACATGTATTTTAAGCCTGAGAAGGACTCTTGTCACACCAATGACCAAGCAGAATTATGCAAGAATTGTCTTAGTTCAAATCTCAGTCAGAGTAAATGTAAGGTTAAAGTAAGTCATGCACTCACCAGTCGACCATAAACAAGAATAGGCAGTGCGCATTTCTCACAAAGATGAAGAAGTGGATCTTGTACTTTTTGCCCAATAGGGACAATCTGAAATGGATACACATGTGTGTTTTAAAATGGAAAGAACAAAGGTGAACCTAAACAGCCCCAGACACCACAGAAACACAAGCAACTCACCAAAGAGGCCAGTAATTTCATTCAATTTCTTTTACATATTTCAAATGTGTAATATTTTGTCCAATAGGAATAATCCACATGACTGGAAAAACAATTAAAAAAACTTTATGGTAAAGCCTTTTTTTAAGACTACTTGATTAAAAAATTTTGAACTGCAGTCTTTGACGGGTGAAGTGTGAATGACAGGAAGTCAAAAAATTTGTCTAGAATTTGATTATTGGATGCTCTTTAAAGACTAGAGAGGGCTTTTGAACAAGGAATAAAGAAACCCAGATCAAAATTTAACCTTGGGTTAGCACTAATTGGCCTGCGAAACACTGAGCCCAGGGTTCCCAAAGAACTTGGTATAACTATGGCCCAATCACAGATGAATCCTAAATCATGTGATCAGATGTCAGTTGAGTGCTTTTCTCATCTTTACAACTGATTCACCCCCCACAAGCTCAAGCAAACTTTTTCCTGTAGTTAGCATGAGTTAGTACCAGCCATTTTGATATCCACAGTTGCTGTAGTGAAAGATCGGTCCTGAACCTAGACATGACATGATAGTCAAGGAGAAGCTAAAGAAAAAATGTATCCATATGTATGTTTGCTGTTGAATGTGTTGCAAAATCCCAGCATGGAAGACCACACCTACATTTGAAAATTGCAACATCAGCCAAGGACATTCTTACCTGGTGATCCCATTTGAGCTCTCTCATGACCACCACCTGCTGTGCTGGACCAGGAGACTTCTGTTTCTTCTTACTCTCTTTGTCACCTGAAACATGCCAAGGATCAGCTCAGATAAGTCAAGTTGACTAGAGACTATAGTGTAACCATGTCATGCATACACTTGGTGACACTTAGTTGAAGAGAGATGCAAGATAGTGGACTTAGCTAGGTAGAACTGAGGAAGAGGGCAAAGGACAGGCAGCAGTGACAGTCTCTGGCTGTAGTCTTGCTAGCACGTGTCCAAGAAAACAACAAGAATTGCTTGACTGCCTAACTGACCATCATGTTCACAAATTCTCATTTTATAATAGCTAACTCTGGCTAACTCCTTCTAAGGGGTTGCACATTTAGTCATGCATAAGTTGAATATGTTCTGTTATGGAAATGGTCTGTTAACCAAAAAGATGTTGTGTTTGTTTGGTAACAGATCACAGACAACATCAAAATATTAAACAAAGTAATAAGTGGACTTCAGTCAACCTGCAGATGAGTCTGTCAAGAACAGTCTTACCACATTTTCTTTGCTAAGACCTCCCAACTGATACTTTTTCTCTTATTCTCGCCACTTGTCTGCTTGATATTGTATTGATATTGTAAGGAGAAATTACATCTTCATCACTCATGCGAATAAAAAGGTTAATAAATCCAGTGATCTGTTTATGACTATCTAACAAGGTTTTAAATTATACAATCATGCATCTTCACTGCTTCTTGTTTATGATTTACTAAGAGCTTCTCTGGACAGATGCATTTTGTTTTTTTATTGTATCAAAGAAACACAGTCCATTCTGCCATGCTTCTATTCATTTAAAGTAACAGATGAATTTTATCAAAATGTTACAAGAACATTGATGACGGCACACTCTATTGTACCTTGTGTGCCAAAAACTTTGTTCTTGCCACATCTTGATATTATCTCTGATCTATTACTTGAAAACAGATGCATCACAGCTTGGAATCTATTTGTTAGACAGAAAACAGAATTCAATTGGTTGATATATTGGTCACAAGCAAAAGGAAATAAGCTCCAAGACATGGGAATATTCATAGAGTACTATCCAAACTGTGCTCACTTTCTGACCAAACTTGCTCAAGATGCTGCAACAATTTTACAGTATTGTACAGTATCATTTTCAACCAATAATTTTTATTTACCATCTGATCCACTCCTAGACCTTTCACTGCTTTTCCCTTCCTTTTTCTTGCTTTTTCCAGATGTAAGGGAACTTGCTGACTTGCTTTTTGCTTTTAGTTTTAAGGAAATATTTCTTCTTACAGGCTGTGAGGTGGATCCTTGAGTTGCTCCCTCATGCTCAAGTTCAAGATCTAACAAAAAATAAAATAAAAGGAAGTTTAACTTTTTTTTCTATAGTGCAAAGCTCTCAAGTCTGGTCATTGAGAGTGAGACTCATGCAAACAAATTAAGTCCTATTTTTGGTCTTTATGGTTTTCTTATTGTATTTATATACATTTATATATTATTGTAATTGTAAGCTAGACATAATTCAGCCTATGGCTGCTATGCTTTTAGTCAATAGAACTATCTATCTAGTAAGTATGATATGCTGTAAAGCAACACATATGTCCTTGGCTCCCTCTGTGGGGGCCAAGGACATACTCCCTTGCAATGTGGTTTCCAGCATTCTAGGCCATACTTGGGTAACTTTTTTAAAGTCAGACATTGAAGTTACAATTAGTTCAAAAATATGTAAGTTCTGTCTTTGATCATAGTTCAAAAAGTAACAGACACAAAATGATCCGACAGCCGGAGGGTTTGCGTCGCATACCAGCTTCTAATGACAACCCTGGATTACTTGCAAGCTGCGTTAATGCTCTGGGAGTGAGTTAAGTTTACTAAATTTCATGTTTTCAGAAAGAAAATTAATACGAACGAAGAAAGCTACGTCTCTAACACTAAAAAGCCTGATTACCATTTCACTAATAACAAAGGTATCAAGTTAGCACAGTCTGCTGACAAATCGAATCCCTGGTGATGGATGAAATCTTTTAGGAAAACTCGTCGAGAAATAACAGCACATGAATCTGTATTGAGAGAAACTGTTCGCTTAAAATTCAGCCTTGCAAGACTTTTGAATATTTTATGCTGCACTTGAACGAGAAAATTTATATTTTATAGTTTAACTCTATGTACAGGCTACAAATTTTGAGATAAGGAATTGTTCCTAGTGCAAATATACTCGTGCTTACCGTCATCCATCTTGAATTTTCTTGTTCTTCCGTAAGAACCGCTGTTCAGGTTGATTATTTTACTAGTGGCTGAGCCTGCAAGTAAGACCAGCGGGTAACGCGGTCGGGAAGAAGCGAAGTACTTGATTTAATTGTACCTCTAGGGAGCCTCTAGAGAGAGCCTCTGTAGGGAGCCTCTGGAGACGTGAAAGGGAGGGTGCTAGAGTGCTCTTTGTTTGCAACAACGAAAAAAACAATGCCAACGGAAAAAAAAAAAAAAACGCCCAGTAGTTCTCTATTTTATCCATTCAAAACTTACCACAAACGTTTCCTATTCGCGGAGCGCTCCTCCTGCGGAACCAGCTCTGTCGACCGTGACTTACTAATCTGATATGCAAATTACAAGAAGACTTCAGAAGTCGCGTAAACTTGCTTCAAAACCTCTAAACAACTTCAAATAACATGGAGGGAAAAGTGATGTATTTCGCTCACGGCTCAAATTTGAGCCCAAGATTAATGGTAGAACGCGGTGCGGAGTTCTACTCACGCGAGGGCGCTGTGCTTCCAGGATTTCGGCTTGAATTCAACTTTAGTTGGAAGGACGACGGATATGGTAATACAACCATTGTCCAAGACGAAAATTCAGTCGTATATGGAGCTTTGTACTCCTGTGATGAACAGGGCATAGCTAACATGGACGAAGCCGAAGGCGAAAGGTTGAGGAGAATAAATGTCCATGTCAAGAAAGAAAGCGGTGAAATGATACAGGCAACTACGTATCAGGGAAAGGAAGAATTCACAAAAACAGGGCTTCGTCCGGGTGAGACTTATCTGAATGAAATGTTGGAGGGAGAGGATATTCTACCAGAGGGATACGCTGATTATTTGAAAACTTTGAAGAAAGAAGTAACTCAGTTGAATTGAATATTACGATCAATTAAATTGAACAGCCATTGAAATAAAGTTGATTCATGTATTTTTCCTTAGGGTACGTTCATTAATTGAACGCCTGGGGGGGGGGGGGAGGATTTTGGTTGTAGCGCAATAAGATTTATCTGATCCTACTTCCACCCCCCCCCCCCCTTTCAAGCCCTGTAGGATTTTAAAGTCCACCCTTTCTACTCTATTAGCAACGACTGAAAACTATGTGACTTCTCCCTCCTGCTCTTCGCACGAGAACCGCATTTCATGCCAATTATTTTTCTACTTGTTTAGCCTGCGGTTAGGAACAGCACTTGATTCAAGCTAGGTGGAGATTTTTAGCCATGTCAAGGGTGTGAACTTCGTCCACAACAATGTCATGTCAACGTATGTCAAGCCCAGTTGGTCTGTTCTGTAGATTTGAACTCGTTCAAAACGTTATACCTCCAACATCTCTCTCCTATTTGCTATTTCTATTTTGCTATTTCACTTGATTCAAGCTAGGTGGAGATTTTTAGCCATGTCAGGGTGTGAACTTCGTCCACAACAACAACAAATAAAAAGCGTATGCCAAGCCCAGTTGGTCTGTTCTGTAGATTTGAACTCGTTCAAAACGTTATACCTCCAACATCTCTCTCCTATTTGCCGATCCCGTCCCTTGCGGAACTAGCTTTGTAGACTGCGACTTGTTCAATATTCAAATACAAGAAGCCTGGTGTCCAAGGATTTTGGTTGTATCAAAATAAAATTTACCCGATCCCCCCTGTAGGTCTCTGAAGTATTATGAGGACCTCCCTCCCCACCCCTCAGTTATGGATGACAGTCAATTTTATAGTCCCCTCCGTTCCTCGTGAAAACTATGTGATCCCCCCAGACACGGACCCTTACGCCGGTGCACGTAACGCGAACGCGCGTGAAAATCACCATCCCTGCGTGGCTGAGGTGCAGCGAGAGGAAATTTCGCGCGAAGTAGTCTCGTGTTTCCCGCACATCTTGTCACGCAATTGTATTTCGATTGATCACAAGCGCAATTCTGCATAATCAAACAAGTTAAAACGTCGCTTACTCGAAGAGTCCTCACATCTAAACTCTACGCTAACCTCATGGATGAGAAAGAGATCTACTTTGGCTTCGCGTCAAGCTTGAGTGAAAGAAAAATGGCCGAACGGGGCGCGAAGTTTTTGTCGCGTGAGAGAGCTGTTCTTCGAGGTTTTCGGCTAGAATTTAGTACTAACTGGAAAGATGACGGTTATGGATACGCAAACATTGTTCCTGAAGAAGGATCAGTTGTTCATGGAGCTTTATATGTTTGTGAACGAGGAAGCATGTCCAGTATGGATCGCGAGCACGTGGTTGAAGGAAATCATTTTCGAAGGGTAACTGTAACAGTTGAGAAGAAGAATGGTGAATTGGTAAAAGCTACTACATACATAGCTAATGATGAGTTTGTTCAGCAAGGGCTTAGTCCAAGTGAAGTTTATTTGAACGAAATTCTTGAAGGTGAAGATATTATTCCAATGGAGTACGCAGAGTTTATCAGAAGCTTTTCTAAGTCGAAATGAGCCCGCGAATATCTTGTCACCTTCACTGTTGTACTTTGGGTAAGCGTTGCGTGAAATCCATAGGAATGGCCAAGAACGGCCAAGATCTGATTGTTCATTCTTCCCTCTAGCTGCGACACATTTCCCTGTATATTAGTTTCGAGAATTTGGTGTTCGATCATGATAACAACCTGTGCCAAGTTCGAGTATTCTCATTACCTGTTTGCTAAAAATATATATATAGATATTATAGGGAGAAATTACATTTCAATCACTTCTGAGAGTCAAAAGGGTCAACACTATTTCGGTACAATTAACTCTTAAGGGTTTGAGAAACTTGACACCTGTGAGACCTAATGAGGCCCCTAAAGAGGTTGTTATTGCAGTAGTTTTACTTGACATCTATTGGACCTAATGAGACTCTAAAGAGGTTGTTGTTGCAGTAGTGTTCATAAGGTTCAAACAACAACTAGTAAAAATTTAATTCTTTATGACCAACTCTAGATTAATGTATAGCATGAGACTTTCTTTATTAAACAAGAAGCAGTATTCACAAGGCAACTTAGTTATGGGTATTGTTTTCCTCAGTTACTATGTTATTACAAAACTATAGAGATTTTTTTTAGTCTTGTTCAAGTATCTGTGAGTATAGCAGAGTGAAGGAACACCTTGGTCACAACTCTTGTGTGTGGAAGATTATGACAGTAATGATCACAATGATGTTGGTAGAGATTCAGTTGACAATGATGATGATGGTGATGTTCACACCAGCAAATTTTAAACCTAGCCAGTCTCCATGTATGAACTTAAAATACAGAAACTGTTACAATATAATACAGTCGGTCAGATAAATTTGCACCCTTTAACAACGTAAGGCTATTGGTAGAAGTTTCTTTCTTACCAAATATTTTAAATATTCCCAATGACTATTTGCACAACAACCCAGCTTCCACTTAATATACACTCAATGTAATTTAGCCATGAGGGGGGTGGATACTCTACATAATTATCTCCCCTATCCCTGGGCAATTTACAGTCTCCTCAATCTGGGGGGGGGGGGGGTGTGGAAGATAAAAAAGGACAAAACAGCTGGAGAAAGACTAGATAAACATGTAGTGTAGAGATTTAAAAAAAAAAGTGTCTCTGTTGCAGATCATTTAAAAAATGTATAATAAAACAATTATTGAATTCAGTTTTGGCATGATATCATGAGTTATCAAACTCCTGTCTGTAATATGCACCTCAGCCTTTGGCTTCCGCAGATAACTCATACCTCTCTTTTGATAATTCATGATAATTAACCTATGTTCAACCTCATCCGATGATTGCTTCCTGTCTGTTGACCAGCCTTTATTCCCAGCCCATGCGATACCATTCATATCATCTAACATAGCTGTCAAACTTCATTTATCTCCTTTGTCTTCATTTCTCCTTACAAGTAGTCCAGCGAATATACAACTTGCCAGCACCTTATCTGTACCACAAATCCCTGGTTCAGGACAGTCTCTTCTGAAAGCCTTCTGTAAATCATTACTTGTTTCCTGAGTGTAACTTTATTTTCAAGCTGCAGTGTGTTTCAAATACTACCTTATCTCTCCATACTCCGTGACACCATGACTGGGAGGTCCAAGTTTAAATACGCCCACACTGTGGTCCTTGGATGCTGTTACTAAATCTATAAAGTTGTTAAAGAAATTAAGTGGCTGCGTAACATAAAAAATTTTGTTCTTTAAAATTGATCTTCTTCTCTTGGGTGCCAACTCTGTAGAACAAATGAAATTCTTTAACTTTCCAAGACCTTTTGCAAGAATTTTCAGATGTTTCCCTGACCTATGATTAGGAACTTGTCAGTAAAATAACAGGAAAAAAGTATTTCAATCTAAATATTTCTTGTTTTAATCTGTTCTAAGAAATAGTGCGTTAAGTCCTCTTCTATGACTACATATGACCCAGACTCTAATTCCATGTCCTTCAAGGTCTTGAAAGGAAAATTGCACAATTCCATGACTTTCCGAGCTTTTAAAACCTGTATCAACCCTGATCTCACCAGCAATTACAAACTCAATATTTCCATCGAAAAATTTTGCAGAAAGAAAATAGTATTAAAACAGATACTCTCCCTTGATGAATTTAAGAAAGGAACCAGCCAATTAAAATTTATCTAAAGAATCCTGCATAGTAGCCAGCCAAAATTCTCACATCTGTCATGCCCTACAAACACCTTGAAAAATTAACTACATCAAACTGAACAGGTAGACATGATTTCAACCTCCTAAGTATCAAACAAGGATACATTCATCATAAGGTGAAATGTCAATATCTTCTACATCATCTGAATGACAAAAAAGATCCTCCACAAACTCATGGTGATCAGGGAATCTTCTGTATCTACAAGATACAGATCAGTTTGTATTATTACAAATTAAAGTCATTGCATATACAGTATTTATTAAGCACTCAACCTTGAAAAAGTGCCCACTCTGTAGGTATTAAAATTTCATACTCAGTGCCCAGCCTCAAATAAGTGTCCCCAACCCTTCACCATTAATCTGATGAAAACAGTACTCAAAGCCATGCTCAAATGGACATAAGCAACACTAGATCTGCAGGAGGGACTACAAATAGGTTTGTTAATGCAAAGAGGGATATAAACGAGGATGCCAAATCATTAATCTAAATTGTTCTGTGGACCATTCACATAATCCTGGGCGGAGACAGGTTCTGTTAGAGTGAAGGGACTTGGCTAAGAACACAACACATTAACCTGCCCGCGTAAAAAACCTTGACCTCTTGACCTGGTGGTTTAATGCAGTAGCTGTTAATTCTCCAAGTCACCTACTACTTACTGAGTATAGAGAAAAAATACAGATAAAGGAACTACACTTCATGAGAATTTATATTTGACCTTACTTTCTGATCACTCCTCCATCACATGCAGTGAAAAGTGTGCTTCCATTGGAAGTATATCTTAAAAAAAAAGAAAAAAAAATGTTAAAATACATATTTGAAGTAATCAATTTAGTACAGCTTGTTCCACAAAAACTAAATACCAAATGCACATTTCTGCAGTTTGGAGAATCTTGGCCTCCAAATCACTTCACATTCAGCCCCACATGCACTGAGTTCCTTTTGGAGTGCCCTTTTCAGTTATTAGCCAGAACCCAAAATTACCTCTTAGAAGAACAGAGTAAGAGAAAAGAAGAGCCTAGGCATTGATTCTGGCATACTTAATTTTCCATAATGGATCTTTGCCATGCTCTCTCATACGCTCTTGGACTCCAACCTCTGGGACAAAACTTGTCAGAAGCTCACCACCAAACATAATAAGACCTAGAAAGACAAGAAAAGCCACTGACAGTGAGACATAATTTTTTTGATAAAAAATGAATGCCAAATACATTATACAGGATAATTTTAGAAGTTATGAGGATTTCTTTCTGTAGGGAGATGTATGGAGCCTTGAAAGGTAGTTATGATTGGACATGTTAAAGTTCAGTTGTGTTTCACAGGGACACAATAAAATTTAGAGAGAGAATTCACCAGTCTGTCAAACATCTTTTATGGATGTTTTCTGAACATCCCTATAATAGCCAATTTTACAGTTGTGTACTTAGTTGCCAAGCCTTTGATTTGGAGTGAGGCTGAAGGTGACCATGTTGTAATAGAGACTAGTATGATAATCTAGTTAACATGATAACAAAGCAGTTTAAATTTGAAAAGCAGTAATGTTTGTTTCATAACAAGGTCAACCTTAACCTCACTTCCATTCAAAGGATTGGCAGACAGGCAGGTAACTGCAAAATGGAGTATTCAAAATTTTGAAATAACAGTACACTGTAATTTAATACATGCCCTATATAAAAAACAACAACAACAACAAAATTGTATTCATTTGCTAATTGACTGATCTTCAACTGAACTCAGTTCTCTTACACTAATGAAGCAGGTGAAGAACTGAGTTATTTTGATGTGAAAACAAATAAAGAAGAATTTTGGTTCTAACACGAAACATTCAGTCTGATGAATAAACCCTTCAGTCACATGACTGATCAGAAGGTGAAATCTCCAAACAATCTTATGCATTGCTAGATGTACAGGCAATGAGGATTTAAGAGAATTATCAATGAGGAAATATTGTTTGGAATTAACACTAAATTCTCTGAACCAATAAACAGAGCAATATATTGACATAACTTGGGAGAAATTACATTCAGATGTCATAAGCTGAAGAATGGCCCTCATGCAGTAAAAAAAGTGAAGAAGCAAGAAACCAACTTACTATAAAATCCATCATCAGCCATTGACCCAAAGGGTTCTGGTGTCGGAGCAGCTGTGTTCAACATGGAACCTATCTCAGTATTTTGTAATGTGCGTCCATCGATTGTTGATACCTGAACAAATGTTAATTCCTTTATACTTCCATTTGACACATTGACACCTGAATCACCCATAACTGCACACATGCAAAAATATTACCAATAATTATTTTTTATCTTTAGTTAAAGTGAAAACTTAATATGCATCTATGGCTTTTTTGCATTGAAAATAAGTTATTTAAATGGCCTTCTTTCCCTGGAGCTTGTTTTTGGGAAAACATGATTCATAAAAATTTACTGTGCATTGTGTTTACTTTTCTGGTTTCTCCAAATTTTTAAGTTTTGGATAGACATGCATTACACACTGGTGCCAATGGGTTGACATGGTGGTCCAAAGGGCTAAGATACAAACAAAAAAGAAAACAAGACAGAAAAGGAGAAATAGTATTGTTTCTTTTTTCAAGTTGCATTTCCTTTTTTTAGGTATAATTCCTTTTTTTAATTGTGTTTTCTTGTTTGTTTGTGTTTGAACCCCTTGGGTCACTGTAGGAGTCATATCATTCTGTAATATATTAGATAGTAGCCTAAGTATAATTGATATTCATCATAAGATTTGTATTGTTATGTGCATGCATGCATTTCTTAAATACATGCATGAACAAGTCATGGGAATTTGAATATAAATTACAACAAGCAAGAGATTTAAGGTACCTAACAGCCTCCTATCCAGGAACCTGCCCGAGAATACTGCCAAAATGCACTAACTATCATAAATGAGATGTCTTCTCAGCATAAATTAGCTAAAGGTAATTACTTCCAGGCTGTGTTTTAGTTCTAGTACCTTTGCAGTGCCATCAATAGCAACTGATAACAGGGCATTCTGTCCTTTACACCATGGCCAGCTCTCGTGAAGAAACATCACGTCACGAATGACATTATTATGAAGCTAAACAGAATAGGGAGAATTTTTCACTACAAAATGCATGACTAACACTGTTATTAGTAATGCTTATTAAATGAATGTCTATTAATACAAATTTAAAATATTTGAAGGTACATTGTGTCAGGTCTTTGCAGTCTGATATTACACATCACTGGTACTGCTGGTAACAGCTTATTCCAATTTCTGTAGCTTGAAGTAACTAGCAGTAGTCTGCTAGCTCCTCTTGGGAAACATATGGAGAATTTGATACTGCATCAAAAGTTAATACCTTTTTTCCAACACACCCCTTATATATCTTCTAATGCCTACAAATAGGGAATACTGTTCATGATTTGCCTCTACAACTAGCTGGAGTCATCACAGGAATGGATTTCCAACCAACTGCTGACAATAGTTCCTGACCATTCATTCTATGTTTGACAAAATTTTTGGCTTTCCTTTCTTCGTCAAGAAAAGTGATCCTAGCAAGTGAATAACTTACGTCATAAATGAAATCCAAGGGGAGAGGCATTCTGAGATCAAAAATGGACAAACCACGTCCGTTCACACAGCAGCATGCAGCAATGTTAGGACCTGCTTGGATGTCTACTGCTAAACCAGTCCTGTCTGGACCATTGTATACACCTGATGAAAAAAAATTTAAAATACTGACAATAACTGAAACATTTAGGATAAAATAAGAAACACTTCCCTAGATTCTGCTTTTTGAACAAAAGCGGTGCTGCTTTCTTGGGGTAGTTTGTCAAGGGAATCAAAACAAATCACTAGAAAAATAAAGAAAGAAACTGCATGACACTTACAGTTGTCATAAGATACAATTTGTTCTCCTGTTTCCACATCCATCACAACCAGTCTTCTGGCATTTGTGGATGCTAAGATCTGACAGATTGAAAAAAGTAGATGAAAATGTAACATGTCAGTAACATTCAGATCCAATAAGCCTGCCAAATGCTTATCTCAAGAAATTGTTTGTAAAATGCACATCGTAACCCTTTAATGCCCAAGATCTTATTAGTAATTCTCCTCACTTTCTGCCACACAATTCTTATGAAGCTGGCGTCTAGTTAGCGATCAAGATGCATGTGCTATGTTTTTGAAACAAACTTAACGAGGAAGTTTGCCACGGATTTATCTTTGCAGATCTTTTTAGTTCACTATATCTCTAGCTATGGTTATGATGAAGCATTTTAGTTGCCAATTTGGTGACTACTTTTCAGGATTTGGTCACCGAAGTGAAAAATTAAGTCGCACCGGTGCCTGTATTAGGCGCAATTTCACACCCTGTGCTAGTTCTGAGAATTTGGTACTGGATCAACTAGAAAATCCTCAAACTTATATTGTTCTTTATTCTCATCACTGTCTGACTGATATTGAATTCATTTGTTATTGTAAGGAGAAATTCTGTCTTGGTCACCCATGGGAGTTTATTAAGGGTTAACAGATTTAGCCTAGCTATTTCAAGTTTGTCATTTTCCATTCCATGCATTTTTTTTCCATCCTTGACCCCTTAACCCTCTAACTCCCACGAGTGACCAAGACAGAATTTCTCCTTACAATATCAATACAATATCAAGCAGACAAGTGATGAGAATAAAGAAAAATATCAATTAGGGATTATAAATTGATCCAATACCAAATTCTCCATGTTAACATCACAAGAACTGTATGGCAGACAGTAAGGAGAATTACTAATGAGATCTTGGGAGTGAAAGGGTTAAACCCTAGGAGTGACTGGCATTTGATTTGTCCTAAAAGTAATACAACTCAATCATTAATTAAGATCATGAGAATAAGGGAAATTATTTTAAACTATGGAACTCTGATTGTTAACTTAATTCTCCTAGTCAGTACCAAAGGGAAAGTATAAAGAAGAGTATGGAGAATATGGATACTGATGTTAAGGTATGGAGGGTTAAAGCTTGTGATTTCCTTCAAGCGTGGGTTAGAGTAGGTTAAGCAGCAGGAAAAAACAAACTGTAAAAATGTCACAATCAATGGTGACATGACTTCTCTCAGACATTTTAATCCTTCACCTCCAGAAGTGATCAAAAAGGAATTTCTCCTTTTAAAATCAAGATATTTTTAAGAGGAAATGTTATGAGAAGAAAGAAAGGTATCAATTACTTGATATGATTGATTTAATGCCAGAATTCTAGACCTGAAAAATTACAAAAGATGTGTAGACCTTGAGTGATGGCAATTACATGAAAATTATATGTATGTGAACTGCGGTTGAAGAAACAAATATGAAAGCAATCCCCGCAGTTATGAATATTACTGAAGTAGTCATGAAAATATGGCCTGTAAAATTTCAGGTCTGTGTGGGATTTGAACCCATGACTGCTACAACACCAGAGGTCATGGGTTCAAATCCTGTACCTGCCTGAACTTTTTTCAGTCCTTATTTTCACTACTAGTTCAGTAGTATTCATAACTGCGAGAATCACTTTCATATTCCTATATGTAGAGCTTGTTATTAAAAAGATCTGTTGTTATACCTTATGTCCATCAGTAGTAAATCTAACAGCTTTGATATTCCTTGCTAAACTCAAAGTGGTCACCTGATCAATTAAAAAACAAACACATGATGATGATGGCACTGAAAAAATGAAACTGCTACTTTCAAAGGATGATTCATTTGCTGGGAAGAGAGTATTGGTAATATGTGACTGCTGAATTTAGAAAATAAACATGGCATTGTTTCAAACAAATTGCATAATATCTGGTAAGAAATAAGGAAACTTATTGTGTAAATAATAAGTTATAGGACAATATAAAATGAATTATACGCACATTATGAATGATTCTTACTTAAATTATATTTGAGGACAGATGCATGGATAACATCATTAACAACATTTTGCTCTTATACCATGTAACTACATTGATTCCATGTTGCCATGGGTCTGCACAGTAAAGGATCACATAGGATGATACCAGATGATGTCAAAATGTGATAAGAACGTCAGTGACACACTCACCTGTATGCACTTTTTTGTTCTTATCACATTTGGACATCGTCTGTGATCTAAGACTGAACAGACACATGGCAAAATAGCATCTATTTGTTAGATTCATGAATTTTAAAGAGTGATCTAACTTCAGAACAAATTCTCTCAGGAGAAGGGGGAAGCCCCGAGTGGAGCTATTACATTCGAAAAGCTCTCGCAGATGTTCCAAACCATTTCCTGCCATGTTTTTAAAGATAATGAAATGCAATATTGAGCAAAAAGTGATATAAAAACAACATCACGGTACAAGGTTTAAATTTCACCCATTTTGTTTTTGCTATGGTATGGTTTTTTTAATTATTATTTCAAGTATCATCAACTCAAGTTAAAGATCTTTAAAGATCAATGTGTGTGTATATATATATATATATATATATATGTGGCTATGACAAAATGAAAAGCTAATAACAACTAAAAGACAGTTTAACATCCTTATCACATTTCATCAAACCAGCTGCTGTTGTGGAAAATGTTTTTTTTTCTAATCCTTTCATTTTAATTTTTTTTGTTTAAAAATAGAGCCTGTTAACAGGCTTGAAATATACATTACACTTCCAGCCATGTAGGTGTCTATTTACAATGAACCATCTTGCCAATTCAAATCCAGGATCTATACATCAATTCTCTCTACTGTATATCAAAAATTTCTGTGAATTTTTACTCTGAGAATTTAACATTAAGTCAAACAATATCCCATAGTAGACATTTTTTTCTTCTTAATACCTTCCTTCTTGACATAGTATTGATATTGTAAGGAGAAGTTCATTTTTGATCAATCCTTGGTGTGAAATGATGAAGGCTGTTATTTTATCAATGAAAAGAGTTCCATTTACCTAAAAATTTTTCAGAGTGTACTTTTTGACCACATACTCTCTATCCACGAAGAAAGAATATTATTACATAAAACACATACTTAATTTTGGTTTCCATTTGAGTGAGCGGCTAAATGTAGGAGTGAAAGAAACAAATAAAAGCGAAATCATATGTCAATCAAATGTGCATGTCTATTTTGTAAATACTCACAGGATAACTTCCCAAGAGGTGGCATTTCTTTGCACTGTAGACATTAACTTTACCATCATACGCACCAGAGCAGAATATGTAACGATCCTGAAGAACAGAACGGGTTAATTTTGATGAATAACTTCAAGAGATGTTTTTCAACACGCCATCCAAAATAAATGATCAATAAAATTACAGTACAGTGTCCACAACAATTCAAAATGAGTTTAGGTTTCGAATGTTCGGAGGAAACAGAGATTTTTTCTTTGTCCCATCCACGCGTCAATTCTTTATGTATTCAAATGACGACAAAACACTGAATAGAGCTAACGCTCAGCTAAGATCGTACTGAACAATCACACTAGCATATTAACATTCCACACACTAACTATTCCACACACTAGAGTTTAATTCTTACCACAGGCGAAAATGCCACTCCTCGTACATATCCTTGGTGAAATTTCAAAAATTCTACCTTCGAGTTAACATCCATATCCTGTGATTACGATTATGAACCAATCAAGTGATAAGAGACTCCATTGCTATAATTTTGAGAATTGTTTTTCCTTCTCCTTCTTCCACTGTCCTGTTTGTCGAATGTTTACTCAACAAAAAATAAAACCCAACGGAATATAGAGAGGTTCTCTCATTCAATATGTCATGTTTTGAGACGAGGTGCCTGTGGGAGAAGTGATCGATCGCTTTCGTAGGAATGAATGTTGATAAATTTTAAGCTATCAGCAATTTTTTGCAAACTTTCTTGGACGGGAACTAGACCCAGGTAAACCTCGTTTGCAATACTTTAGCCAAATATGGAGGCAAGAGATGTCACGAAATCCTTCTATTACTTTCCTCACGTCCGATTTCTCTCTAAAAAATTAGCAAAAAGAACGAAAACTGCAATTGTAGAGAGCTTGGTAGTTGTTTTACCTCTTATTTAATAGGAAAATGGCTTTGGAATTTTTGAAACGAAACCATTGGTCACGAAACAAAAGCCCGTTACCTACACATTCTGTAATCTGATCAAAATCAGTCCTCTCAGGGAAAGGCACGGGAAGGCTGCTTCTGCTATTTTGATATCAAAATATTCTGCAACCTTCCACTCAAAAATTTGCTTCTATCTTGTTTTTTTCGTGTAATGTTTTGATTTTCTGATAGAATTATTTTGCAAACAAAACCTCATGCTACCCTCGGTAAGAAATTTCTCGCACCCACTGAGGTCGCGCGGAGCTAGCGTGACAAACGCGCGCGAAATGCATTTGAGGTTTCGCGAGCTTTGTGCAACATGGAAGTTTCGTTATGGAACGACTGTTTCTTTTCTTTTGCTAGCTTCATTGTATTTGTTGGCTCAGGTGAGTCTATATCATTTAACACCCCGTGCTGCATAGTGAAATGTTTTGATTTTTTTTCTGGAGTTTGATGCGATCGCCGTAAACATACAGCAAATAATGTTGGTAACCTCAGCTGGCTAGTCGTGAGTTAACATTATTAGTCTGGAACGTTTTTGAGCACGAGCTGTTTTACTTTCAATAACTTAAACTATAGATTCCCTGTTTGCCTAATATAATCAGCTACATAGGAATCTTTGGCACGGGGTAGAAATTATCTATAAGGCGATAAATATTTCCATATCTGGCAATGTTTTGAGTTGTCTCAGTTGTCGAGAAGTTCGTTCTTGGTACTGGATATGTGATCGGTGTCTCATCGTCTTGCATGCAGTAAATCCAATCACGAAGTATCTTGAACATATAACCAGCATCTTGTTTAACTAGATGCTATGAATTTGGAGTTGTAATAATTATTTTAGTTAATGCGCAATCTAAAATGATATATATATATATATATAAAAAAAAAACTTTTGGAATGTGTTTAATTCGACTCTAGTTGCCGCCCACCAATATGATGTTGAGGTCAAGTTTATTTTTATCCTTGTTTAAATAATTTCCCTTTGGATTCCCTTTCGGCAACTTATGAAAGTGATAAAATTCGAGATGAAGGGGATTAAATCTAAACCAAGGGAACTAGAGAACAACAATTTCTTCAGATAACCGCTCTTCAGAGTTTTGTTTACCGACATATCTAATATCTTGTAAACTTCACTTCCTTCAAGTGAAGTTGAAGAGCGCGTGTTTGACCCTCATGAAGAGAATGTAGTTGAAGTGTTTTTCAAAAAAGTGGGCACGTTACAATATTTTAGAGCCAAGATTTTCTTCTTTTTCCTATTATTTTTACAGAAGCATGCCTTTCCCAGAGTAACCCCCTCTCTAGGGCAGAGCTTAGATTTTTCAGAGGGGAGGTCACAATATATAGTTTCAGATCGCATTTAAGAAAAGAAGTGGTTTTCATGGATATCAGTAGGCTTGTGTTCATGGGGTTAGAAGGAATGGCGAATGAAGTATCTAGCACTGGAAATGAGTTATGCTATATTTTTCATATTTGTACTTTGTGGCAAACCTGAACTTCATGATTTTTGTATTGTTGATGGTGAGATTGGTTGTAACTGCCCCCTTTCACAACCTTGTACAAAAACCTAGACTGACTGACCCTGATGTATCTAAACTTACCCTTTCAACTCTTTTTCTTGTTGTAGCATCATCTTTACAACTGAGTGATTGTAAGGAGTTCAAAGTAATTCCTCCTGAACAGTATGATAGAAATGTCTCTTCATTAACTGATATTACAAAGAGGCCCCTGGGATATATGTATGCAAAAGCAGACTATCCCACTGTGCAGTCAGAAGTGAAAAACCCATGTTTTTATGTGAGGAATTTGACTTCAAGAAATGTGGAAGTCATGGTAAGTACTGGTGACAACCCCCTTGAAGTTTTAACCCATAAGAGTGACTCCTTACAGCATCACTCTTGAATCTAATGTAAAGGTTGCAAGAATAAAGGAAATGATCACCAATTTAGGAAGCTCTCAATTGTCAAAAAAATTTATCCTTGACAGTACCACAGGAAATGTAAAGAGAAATCTGTGGGGAATTTAGATATCAACTAAGTCGGAAAGGGTTAAGATGGAACTAAAATTTGTAGTTTTAGAGAACTCATGGCCAATGTGAAAAAGTGTCTGTGAAGAGGAGATATTTGAAGAATTTGTTGTTAAGAGATGAAGGAGTCATAGTATTTATTGTTGACTGAGAATAAGCATGGCTGAGACTTGCCATAACAGCCACAGAACAAAAACATTGTAGTTGTAGAGAATTTGTGGGCTTTAATTATTGTAAATGATATGAGACAGTCAGGAGGCACCATTTAAAGTAAAGATATATAGCTATGGTATATGATTAAATTAGGCCTTATTGTAGAGAGGTTCCTTTTGTATTTTATCGCATAAAAAGATTATAGTGAAGTCAATGTATACTTATTTAATTTGCTTGTCTGATTTGGTTTGAAATACTTGGCAGATTCAAACTCGTGTTTCTGGAAAGACTGTTTGGTGAGTAGATCACTTCCTGAAAATGGCCTGTTGTGAAAAGAATATTGAAGATAATGTGATATTATTATATCTCTCAGGTAGTATGTGCCCTAGTATTGTTCTATTCAGTGGGTGGTATCTTAATGTGAGGCCCACTAAATTCAAAGGTCCTTTCAATTGAAATCTTTCCCTCTTATTCGAACTGAGAAATAAATATCTTATTAACCCTTTAACTCCCAGATCAAATTTGTCATTCTCCTTATTGTCAACCATACAATTATTATAATGTTAGTTCAGAGAATTTAATATTGGATCAACTAATTATCCCCAAATTGACGTTTTTCTTTATTCTCATCACTTACCTGCCAGGTGGTTGATATGGTATTGATATTGTATTGATATTGTATTGATATTGTAAGGAGAAATTCTCTCTTAGTCACTCAAGGGTTAAATGTTGTTTCCTCAGTCTGTACTACTTGTATAAGTTAGGAACCTTATGTTTTTTTGCCTTGAATCTTGGGCCGTAAATCCAAGTGGAAAAACCCTGGTTCATAACTTACAGTACTCACCTCAGACTTGGTTAGTAAGATATATTACCAGTAATATTACAGAACCTGTAATCTCTCTTTAACCCTTCAACTCCCATGAGTGACCAAGAGAGAATTTCTCCTTACAATATCAATACAATATCAACCAGATAAGTGATGTGAATATAGAAAAATATCAATTTGAGGATAATTAATTGATCCAATACTAAATTATCTGAACTAACATTATAAGAATTGTTTGGTTGACAGTAAAGAGAATTACAAATTTGAGCTGGGAGTTAAAGGTAATATATTTACATAACCTTCAACATTTTTCTACTTATACTGGTTTTGCAAGAACTTAAATGGATAATTTAGTACTATCAACAAGTTGATAACTGAAATTGACCACCGTAAAGAGTTTCAAAGCTGATGTTTCAGTGTTAGCCTTCATCATGCGCTCTGACCAAGGGCTCACGCTCAAAACATCTGCTTGAAACTCTTTGGCCAATTTACATTATAAACACGTTGATAATACTAAATTTCCCTGTTATTCTCTCCAACTGAGGTAACACCACAGTTTCTTTAGAAACTTACCCTGCTACTCTATACAAGAATTTAGTTTACTTAGCAAGAGGTATATTACTTTAACCAGTAAATATATTTGCATAACCTTCTACATCATTCTATTGATACTGGTTATACAATTTGAATAAGTTAATTAATTGTTGTAAACAAGCTGTTATTTTAAACCATTATTGACATATGGCAATGTTTTATTACCTCCAATATATTAGTGTAAGAGATAACAACAAACCTACTCCAAAGACAGATTGTGCTCAGGTAAGAATTTTTCAATCAGTGTTTTACAACTGTTACTAACAGTAATAAACGGTGCATGTTTCATGATTTCTGTGCAGACATTTCCTTTAACAACTCTTGGTTTATTGTGGGGTTCAACTATCTTGGATCATTGAATTTCAGTAGGATTTCACAATGAAGCTTTTCAGTCTAACTTCCACTCCCTCACTCTTGGAGTTCACCTATCCAGTTAACCCTTTACACCCTAACATCAGTATGCAAACTCTCCATACTATACTCTATACATTTCCTAAGGTTCTGACGAGGAGAATTTGTTTAACAATCAAGAGCTTCTAGTAAGTTTATCATTTCCTTTATTCTCGTGAACTAAGTCTGTGATTCAGGTATGATATTATAAGGAGATATTAGGTGTTAATCACTGCTAGCTACATAAGGCATTTTAATTGGTTTTTACTCATGATCTATGATGTCACCATTAAAAACAGTTTGCTTTTTTATCATATAAAACAGTTTTTTGTTGTGGGTTTTTATGGTAGTAGACCACAGAGGATGACAAATGTAGTAAGAATGTGAATGCCACACTTGGCTGTACCTCATGTCCCACTCATGGCTGCCATGGGCAACTAACTTTCAGCAAAGAAAACAGACAGTTTTTAACACAACTTAATGATATATTCTATCCCAACAATTTCTGATACCAATTGGTAGGATCAGTTAAAACTGCAAACAAAATAACAAGCGAAAACCTAATTACAATTTAAACTAAATACACTCAGGAAAATTGCAATGAAAATAATAATGAAGCCTACACAATACCAAAACTTACATTTGTTGTGATGCTGATAGAAATTCTTCTGAATTACTGCCAAACGGTGGAGAGGCTGCACAACATGTGATACGATGAAATATGATTTTCTAAGAAATACAATATGAAATATGATCACCAGCAGACTTGCTGGGTAAAACTAACAACTTAGTTGCACAATTAAGTTAAATACTTGCTACATTATGTAGTGTTACATTGCACAGCGCACACAAAATGCTTACTGTAATCAGGGTCATTTTTATAAAAACAGTAAACAAAAGAAAAAGAACAAGGCATTTGTGATCTACAACACTTTCCTCTTCTTACTCCTTTCTGACTTCAGTGTGATCTATTACTAAACAGGCGTAAAAATTCTGATTCATTGATCTTTGCTTTTAAAGGGTGGAACGCTTAGTCTGGCATGCTGGGATCCAACAACAAATGATGTGATATTTGAGTTTTATTGTGACCCTGGAAAAGGCTGTGATACAGATGTTCAGTTCTGGTTCAGATTAACTCCAAGCCCCCCTGGAGCTGGTGAGAAAATTAGACAAGAAACTGACACTTACACTTGCAAGATCTCATTTTAATTCTCCTTACTTTCAAAATCTTTTTGATATCTCTGGGAGATGAAGGTCCTTTACAGGGTAACAAACCTTGAGATGAACCTCTCTCTACAGTATAGATCAGGGAAAGTTTGAATTTTCCTTTTGTAGTTTGTAGTGTTTTTCAAGAAAGTAAAATTTATATTATTCCACTAAACTTCATCCTCTACTTATTGAGTTACTAATAACTTTAATTACTGATATTTTCTGCCACAGATGTTGATGACTGGTGTCTTGCCCGTAACAGTTTGTTTCCTCATGATTTGAAGGAGGTACCCATACCACGAGATAAAGAGCCAACTGTAAAAAGTTCAACAACCAGCTTTTCATCTTGTAACTTCCTTTTGGGAGGAATATGTCTTTTGATGTTGCACTGGTTTGCACACTTGCTAGAAAATTGAATTCCTGTTAAAGCTTGATTTAATTTTGATTCATCAAGTGTTGTCTCTTCATGGAAGGTAGGCCATTTGCGGTTGTGTACTTAGTTGCCAAGCCTTTGATTTGGAGTGAGGCTGAAGGTGACTATCTTGTGATATAGGCCAGTATCTAGTTAGCATGATGACATGAAGTTCTGTTTCCAATGAATCAAAACTATGACAAACTTTGAGAAAGAAACTAGACATTGGTTATACATTTTCATTAAAAAAAGAACAATACTTAACTTAGCGAAATGCGTGACAACAGCACATGCACGTACATGAAGTGTACTGTCCACTTACACAGGCATGACATGTCAATCGTCCTATTACACTGTCCAGTTACAAGCATGGCTAACTAATCACGTTCTGCAATTTTTGTTATAGTTTTGATTAATAGTGTTGATATTTTCAGTGACAATATTGATGGCAATTTTTTATCACTTTATTTTTTTTTTTGTGATCTTTCTTGGTCTCAAGAGTGGTTCTCACATTATCAATACTTTTTCTAAATAAATGTTAAGGTTAATTTAACCCTTTAACTCCCATGAGTGACCAAGACAGAATTTCTCCTAACAATATCAATACGATATCGACCACATAAGTGATGAGAACAAAGAAAACCATCAATTTGGGGATGATTAGTTGATCCAATACTAAATTCTCTGAACTAACATAAGAATTGTATGGTTGACAGTAAGGAGAATTACAAATTTGTTCTGGGAGTTAAAGTGTTAAGTGAAGACTGAGAAGGAGAATAAACATGAAGTGGAAATACTGTAATGGTAGAGTTGATATCATCAGTGGCTGATCTAGGGAAGGGGCCCAGGGGTCCACCCACTCTCCTTAGCTCAAGGTCTGGATCTGTTACTGATCATACAGTTACTGATCATACAGTTACTGCACACATTTGCTGCAGTGCAACAAAGTTTAGAAGAAATGAATCATATCTCGATCAAGAAGTTAGAAGAGAAAACACCTTGCTTTAGATATACATTAATTGAAAAATTGCTCTGTTGTAAATCATATAAAATTAATGTGTCTTTAGAATAATTAGATCCTTAAATTGAGCATATTTATTTGACTTTGTATCAATGAGACATGATAGTAGTAATTGTAACAGATATTTTATCAAAATGTTTCAATATTTATCCTGTAGAGATGAGGATTAGCAAAAGGACATTGAAATGGTTTTCCTAATTGGTTAGGGAATAAGAATTTAATTTAAAATTTAGCAATTGACTGTGAGGAAATTATATAACTTGATTCTAGACCTCCTCACTCCCAGGAGTTACAGAATATAAATTTTTTCATAAGATATCAATACATTTTCAAACAGAAATGTATTGCTTGATTTCATACAAATTTCTCAGATCTAAAACTATAAGAAATGAATAGCAAACAGATGGGAGAATTTATCTTTAGATCTGGGCCCAGTTGTTCAAAGGCAGATTAGCTCTAACCCAGGGTTAAATTTTAATCCAGCTTTCTTTATTTCTTTGTTCAAAAGTCTTTTTGGGAAAATTTTCACTATTCTTTTCAGAACATCCTATGATCAAATTGCAAGCAAAAAGATTTGAACTGAATTTTCTCTTAAAGTTTTCAGACCTGAAATCAAATTTCACACTAACCCTGGGTTACCTTAACCCAGCTTTGAACAACCGGGGCCTGGGGTTTGCATAGTTAAACTACCACAACATTACCAAATGAAGTTTTATTTATTTTATTGCCTGCTATCATCTGAATTACGTAAATGTTTTTAGTGATGGTGTGTAATTTGTAAATAATGCTAAAATTTTCACTTTTATAGAAATAAATTTGTACCAAATTTTGATGTGTATGTAGTTGTGTTTAATTGGTAACGATCGTAATTTCATTGCGAAGTGTTCATTCAATTCTTTTGATGAGGATATACTATCCATTCTGGGAAGTTCAGAAGAAAGGAAATGATCAAGTGATGATAGAATCCAATGTTGCGATTCAAGCAATCGCAGAAAAAAAAAACTGGGTATATCTAACCTCAAAAAAATTATTTACCGGGCAAAAGAATGGTCCCAAATTGGCGAAAGTCCACTTTGGTCAGCAACTTCAGTTTTCATTTCCCATCCATAATTCGGATCACGTTTGGGAGTCGTTAGCTCGGAAGCTCTTTCAGTCGCTTTTAAGAGCTCTTAAAAGTCTTTCTCGACCGGGATGGAACGGAAAAACCACCTTGAAACTCTCAGCACTCGCGATCAAAACTGTGCGCGAACTGCGCGGTCTCGAGGCTAAGCATTTGTTTTATGACATCAGCAGGATTACGAGACACGGCTCGCGCTTTTGAATTTTTTAGCTCCTGGCTATGTTGATGTTTGACAGGTTTGTGGGCTAAAACCATTAAAATCAAAGTTCAGACAACATCTCCTCCCAAACAATTGCATTTATTACAACCAAATGAAGTTTAAAGTTTTACACCACGTAAAGGTATGTAAAGCCATTTGTGGTCAGTTCCCCACTACGTCTGTTTAAACTGCATCCATTTACTGAGGTGTAATCATGGCACTGCAGTTCATGTATTGGGTATATTTAAAAATTCTGCAAAATAAATTTGAAGGTGTAATTAGTTTTGCAATTTTATAGGCCAGATCAATTTGTGGAGAATTTTTGGACATGAGACAATTTTAAACAGCAAATTCTGTCATGGGAGTCAATAGAAATTGGCATCGTATTGATAAACAAACCAAAACAAAAAAAATAAACAAACGGCGTCTTTAAGGCACAAGGACACGAGGTGCGCGAAAATAGTCTCGCGCACCTCGCTCCAGTCCTGAGACCTAATTCTCGTCTCTAGTCTTCGTTTGTTTCGGTTCCGTCGTCGGTCAGAGCAACCGAGTGGCTCTGGGAAAGAGAATGTCATTTTATTTCTGCTGAGATTTGTGTGATGGATTACGCTGAGGAAAGGGAATGTTTTTTAGCATGTATGAATTTTAGTTTCTGTCTTACCGCTAAGTTGAAGCCCTCCGTCTCTATTCATGTCAAAAGCAACCATATATTTGTTTGCTCTCACCGCCGGCATTTTAAGCCCCATCATCAACTCTCCTGACGTAATAACACCATCTCCATCTTCGTCAATCGTTCGAAATCCAGCATCCTTAAGAGAAACGAAAGTGGATAAAGGAGGCAAGTTTCTAAAGAATAACTGTAACTGTTGTGTTGCGTCGGTTGGGAGGGGGGGGACGGGATTCAACAAGATAATTTGGTTTTAGTTTATACTACATCACTAAATCAGTGGATAGCGTTGCAGGTGCGCTCTGATTGGCTACTTAAACTCTAAATATCCTTTGTCTTTACTTTCGAGAAATTTGACCGGGATGTGCACCCAAAAACATTGCAATCGTTGCAGGAATAAGTGAATTAAAATCATCTTTAAGTGCTCTATCATCTCACTGTTGTAATATAATTTTATATATTTAAACATTTCCAGCTTAGTAAATATGCACCGCTTGCCACCTCCACTTCGGTAAATATTTTTTTAATTATCAGCTGAGTTGCTACTATAAATCTGCCACCATAAATAGTTTCTAAAGCTGAGGTTCTGAGCTCTGGCCCTTCGTCTCCAGTGGCGAAGGGCAAACGCTTGAAAGGTCACTCTTTGTGCCGGTTATTTCAATGAGTTCCAACCCAAACCACAGTTTTACGCAACCAGTGGGCCTCAGACTTTCTCTGTAACAGGGATGATTTAAGCAAATACATAGCAAATACTAGCCTTCTCCTGAGATAGATTAACATGCCCTTACTGTTGATAAACTGTTGGATAACTTACCTCAATGTCTCTTTCCTCCGAAATTTCTACTGGCCTCCCAAATGCGCCGATTGCCCAAGCCAAGCTAACGAAAAAAATAAAAACCTTTGTATCCGCCATGTATCTCAGTCACCTTCGCCTCTGTAACACCTAAAAAAAAAAATGACAGGTCCAATGAACTTGACCATGTTAACGTTAAGTTCGGTTTATTGATTAAGACTCTCATTGGTGCACACGTATGGTTAAAGAAATCGTCTGTATACGAGACTTCATCCTTCATCAATAACATAAATAGAGATAGCGGGATCGAAATTCCTGAAGCGTTGATGTTAACTATCCAGAGAGCTTTAAATCAGCCAATCAGTAACAAAGCAAAGAACATCTAATACTTGGAATAATAATGGAGTTGAAATGCACCAATAGTGGCCTTAAGCAAACCACAACGGCGATGGTAACGAGGACATGGAAAAACAAAAGAACTAATTAGCAGAGCAATAGCTCAGCACGTCGTCTGCGAAACGAAACCGGGACGGCAAATTATTTTAATTTCCATTTGGAAGTTGAGGTGTGGCGCCGTATGAGACGGTAAACAAATGCAGCCATTTTTTAATTCTAATTAAGACAGAAATTCATTTTTCAATCGAAGTCTTCCCTGGAGTTGCCGTCCTGACTGCTTGAGGCCCTTAATGACAGTGCACCAAAACCCACAATGACAACTAACCAAGGCGCTACAAACGGCGATACGCAAACTTCTGACGGAGACTAGTGGTATAGTGTTGGAAATGTCGCGATCAGTACACTATTAATTATCCTGACTCTTACATCATGAGACAAACGATTAAACGTTCTTCTTTAAAAGAGATCTCGCTGTATCAAGAATCAAGAATGGCTTGTTTGTTTTGAGAGCTAAGAAAGAAAGCCAACTCTGTTTGTAGCACAAAAAACCCATTAGAGTTGTTTATGTTTTCTTTGTTTTGACTGTCTTCTGCCGCTTTTTTCGTCTTTATCGGCGACACTGTCCAAGAACTACGGACTTTGTAAGTCCACTCCTTGCACGGGATCAAAGCGAGCAATCCTGAGCGCGAAAGATGGGCTCGTCTTGCCCGCTCGGGTAGCTAATCAGAACACAGGATTCACGTCGTATGGCCCACGGGCGCTGCTAGCGATATAAGGAAACACAGTTGCAACTAGATAAGAATTTAAGCCCGTTGCTTGTAACCGGCAAGGCAGTGTTTCATTGAAGAAGAAGCTAGTGTGATCCAAGACTCCTGATTTTTGCTCAGCGAGTTTGAGAGAAGCTAGTTTTCTCCGAACGTCTCATAAAATTTGCCCAGTCAGTTTCCCTTTGGCTCTCTTTATTATTTTTTTTTCAATTAAGTTTTCACGTACCATAAACTGATCGACGACAGTCAGATTTTTATCAAATGTACTTATTATAATCAAGGAGGGGAAAATTGAAATTTTCATTCAGTTCTAGACATGAATTTTCCAGCCCTATTTTTTGATCAAGAAACTGAAGACTTGGACTGGAGTGAACTTTTAACCGTTCAATGAGTTACCGTATTTTAGCGGAATTTTTCTCATGTTTGTCTGCTGTAGGAAGAAATTAGTGATTATCCCATTTTCTCGTTCAAAAAGCCACGTTATAATCTTTCCTATCTTCCATTGTCTGAACAGTTCTTTTAACGACCAACTCTTAGCGGTGGAAAACTCAGTGGTCTTCTAGCATTCAATTACGTGGTCTGTTCATGCGTTGTTGGTTTGTATGAATTACTAAATTCTTGTTTTTTAGCGCTTAATTTAACAATCAAGAGAATTAACATACCTTTTCTCGAAAAACTATAATAAAAAAAGTTGTATGTAAAGCTTGGAGAGACGGTTCCGACGTGAAACAACCTTGTGGAGTAAAAATTAATAAGCGAAGCTCGCACCCTCACTCAGGATATAAGCAAAATTCAAAAGACTTTTTAAGCATTCCAATGAAAGACCCCTCATCTCTATGACATAACTGTTCCAGAAAATTATACTGAGGTTGCTCGCTGGGGGGAGCGAGGAAACTATAGTAAAAGCCATTTACTTCAATGTTCAATCATCATTTTTACATCAAACCGGTGAGACAAATCGAAATACCGTAGACTCTCTCTGAGACGAACACAGCTATGACCGAATTTGCATCCGGTTGTCCGAAGGAGGAAAATGGCAGACTTAGAGGAGAGGCAAGAGAACACGACACTAAGAATTGTTAGGAAACAAGGCTATACCGATGCACATTGACTACACAAATACAAACTAACTATAGCATAACTAACGCTTTCAAATCGTCATCTGGTTTAAAAACAGGAATTTACGTATGATGCAAATTTCGTTTCCTTTATAATAGAAAATGTATGATGTTTTTTCCTGTCATGCTAATTAAGGCCTGTTCTACCTTCCTTTTGTTTTTATATATATATATATATATACATTTTTTTCACAAGAAAAAAAATTCTGAAGGGGTTTACTAGTTGTAAATTGACTGAAAAACAGCAGTTGTATCATTTTCCACCAAAAACAAATCGAAGTTTCAAATTAATCTGAAAGTCAGAGAGTTATTTGAAAGTGGTCGGAGAATTGATTGATTAGCGAAGGATTTTAAAAAGAATTAAAATGTAAAACAGCGTTAAGAAAAAAACAACTGAAAGCAAAATAGGGCTATGATGGATGGGCCGGTGAAATTTCATGAAGCAATTTTGGTTGGGAAAGTATCATAGATAATCCATGAAACCTTGATTACAGTGGAGGATCAATTAATTTAAACCAATACAAAAATCGATTCATTTTCACATCACTTTTAATGGAATTTCTCGTAACGCTTTCGTCGTATATATATTTAAATTTCACTTGGAACATTAAGATTCAGACGCCTAATACAATACTGATTTAAATTTCTACATTCGCTGCACTCTCAAGAGATCACGGACATAAACGTCAGTAACACAGTTCGAATTCAGTGTGCTACCAGAACACTAGTAAAAATAATGATTTTGTTGCGGATTCTTTCAGTGGAAATAGGCGACGGAGCCCAAGCTCTAGATGCTAAATGTTTGTACAGTCGAACCTCGATTATCCGGACTATTCGATTATCCGGACTTTCTTCTCTGGTCCCAATTTTTCCATATTAATTAGTTGTGATCTTGAAAACTCAAAGTCGCAAAAAGCCCAATAATCCTTTCAAAAGACTGTTGAAACAGCGTATTATCCTGTGCGCTTTTCAAAATTCGAAAGTGCGACGAGACAAAGAAATATTCTGATGCGTTCAGCTGAAATATGGTTGGCTTAATTGTTTTGTTGCCAAGGGAATTTCATGCTTGTTTGGTTCCTTCCGCGTGGGTTATGTAAACACACGAGCGATCGATCGTAAACTCAAATAAAAAACATGCCTACGAAGCGAAAGCTAGCCGTTCTATTGATTAAAGATAAGCAGATAATTATTTCACATTTCTATCTCATTAATATTCATATTTTCGACTATCCGGACTCTCGATTATCCGGACTATTTACCGAGGTCCCGATGAGTCCGGATAATCGAGGTTCGACTGTACTGATTTTCTTTCTTTTGGCTAGGAATCCTCTTTTCCAAGCTCAGAAATCCAATATCAGATCCTCAGTAAAAGAAAAAAAAATGAAAAACTCTTCCCATGGAAGTTACTGATTACGCAACTCGTGCAACGAAAAAAAGAAACTGAGTATATCTGCTCCAAATGATCCCACCGATTGAAGTAAGCAAAGGTTCTCGATTCAAATCTTCTGATCGAGGACAGTTTTTCCCTGGCAATAGGAGATAAATAATATTTATGATAATGTGCCTGATGATAACGAAGTGCACCTTTCACGTAGCACAAACGTTGTGAATTCAACAAAAGTTTTTTTTGTTTTTCGGTCACACCATCTAAATTCTAAAAGCCAAACCCAATGAATGCTTGAAGCCGATAACTTCAAATGTTGTAAGACACTTATGTATTAACCTTCCCAAGTCTTATATCTAAGCCAGTTGATCTCTGCTGATTTAATGTCGGACAGAACTTTGCAGGGCTCAGTCTAGGGACGCTATATTTGTTCCCTTCCAAGGAAGCACGCGTAAGTATAAGCTGCCTACTGCACACTGGCAATGAATTACTTGATGGCGGAGGGAACAAATTGTTAACCATTGCATATTCAAGTTTTTTCGTTGCATTAAGGACGGCTCCCTCGACCGTGATTTGCATTTCGTTGATGACTTGGAAAAAACATGAAAATTTCATTTTAAAGAATTATTCTTTCTGCTAATGATATAAAACATGAATGTTTTACATAGTCCATGTAATTGAGACTTTTTTTTTCGATGTCTCGTTAGAACAAATTAGTTCAACCTTTGCATCTTTTTTTAAAATGGAAGAAATATATTTTTTAACATATTTCAAAGTGGTCGATTTTAATACTTAAGGGTTTATAAAGGAAAAAAATAAAAATGAAAACGCAGTGAAATAAAACCAAACGAAAACCAAATACGGGGATGACAGATGAGCAAATTGCATTTAGGAAAAAATTTTGGTTGGGAAAGAATGGTAGATCATCAAAAAAACCTTGACCACTGTATGTGAAGAAGCGATCAATTTAAACCAACAAAGAGAAAACTCTTGTTTCATTTTTCACTTTACTTTTAATGGAAGTTGTAAAAACGCCTTATTCGTGTTTACATTTAAATTTCATATTAAAAATCAACTTTCAGACGCCTAAAACAAATTGCTACATTGCGTAAACTAATTCAAATTTCTACATTCACTGAACCTTCAGGAGATCATAGAGACATAAACCACAATTACACGGTTCGAATTCTGCGTGAAACCAAACCGAGTCCATCGTTCCATTCCAAAGCTTTCAATAATGCTCTAGATTCTCCTGAAGTACCAGCCCGATTCGTTTCCAGGGTTCCTCTTCTAACCTTCAGCCAGTCCCTCTCTCCGCTCAGCAGGAGGAAGAGAAAAGGGATCCTGGAAACAAGTTAGACTTTTCTTTTTTTTTTTTTTTTAATTACGCATAAACGGAATTCGAATTCTGCGTAACTGGCTTGAAAGTAAAGTTAATGTAATCTGCTCTTGTATCGTCGCCAAGTACATCTGAAATTTAAAAATGAAGAGAGAAAAAGTCAGTGTTTCGTGTCTAAAATTTTTGGAGCTTCCTGAACAGTTTAATTGCTCTAACCATGGGGTTATTTCCTCATAGCTATAGTTTCCTTATAGGCCTTTTCGTATTTGCAATTTATGGATTTTCATCCACGCGTTTTTTTATCCATCCAAGTTTTCACAAAAGTCCAAACTTATACGAGGTTTACCTCAATCAGGAAGTTTCCAAAATTTAAATGCTCTGGCGATTTGGCGAAGTGTTTGTATTCAAATATTTGAAGATTTAAGTAAAGGAATCTATGACGATCTTGATATACTTCGCAGCCGTTTTTAGTAATGTCACGCAATGCCCTCCTCGGAAGAACTTTACTTTAGGGGTTCTTTGCGTGACATCCCCACGAATACGTACCTACCAGCCATTCTGCGTCAGCGCCTTAATACAGATCCCTGGGACAATCTAATGCTGAAACAAGATAAAAAGTTTCAGAATATCTGTAAAAAATTTCGAGGGCATACGGGATGTATTTGTAATTTTAGGCAACTTTGTATCTGTTGATAGTTTAACACAAACGTTAAAGTTGATCAGGACCCTATGACAGTGAAAAGGAAATTTTGGCTGTAAAAAGGCATTTAGTCCAGAGAAGGTAGAGTGCGTTTACGCGCTTCCCCTAGGATGAACTCGCTGGGTTTTTGTTCCTTCTTTAGTGAAATGGTGGTTCTGATTCCTTCATCAATCATAAAAAGGGAAGCTTGACACAACGAGAAACCAAATATTACCAAATTGCGTTAACGTGCAAGCACATTCGGCTGTTCGCTTTTTCCGTTTTCTCTCTTGGTATACTATTAGCAGTCCATCCTTTCCGGCGAAATCCGTCGCACAAGTCAACAATAACAACAACAACAAAACAAAACAAAACAAAAAATTGCGAAAAACAAACAAAAAATATCGATGCCAGCGCAACGCGCAAAAATCTGGGAGTGAGGTACAGATCTCGCGCCTGAAAGAGCATTGTTTTGTTCTTTCTCCAAAAGAACAAGAAAATTTAGAGAGATGCTTATACCGGGAGGCGAGGCTACTTTTCGGAGGTAAGTGGGGGCGGGGGCGGGGAGCTTATAAGCAGCAGTTTCCGGTATTTGAGGTTAATTGCTTTATCGAAAAAAATAATAAAATAATTGTGTTAAGCAACCTTGTTCCCAGTGCCACTCTTCCTGCCACTCCCCTCTTGGGGGCTGGATAAGAGATTCTGGGAACGAGTTTGCGCCTCTCGATGACATTTGAATTTGGAAGTTCTCAAGGATGCTATGGATACTTACGATGACATGTGGCGTAGCAGTATTTCCCCATGTAGTATTTAATTGCACCATCCTTGCAAAAAGATTCATATCGGGTACAGTATCTTTGAGCTGGATATATCTTGTCAAGCTCATTTTCGCACACTAAAATGAGAAAAGAAAATGAAAAAAAATTAGTTGAGGTAAAACGTATGCGTCAAAGGTGACATTCACATGACAATCGTTCACATCCCAGACATCTAAACACGAGCGAAGATAACTTGGCCCAGCGCATCATGTCGAGGCTCACTGGTGCAGTTCCCGCGAAAAGGGAATAAGAGAATAATGGTTGTGATGCAAAAGCTTAAACCCTTTAAACTCTAAGAGTGACTAGCATCTAATTTCTTCCTACAATATCACTCTTGAATCACACATTAAGGTCATGAGAATAAAGGAAATGGTCACCAGGGAAGTAGCCTTTTGATTAGCAAACAAATTCTCCTTGTCAGCACCTTAGGAAATGTATAAAGAACAGTATGGAGAATATGCATACCGATGTTAGGGCGTAAAGGGTTAAACCATCCTTCCAATTCCAAAGTGGGAAAAAATTTCACGAGAACAAAATAATTTTTCAGGGTCGTGAGTGGAAGCCCAAAGCAACGAGAGGCCACCCAAATGGAAAGCCATTGTTTTAGCAAGTGTAACAATAGCCACAAAAATGTCTGTGCTCAAAAAGTACCCAAAGGATTCATTATCGGCTTCGTTTTCGAACAGAGGCTCAGGGCATATCGGAAAAGGCCCGATCCCTCGAGGCTGCACCGTGTGCGTATTTTTTTCGTTCCAAAAAAAATTCCTCTGCCATAAATCATAGTTGGATAAAGCTGAAGTACCTACCACGACTTCCTCCTGGGTTTGGGGCTTTCGTTGGGGCAGAACCAACACCTATAAAACAAAGAATAAAACTGAGAACCAAATTTCGCCGATTCTATCGAAGGACATGGCTTTTGTGTACTTCTTTTCATAAGCCGATCTCTGTCAATTTGACTTAGTTTTTCTCAATCAAACGTTTCTTCTTGGAGTTGCTCTTGAAATCAGTTTAAAGCTGATCAAGTGGGAAGGATGCTTCTATCCATGAAATCTTCCTTGAAAAACTCTGTGTCAGTTAATCTTTTTCATTAATTCAATAGTATTGAATTCAAATTCAACTCCCAAAAGTATCACCTCTTTTAAATCAAGGTCACGAGACCAGAGGGACGGATTGAGAAATCCAAAAGCTCCTGATTGTTAGACAAATTATCCTTGTAAGTATCGCTTGACGGTCACTTCGCTCCAACCAAAGTTAGATCGCTCCGCAATAGAAGTTAATCCGCTCCATGTAAAAAAATGTTGAAATGTTGGCGTGAACTTTTTGTCATGTCGATGATCGACTGTTTGAGAAGTCCGAGCCTATGTCATTTCAGCCTCTATTCGCTTTAACTTTCCTTAACACGGATTCTGTACGTTTTCATACCCAAAAAGCCGCGTTTTTTCGTTGGAGGAATACTTCAAGCGTCTTTCTTAAATCAACTTGGCATCGCGAACGGCCCTATAGTTTTGCTTACGAGAAGACGACATAATAACCTCATCATACCACTTTTACCTCGCGTGATTGGTTGAAAACTTGCCATGACAACCAACGCACACGCACGATTCATATTTTGAGACTTCACAGCGTCAATCTCTTAACGTACACAAGTTCATCTCTACGAACTAATTAATGCAAATGATAATGTAAGAGATTCATGACAACTCTTCGCGCGTAGTAAGATTTTACATTTCAATCAAATTATGTTTCAAGTTTTTTATTTGTTTTCTTAAAGGATATAACTGTGAAAAGCTTCAACTGTTTTTCGCTGTTAAGTCCTTGCTCTCATTTGATTTGTTTGTGAGGTTGTTTACCCTGAATGTGTATTCTATTTATTCCATTGGCGATCATTGCTATCATTTTATTTGATGGCTCCTAAAGGTGCCGTCTGTTAGTTTTGTTGTTTTATTTGCCTATTCTACCGGTCCATCGAGATATGAACATAGCTTTCAGCAACCATTTGGCTGAACGTTCTTTGGCCTTGCACTCGTCGCAAAACAGTTTGGTCTACAGCTCGCGGTGCTTGCTGTCGTTGGATTCTCTTAAGTTTCCCGTCAGAAATAAGGCGAGACGTATGGGGGATTCCCGTTCCACAAGCACAAGGTTGCTAACGGAGACAACCGTCCCATTGGAGGCCTTATTGACGCACTCTTACTGGATTTTGGCAAGCAAACTATTTGCAGACATGTCATTGAAATTTTGACTTTTTTGATTACGTTGCGATTGGAGCTCAATGCTGTTATGATTCCTCGTAAAACAAAGACAGATCCCTTTGATCGCGATTTTCTTTTTGGGAAAAATGCGTAAGGATTGAATGATTAGAGCAATTTTTGCTCACTAATTAATTACTGATGTCTCGCCTTTAGATCAACATTTGTCTACACATCACGCGTGGGCAACACGCGTGACAAGAAAACAACAACAACAATACAGTCTTGATTACGAAGGTTGGACTTAGCAGTTCAGGGCGTTTCGCTGTAAGTTCACTAATGCAAGAGTGATAAAGAACCTTGTAAAATGACACAAACAGCTCAGTTAAGGTGGCATTCAACTTTTTTAAAATAAACAAGTTTGAAAGGTTAAGTTCGCGCGTTCCCTGTGTTGTGCCAAAAAAAAAGCTTGAATCAACATAGGTTCGCACATCACACGTGGTTTTCATTCCGATCGAAGAAAGCATATATGCACTTAACACTAAATTATGTCATGGAGAGTGAAGTCACTTCTGTCTGGGGCGAACTGACTTGGAGCGATCTGACCATGCGGCGAAGTGACCGGATACCAGAGGTTTGGCTGATTTGTTAATATAAAGCCCCATAGGGAAGGCGTGATTATTGGAACTTAAAACTTAAAGAACGACTGTAACATGAAGTACACATTTAAATCATAACCAGTACAAATTCCCTAAATGTGATTGATGGATTAGCTGCTTTATTCTTCACTTATCATTATGAGCAGTTGTAATAGGACAGTTGACTGTAATCGGACACCTGTAGCAGCCAATCATACTTCGTTCTTCAGCCAAATCCACCAGTCACATAACTGATCACAATAACTATAAAAACAACCACTTATCCTTAGAAAAACTGTAAAATACCCAAAATTGAGGAATTTTTTTACTTTAGGCATTCTATCTACCAAATATATTTTTCCAAAATGTATTCGTTGTTTTCAGAAATTGGCGCTTTTATGAGTAACTGGTGATAGAACTTTGCATGTGTTGTCAAATTCGGTCTGTAATCATGCTCAAGATTGACAAGTTGGATCCCCGCTTCGCAGTCGTTTGCTTCTGTCAATGACTCGTATGATTACGGACCGAAATAGATTCCACTCGGTCCTATTACCATTATTAATTATCATGATGTTACACACATTGGTCTTAACCATCTACTCACAGAAACCGCAGGATAGTCTGCAATGTGCCTTGACATACTCCTGAATACTTTCATCCGTGTCTTTACAATAATCATATGACTCGCTCTTATACTCTTTGATGGCGTCTGCGCAGTGCTCGTTATCATCCCTGCAGTCTGTAATAAAAAGACAAGCACAGTACAGAGGCGCTCACCTGAGAGAGACTCCTGAAAGCGGAAGGGTCGGGCAAGGGAAGGGTAGGGAAACCTTTAGAGGTGTACCCCTCGGCTTACCATACCTATCTCGTACCCAAACCTTTCATGGCCGAGCATTTCAGTTACAGCTCAGAGGGGATCTGGGTACGAGCTTACTCCACATCTTGACTCTACTTCAGATCGAGGCGTGCAGTCAGTAAAACGGAGAGAACAAACGAACGGCGCCACAGTAGCAGTGAAACGTAAAAAGGAAGCAGGTTTGGGTCCCAGACCTCCCTCGTTTTTTCGCCAAGCCGCTCCTATTGCGCTTTGTTTCACAGACCGAATGCCTTGAACAAGCTAGACATGTCATTTTTTACATCTGTTTAATGATCTGTCCTCTAAAAGTTGGCAAGGTTAGCGAATTCACAACGCATAAACGCAACATTGACGCATTCGGGGTTGAAAAGACAAATATACTCATTGCCGTAGACAATAGCTCAGTTTGATCTAATATTATCATTTCAGTAGATAATACCAAATTACCCTGTTATACTCTCCCACCGACGCAGCACCACAGTTTCTCCAGAAACTTAACCCCTTTATTCAGTAGCTCAGTTTGCTGCGTGACACAAAGAGACCGGGAAAGCGTTACTATGATCTTTGCTCTGTTAGAGAGAAGAGGTTGTATTATATTTTCAGCTCGTGTTGACATTCACACGTGATTGCGGAGAAATGTTTTTCTGAATTAGGAAACGTGTGTTGATGCATTTCCGACGATCAAATGCTTTTGTGGCTCTTGTTAGAACACAGCCCGATTTTATACCATAATGGTGAAAATCCAGTCCCTATTTCAGACCAAAGCAGTTCAAAACCCAAAGGATTTTTAACTTTCTGGAATTCCTGTCTGCGGACACACGAAATTCCCCAATAAGTAGTCTCTGAGTCGTTTAACATAAGCAAAATTTAAACACAAACAATACCTTCGTCCATTCTGAAATTTGCGTCGAACATGCGCCTCAGATGAAATTCACGTAGGGTCCTCAAAGCTGCAGGGAAAAATTCAAATGTTAATTTTAAAGTTGAATTTTTTCCGAGAGGGAGAGAATGAGATTATGATTGTAAATGATTAAAATGAGAGAAAGAACGAAGTGGCGAAAGAGCGTGTCTCTCCATCAGTCAGTGAAGTTAAGTAATAACAGATTAATAGAAGTAATCACTTAACAATACCTCTAGCTCTTAACGCATCGTATTCCCTCTGGTATTTAGCGTCGAGATACTCATTTTTATCATATGCGTCGTAGCGTCTCAAAGCTGTTAAAAAAATAATAAAAAATTACAGTGCACTTTTGAAGGAAACTTCGTTCGAAAGGAACAACAAAGACGAACGAACCTCTTTGAAAGCGATCACTAAAATATGTGTTTTTCATGATATTACTACATAAGGATAATTATACGAAGTAAATGAAAGAATTGAAAAAATAGACGCCACGAATTTTTGGCGAAGTTTGGGTAAGAGATTGAAACATTCAAGCTGTAACCAAGCCCGTGAAAAAATCCGTGATAATGTTTGGTTTATGGTGAATTGCTGCCTGTCAGCCGTATTTGGGGCTGTGCCAATTGCAAGTGAAAAAAAAACCCTAATTGCCTGGTGTCGATATCTAATTTTCCCACACGATCAGAAATGTTTTTTTTTTATTTCATTTTTCACCGTAGCAAATGATGCCAACGATTTCTCCTGTAGTTGTGTGCACAATAACTGTATTATGATTATTGATACTGAAAGTCGAACTCGCTGGGAAAAACTCACAGTGGGCCAAATTATTTGAAACATTAGATATCCATGGATTATTTACGGAAATGGTTAGTTAGATCTAGAAGTTCCGAATATGCCATAATTCTTTAACTATATTATAGCAAAGGCACGCGTGCAATTAACTTGTGATTTTGTCGTAAATTTAAAAAATCAGAAACGTTTTTCGCTGGAACGTTTATCCCTTCCGTACACGTTTGCTGATGTTTGCACAGTTCGAGTGAAGAATAACCATTGCCAACGAGCAAAGCAACTTATTGTTGCGTTGAAGATAGTTAAACATACATGTTTACCTCGCTCTCGTAGGATATCTCGCAGGGTATAGCTTTGGACCAGGCCAAAGAGAGCTACAAAACCAAGCAAAAGGAGTATTTTGTCCATTTCGAGGAGAAAAATGTTCAAATTACCAGCTCACTGTTTACGCTCTGCAGGCGGTTAGTTTCAACTGAAGACAAGTACAACGGATTGCTTCAATTTAACTCTTGTTTTGATTGACACTTTGAAAACGCGGACGCTTCTAACGGAATTTTTGGCGGCTTCCTCTCCCACGCATAGTCAAAACGTCAGTTTGAAATAGCAATGACTTTAAAGCGTTTTTTTGAAGGGCACTGAAAATATCTTAAAAGAAAGGTTTCACTTTAACATTTGAAAAATAGCAAAATCATTGGTAGAACTGGATGCACGATCAGTTTTGCTTTTATATGTCAACCTTTTAAAATCATGTTAGGGGATTTTGGGATTTAATTCAAAAAATGCTCTTTGTCTTGCGCACACAACAAACAAATTACATCGATGAAAACAATTGCCAGATTTATCACAACAGGGGTCGATTATTTCCCGGTAACAAAAATATCGTAGCCGGCAAAGTCAATATTTATACAATTTTTGGAGGGAAAAGACGTTAAGAATAAAATTTATGGTCGAAATTACCAAATTTAGGATTAAACGTCGCGAACGCAAGAAAGTTTATACTTTAGCGTTTGTGGGAGTTTGAAAATATCTCAAGTTCGTTTCCTATCATTTGTCAAATTGTTATCATCCGCGAAATGGGAGTCTTCTTCCGATGTCAACGAGTTAATGACCTTTGTAGATGGACATTCAAAATCTCTGGAATATTTAAACTTTCTTTTCATTTCTAGAAAAAAAACTGCTTTTGGTGAAGCATTCCGTGTCTCAAATAGTAAGGAAAGGTATGTTAGCGAAACAGATTTGCGTCGTGGGAGGAAATATTTATCTAGAAGGGTCGCAAATAAATTGTTTTGCAAGGTTATCGTGTTTTTCCTTCTGTTATGACCTTTAAAAGATCGAGAGTGATTTCAAGCTTTAGTTGATAGCATTAGGAGGATCTTTTGTTATTTCTCAAAGCATCACGCGATTTCGAGGCGTCTCTGGTCAAAAAATTCGTTAGTGAGAAGATTTGTCCTTATTCAGGTGTGGCAGAATTTTAAAATTCCTCAGCTAGTGCCAGCCCGCCCTCTGAAATTTTTATCCCTTATAAGTTGTGATGAAAACCAGGAATAGCTATGAAACACAAGTGTTAAATATTTTCGCAATATTTTTTTGCTAGCCTCGTTTTATACTCAATTTGTGTTAGGAAGCATAGCCGGTTGCCCTCGCCGCGTTTGGTTATCTCTGCAGAGCGACAGAAACTACGATAACTAGTTCTTTCTTAGTGTATTTAAGATTATGACTGGATAATTCCTCAATCCGCATAATTCTTTCTATGTCCGTCAAATGTATACACTACACAGGAAGCAAAAGGAAATAATCTCAACGAACATTATTGTAAACCAATCAACAAACTCGTATGGAAAAAATAGTTTGTCTCTACAGCACCAGTTTAGTTTCTAATAATACACTAATCTTTGCGGCACATTGCCCTGTGTAAGCTGTTTTATCAGCGTAGCCAGGAAAAATTGAAGGCGTTTCTTGGGCTGATTCCATACCTTGTGCACATGCATGCAGGCGCCAAATGTTTAGGGAGCAAATAACGGACCGAACCACGTCAACGACTGCTAAATGGGGGAGATTAGATCGGATTGAAATTACGAACCTGAAGTTGGCGTGAATTTTAATACATGGTCATTGTAAGAGGTACATGAGAGCTTTTGTCATCCTCTTTTATTTGGAAAGACCGGTCGCGATCGCGTCGATCGAGCAGTATAATATTCTTATGCACAAACGAGGCGTAAAGTTTGATTTTTCTTAGAATAGAATTAAATAGAATAGTTTTATTTGAATAGAAACGTCGCAGTCCGCAGACTGAATTGCGTTAAAATACAATTATGATAATTAGTAAAGTAAAAAGTTGATAACAGTGATTTACAATAATGTTAGGAACTATGGTATTCATATACCGTAGTTATTCGGTTATAAGGCGCACTCGGCTATAAGACGCACCCCCAATTCGGCAACTTCATTAATGCATGTTTTCAAACTGAGAAAATCGCTAAAATACTTGGTTATAAGGCGCACCGTTGTTTGGGGAGTAAAGATCGGTCAAGTTTATTGTAAATTCTTTCATAAACTTACAAAAAAGCGAAAAAGTCGCGTATTGATTTTAGTTTACCGTTAATCAACAAAAGCAGAATTGTCGCACACGCGACCACGCACACAAACAAAAGCCTTGATTAAACAAGATGTACCGCCGAGAATGCAGGTCTTGGTGCACTAAAAAGGCTGAAAGGATGAAGAAGGTATTTAACTCTTCGCTTGTTTATTTTCGTTTCGTTTTGTGACGTATCAAATTACAAAGCACGTGCTCTCGAGCACGTATCACATCTATGCAAATTTGACTTCGCCTGTCTTTTCAGAACCACCATATTCATAAAAGTCAATGTGTGTGTGTCATTTTATTTGCTTGAAATAGTACCAGTAACTGTGATCAAAAAAAATTGTTTCGGGAAAACATTCGCCTTTAAGACGCACGCAAACTTTGGCGGTAATTTTTCGTAGAAATTAGGAATTTCTTGAAAAAAACGGTGCGCCTTATAACCGAATAACTACGGTAAGTTAAAAAAATTTATTTAAAAAATTCTATACTACTCAATGAAGTCTAACCAAAGTCCCCCATAAGATGTTGCAAGGCGCCATGAGCTTGTGGATATTTCGTGTTTTTGAGGGTTCCGCGAAAGTGCTTTGACACAAGAGAAAAAGACAAAACAAATAATAGCACATCATTCTCTTTTGTCTTAGAGGAAAGTTTTTGTTACGACACTTTTATTAATCCTATTGTATGGTATTTGATTCACAAATACCAATCTAATCATCAGTTCTAACTAATCAGTTCATAAAGAAATTTATAAAGACATTTCAGTGTACATTACGTAATAAAGAGTGCTGAGCATCTGCGGCTTAAATCATGGAACAACTAAGTTAGCATGAGCCCCATTTAAAGATTATTGCATGGTCATAACACAGGCAGACCACACTATGTGTTCGTGGGTAATTATTTTTGACATAAGACGAACAAAATCTATGAAGTTTACAAATGAAGCTCTGAAAATTGTCTATCTAAACTTCATCTCGGTCTCAATATCTCAATAAAGTTAAACGAAATGTTAATCGATGCATTTGTGATATTTTTTTCCTTCATGAGCCGTTTGGAGCGTTCTTTCGCAGAATTGTCTTTGGCTGGCCTAAAGTAATTTCGTAAAAAGACGCTGCAAACGGGCCATGGAGGCGAAAAATATCGCAAATGCATCGATTAACATTTCATTTAACTTTATTGAGATATTCCGACCAATATGTAATTTTTGGATGCAATTTTCAGAGCTTTATTCATAACCCTCACAGATTTCGTTCGTCTTATGTCAACAATAATTAACCTCAAACACATAGTGTGGTCTGCCTGTGGTCACAATCAAATCCCAGTGATTCGAGTCCTGTCTGTCTTATTTCCCCCTGTACTAAAATGAAACATTCCAGTTTTAGATTCCCTCTTTCGGATAGCTTAAAATATTTCATTAATATTCTCATAAACAATTAAATGAAAATGATAGGGGCAAGGGTATTATTTCCATTACCTTTTATGGATGTCTGGTCTAGGGAGGTCTAGAGATTCTGGGTATGAGGTTGCTAAGGCAACTTGGTCTATAGCGTTACCGCTGTTTTGTCCTGGTGTTCAGATTTAATTGAATTTAAATTTAGTGCTGTGAAAACAGTCAGCGTCAAGCTATTTAATTCACAATGCTTCTGCTCCTGTTTAATACTCGATCTCAACTGAATAGGAACGGTCTTGTGCACGATGATTAACCTTACAACCTACTGGTAAATGGTATTACTGCATGCAAATTTTACATCATTTTCATGACTAATCATTTTCCTTCGACGAAGGAGAGAGAGAGGTAACGTGCATCTGGTGGCCCTCTCTTTGCCACGCCCTTTGTTTGGACTCTAACCAGGCCAGTTGGAGTTGTACTACCTAAACCCCAACCAAATATTAAATTACGTAATGAGATAAAAATCTGGATTGGCAATTGTTATGTAACAAGATGATTCTTTTTCATAGTCGTACGCCAACAGACCAGAGTTGTCTTGCGTCAAAGCGTTGGAGAAGTAACATCTCCATTTCTTGGCTCTTGAATCTTTCGTTCCGTCGAACAGGGCATACAGGGGAGATGAACATCCATCCTTTGTCATTCCCTCACAGAAGAGATTTCTTTTGGAGCTGATAACCTCGTCTGAAAAGGAAACCAACGTATAGAAAAGAAGCTACTTTTAATTTTGAAACCTTTTATAAATTGCATTCCCAATTGCAGCTTTAAAATGCAGGTTTAAGTCAAATGTTGCATATCGACCGGGAGGATCTGATGCAACATCAAATATTATTAACAGTAAATGAAAAAGAGTTTCACAGAAATAGAACAACTAATGGCACGAACGAAAGGTGAGTAAAGTACTGGGCTGAGATCTTGTTGCCTAGGTTACCTTTAAACGCACCCAGGTAAAACCCCAGAAAAAGTAGAAAAATTTCTTATCTGTTTTGTTTTCACGACACCCCTTTGTTGAAAACTGTGTAATACGTGTTTTATCGCCCCCATATATGGTACTGTTCCACGTGTTTACAACGGGACGTTGTGTGTGTGTTTCCTTTCGAATAAGCCGAGAATTTTGAGTGGGAGTTAAATGAAGCGTTGTGGTAAAATCGTCAAATCAAGTGAGTAAATTGTGAGTTAATAAGGAAACGTGGTACAGCTTTTTCACGTTTTCGACACCTTGGCAAAAGGCACACAATTCAAAGACAACCTACAGACCTGGAAACGTGCACTCTGCCGACGTCTCCCTAGTAACTTGACCCACCACCTGACCAGAAAGGAGCGATGACCAGTCGAAAAAATTTCCTCCCGTAGAATCACATCCTCTATACATCGCAAGCAATATCGTCGTAGACAGCGTCCTGTTCCAAATGTTCAAATGGCTGATCTCCCCGACAAGACCGTGCTCCTGTTTAATTGTATCTGAGCCAGTTCTGTACCTTTGTCCGAGCAATAATTCACCCTTTCCTTTAATTTCCTAATAATTAAAAATATATATGTTTTAGTAAGACACGCAAAAACAACAACAACAACAACAACAAAATGGGTATAAGAAAAATCTGTACTCGAGTTTAACAGCCCATCGAACAGGACGTTATCCCGTTTTCCTTACCACGAAGCTACTTCCCCTTTGGTATGATGTTAGGTTAGTGAAATATTAACCCCCAATATTTCATCACACTTCCCTGACAATTGCGCGCATCCATTTACTCTCCAAAATGGAAAGAGGCACTGCAGAGTTATGTGTTCTACCCAGGAACACCCGTCCAGTACTCGAACCCAGACCTCTCGATCCGGAGTAACTAACCATTATAATACCACGTCTAAACGAGACACATTTACTCAAAAAGAAATTATATATACTACCACGCCTGGCTGAAGGCCAGAGCCACTTTCGACACTTTCTCCATTGACGTATAGCTTCCAGTTGCCTGCGCCATTTTCCCACGTGACACAAATATGTTGCCACCCAGTTTCTTCAAAGAAGTCGTCATAGTCAACATTCCTGTTAAGCAGTGAAAATGTGAATCAATCATCTAATTTCTCCTTACAATATCACCCCTGATTGTTATACAAATTCTCCTTGTCAGCATCCTAAGAAACGTATGGCGTACAGTATGGAGAATAAGCATACTGATCCTCTCTCTTCTCTCCCTCCCTTGAGAAAGAGACTGGGAACGGGATAGGTATAATCCAACTAAGGGCCATAACGTCACGTGATTTCGTAATGGCAGTGACGTCACAGCATAGTCATACTCACATCAGCAGAGAGGTATTTTACTCACAGAAATTTATTGTTGACGATGATGGTGAACGACTTCGGATCGCTAGGCCTTGGCCGCATACCGATGGCATTCCGCATCTCACTTGTTCTGTAGGTAAACAACGTCATCATCTCTGATTGATAGACAGACACCCATACGCACGCTGTGAACTTCACAATGGTCTCGTCTGTCGTGGCGTCATAAAGTTGGACATATGATGGGTTGGTTTGTGATGCAAAAACATACTTGAAGTCCATATTTGGACCTGGAACAAAACAGCAATATCCTGAGTAGATATCATGTGCATTGGGCCAGTGGATTTATGGAGGTCTCGCCTCATTGCAAGTTCGCCCCCAATCTACCCGCCCCCATCGCGAAGAGTTCACTCCATTAAATGAAAAACGCGCTTTTTAAACAACCAATATTTTTACTAATTTCCATTCATCCCGCGGCTTCGACCCCTTTTTCCGCGGCGCCGCCGCCACTTAAAACCTTTACAAACGATCCGGTTTGACTAACTAAAATAATTTCTCAATGAAATTACCTATCAGAAGATCATTAGAGCAACTGCACATGCACTATGTATTCTTTGAATTCCTTCTTAAAAACCTACAGCACAACACTGAACTGCAGAAACCTTCTTACCCCCGAGACTTTGCAAAATTGAAAATAAGTAAATCAACCAAAAGGACGAGCAAATCATGACTCTGGTAATGTTCCCCTTGACTGAAAATATGCTTATTATGCTGGCAGTGCTATTTTTATGAACAAGTAAAAAATTATGCTCGTTTTTCCAAATAAACTATAAATTATGTTAGCAACTTATATGAGGGCCTAGCAAGTAGGCTGTCACTAATGGCGCCTACGAGTGTTTCATAGCCCGGCGGAAATTAGAGCTCTTGATCTACGCGAACCAACGAAAGGTCTGCAAGAGGTCTGGCACTAAAAATAACACAACCTATCATCTGTCACCAATCAGGAGGCTGCGTACGTGGGCGAACGCAGATGATGAAAAGAACAATATTGTCCTTGGGGCTCTCATTATTAGTGCCAGATCCCAGGAACCCTCTAACCGACTCGTCTGAAATCTTCCTAGGGCGTAGGAACCCGCGTCTTGCGGAACCAATACTGAGAGTGTGATCGCAGGCTTACAACAGAACAATCAGTAATACTCACGTTTCGGTGGATCCTGGGAAATGGAAACAACTTCAACCTGACCGTAAGCCTGACCTCGTATGACGTCTTTCCAAGCCACAGTGTTCCCATTCTCTGTGCCAGATCCTGTTGCTATGTCAACTAGAGCGAAAGAGTGCACCACGAAATTCCACAGGTTTAAGTGACTCAAGAAGCCGACAAGCGATTGTTTTGCATCAAAACTTCCTCCAAGGTTATCCTGTTCTTGACCGAAGATAAGAATCCCGCCTCCGCGGATAACATCTCCATTTCCGTACCCAGTTACCACTCTCATCAATGAGCCATCTATATAAAACTTAAATTCACCTCCATTGTTTGTCCACGTGACACAAGCATGATGCCAGTGTTTGTCCAGAAAGGGAGCCCTGAATGCCTGTCTGAAATGAAACGACAACAGAAAATAGTCAATTAAGGAACAGTAGCATCCTCCTCAATATCTGCAGAGTGTATAAATACCCTTCGCGGCATCGGAGGCCCATCAATGCAGTCCTTGTTTTTTTTCTCGGAACGAACTAAGGGATCGACTTTCCTTTTTTGTCTCCCTTCTTACTCGACTCGAGGACACCAGCAGGCCTCAATCCCAGGCCTTGTCATTCGGACTCCACTCCACCAACAATTTCTTTTTCTCCAAACAGTAAAATGAGCTGAGAGGTATACTTACAACCTTTTATTGTTGATAAAAATTCGTATCGTCAGGTCTTTCTTCAGCAAGAGAACCAGAGCGTTTGGCGATTCACTGTTAGCATAACTAAGAGAAGTGGCGTCTGCCTGTATGAAGACGAGTTTTGTCCACTGGCAGAGAGTAAAGGCCTGGAACGAGGGCAGTGACCCAGAATATTTTATCCGATCAACAGCTGTCATGGCTGGAAATTTCAAGGAGACTTTGGAAGAGAGATCTAGAGGAAAAACGAAATTAATTAAACAAAATATAAAAAGAAATAAAAATATGAAGAACATTCAGTCACGTTTTCTAAACATAATTCCTTCATGAATCATGTGAAAAGGTAAGTGTGCTGCCATGTCATTGTTGAGATGTAACACAACGAGGCTCTTCGCTGCGTCGTTGCGTGACATCCCCAACATCTCATAGCGCCTGTGGGGTTGTGCGTGCATATTTGCCATCCAAGCCTATGATGCGTGATCATTGATACTAGTGCGCCGTGCAGAAATCTGGCGGTGAAACGGCCGAAAACTCACTCCCAGAGTATCTCGCGGCGCATTAAAATCAATTTTTTCGCTGAGTTTTTTAACTCGCGCGACAGATTTCGCGAAAAAGGACAAACTACTCCTAGTCAGGAGCCCATTAGTAATGGACTCCTGTCCTAGTCTGGATTCAGGGTCTCTTCTCAAATCAAAAGCTGCATGATTCCCTGTGTTAAAAAGTTTTCCAGTATCATTCCTTTAAATTTTCGAGCTCATAGCAACGTAAACATTATGGGCTACAATTCTTTTAGAGATGACCACTGAGCGTATCCACGCCATAGCAACTTGGCCCTATTGTTTTCATAACAACTGGACCCTTCTGTGCTATCTGTTTCAGTCCATAAGATGTTTTGCAATGACCTTTCTGTACTCTGGGGACCATTCATTATTTGTCACCTGCGGGAGGAGGGGATGGGAGGATTTTGGTACTTTTCGACAATGGAGGGTGGGAGGGGGGAAGGAGTCAGTCGTTGCTTACAGAGTATAAAGGAAGGACTATAGAAAATTGAATAACAATGAGGGGAGGAGGGGAGGGGCATCATTAGAATAGTACTGAGCCTTAGGGGGGTAAGGTGATTATATTGTGAGACAGCCAACATCCTCTCAACACCACCCCACCCCTCCCCCTCAGGCGATAAATTCTAAGCGGTCCCCTATTTCTACTAATAAGGTACCAATTACTTACCAGGTCCGCCGCAAATTGACCCTTCTGTCAACACAACGTTGCCCTCCAGAACATTTCTGAAAAGCGGCCAGCTTACGACATTGCCCACGCGACTCGAACAATTTGTAGCCAAATTGTATACTTCGTTCTCCTCCATGGCATAATCCCACATGTTCACTCCATTGATGTTGCCAGTGAACGAGTTGCCTTCTTGGAATCTTCCTTTACTTTTCACAAGCTGACCCAACACCAATGGTTGTCCGAATTCAAACTCAGTGTCTCCTCTGCAGCCGGTAAATGTGCGCCGTTTGTTTGTTTTTCCGTCGATGTACGCCGTACAAATGCGCGTTGACCGCTTCCAGGTGATACAGATGCTGTGCCAAATCCCATTGTTCAACGGAGTGCTGTAAAAATCCCTGTGGTACGAAACAATTTCGAAGATCTCAGTAGACAAGCAGCAGACTTCTCCACACGTGCTTGTAAAAATCGTGAACATACTGAATCAGCGCAAATAGTGGATATAGGATAAAGACCATGTGGATTTAGTGTCGCAATGCTGTATGAAATGAAAATAACTACACCCAATCGCAAGAAAGAACCGATGAAAACTCGAAAGAAGAAAACGGAAGCACTGCAGAGAGGGAAAAAATGCGAGCAACCGTGTGAGGGATGATTTACTTTCGTAGGTGATTGGTTGAGTGATCAATTGGCGCCAAACAATTAATCCAATCACGACGCGAGTAAGCAAAAGCAAAACAATGTAGCGATTTAATTGGTTGTCGTAGATGTGGATTGAGTTCTGTAGGCCAGTCGAAGAGGGTTGTGAGGCAAAACCAATACAGTCGTGGATCAATCTTAACGCTCTGTTGAAAATTGCTCTAAACTAGGGAAAGTTAGCTTCATTTACTATTGTAGATGTTAATATTCCTACCTTTTGACTCCTTTTAAGGAGAAGTTGCACTGCGAATATTCATCACAAATTAGATCAAGGTCGCCGCCTACAAGCCCAAATGATCCTGACTGAGTTGTTTGAAACCAGATGCAAAACGTCAAGGCATTAATGGGCTCATTCGAAATGGCCATGCTTACGTTGTTGGACAAACTTTTTGCCAGGAATTTCAAATCGTAGTCTTTGGACTTTTCTGTGAACACAAAATTTTGAAGATGAGGTCAAAAGCAGATAAAACGCAGAAGCAATTTGGAATACAAACGGCTTCCATGTCATTTGTCAGTCTTTATTTTGAACGTGATTCTCCTTACTGCCGACCATGCAATTCTTGCGTTGTTAGTTTGAAGAATTTGGTATTGGATCAACTAAATAATTCCCTGATTGGTTTTTTTTCTTTATTCTCAATTCTCATCGCTTGTGTGCTTGAAATGGCATTGATTTTGTTCAGAGAAATTCTGTCTTGTCATTTTTTTATGTCAGCTAAGATAATCCCAGAGTTCCTAGCGCATTACGCTAGCACCCAGTCCTCACCTGTCCAGTTTTGGCACACGTCACCAGTGTGAAGGATATCGCAGTCACAAACGAAACCGAACGGAATATCTATTCTACACAAGGTAATGCATTTACCGCCATTTTGACACGGTGACGATGAACATCCGGCGCTCTGTGGAAACGATAAATGACGTTGTTAATTGATTAGGAGAAACCAATCTCGTTCCTAGGTATTTCTTGGTCAATTTTTTTCAAGATGGTGTCGTAACGCCATCGTGAAACTGACTGAGTAATCTCCGAGGATGAGAAAGGTATGATTTTTTTGTTGTTGTTTTTTTTTGTTTTTTTGCGTGTAAGGTTATCGCAATTAATTGATAGAGGAATTGCAAGTTAGGGACCTACTCGACTCACTCTCTCGTCTGGACCCTTTAGATCCAACCACAAATTCTTACTTCTATTTGCCATACCTGGCCGCGAAAATCACTTCAGAGAACTCAGTGCCCTTGTGGAAGATACTTTTGGAAGAGATATTATAAAGCTGCTTCATTCGAGGATCTCGCTAAAAAGAAAGAGGCCGTTGTGGACTGGGCACATTCTCGTCCCCATAGCTCACTCGATTTCGCGGTTCGCTTGGGCCTTGCTTGGCACGAGAAATCGAAGCATTACCTATTCAAAGGCTCTGGAGACTTGAAGAATCTTTGAGCTTTAAAGACAACTTTGGACTGCGTAATGGGAAAAATTTGTCACGGAAATCTTGTTCCACACAAAGGAAACGCTTTCCTGTCTAGATAAATTATTCAAGGCTATTTATTTAACTACCTATACCATCTACTGATCCATAGCCTTGATACATAACTTTCAAACGTTTACAGCATTGCTACTATTTACCCTTCCAGCATCATAATAAATCATATCTCCTTGCACCGTATAATTTTCAGGTTTCGTATAGACGCTTTCGCTGCTCAGCTCACAAAGGTGGAGGGGGCCTGAAACCCGGAAGTTGTAGGATCGACATCGAGAATCCTTAAAGCAAGCGAACGAGCAATCAAAAACATCCGGAGCCTGGAGCGAGACAATGATATGACCTATCAAAGCAAACCCTGAAAAAGATAACGAGAAAATATACAAGAAAGAAACACATAAATATATAAAGTAATATTTTATTTTTCATTGTTAAGTATAAATTTTCGCTTTAAAAACTAGACAAAAAGGAAAAACTGGGTTTATACGAGAATCGCGAACAACTTTTAATATGAAAGAGTCCCATTAAGGAGCATCGAAAAGTTCCTTTTAAGAGAGTCTCACTAGGGTTTCGATTTTTTCCGGCTAAAGCTTCAAATTTTGGCCAATTTACGGCTAACGGTTCACATCTTTCCGTTATCCTGATTACAGTTAACTGAAATTTTTTTACGGTTACCTTTTTTCTACTTCTTATAGGATATATTTATTTTCATTTGAAGAGCTTCTTGTTGAAAACGATGAATAACTCATTTCAGATGCTATTGTCACAGCATCTGCGACATAGCACACTTTATGCTGTTGGTCACTATCACGGAAAACATCCTTTATTATAGGTCTCCGCTAGCAAGAAGGAACGCAGAAAATGGCTTTGTTTCGGCCCGTTGGTTCATTCAATTTGCTCGCACGAAGACCATTTTTTAGTAATTTTTCATAGCCTTTTACCTCAAATCACTACATTTTTACAAAGGATTGACAAGAATTGTAAGAAAATAAACAAGTAGAAACCGCTAAAATTACTTAAACTCATTAGTTTTATCGCGTATAATTGTTCGATTTTCTTCATTGTCCTAATGGATTTTAGGTTTGATTAAATACAGCTTTACCAATGAAAGGACTTTTTAAAACATTAGGAAATAAATCACTTCCATTAAATTTGTCGGTATTATACTCGAAATGCTTAATGATATATCAGGATCCCCTTAGTCTAACCGATAAAACAAACACAGCTTCACCATCTAGAAACGCTTGGTGAAACCGTCTGAAATTAAATTAGCGCATGGTAAGAATACTTACCTAATCTCATTAACTAAGTTGTTCGGGTTATTCTTAACACTTTTAAACAAAAAATAACACCAGACTTTTGCACCTCATTAACTTTGCACAACTTATACGAGCGTAAGATGTCTACCTTTTCCAACGTTGATGTAATTTGCCGCCCGCCAACTGCATATTCTCCCGTTTGCTAGAGCGCAGTTTAAAAATAACACACAACGCATAAAAATCGATCGACTTGGTAACGTTTGCATCGGTAGGCAGGGTGTCAGTTTAAAGCTCGTGTTCTTTGTTTTACGCTGGTTTTTGTGAGATGTTTCATTCGAAGTAGAAGCTTCGATGAACTCCGAACTTGGAAAGTTCGCCTGAATCAATTACGCCGACGCTAAATTGATAACCAGTCGAGTTTGAAATGGTTACCATGAAAAATTAATCAAATGTAAGATGTAATTAGCTGTTTCTAGAAACACCACCAACGCTTTTCTCACGAATTGTTTAAAAAAAAATGTTGGGCCAGCAATTATATTTCCCAGGTTCGGCGATCTTTTAGGATGTGCAACTTCATCTCTAAAAAGCTGCTAGTTTGGAAGAGGGTCTCCTATACCCTTTATAAAACTCAGCCACATGAAAATATTTGGCCTTGTCACGCATCACGAATGATATCAAAAACTATTATTTGACGTTCACGCGAAATTTGAGACCTTTCACATAAAAATATAAAACCTAATTCACGAATTTAATTTTTACTCTCTCTTACTCTTGACCAGTCCTGTGTGACAAGTGATGATGCGTCTTATTTTATTTGTTCAAGGACCATTAAAGGTCGGTCTTTTGACTCTAATTGATCCATATATAATGTTAATGTCCTGTCTAAACCCTGGTCAAAACTTAACCACAACCGTTCGGGAACAACACATTTTCAAAACCATTGCAAAGCCGAGAATTCATCACACAAAACAAAAAGGTTCAAGAATCACGTTTATGTTTAGTTCTTCATTCACGAGTCACGTTTAATGAAAAAGTTAGTTGAAGTGGACATGAAAAAGTCTTATCTTTAATCACGAGAAAAATAATCGCTAAATCACACTCCAGGTAAAAAGTTTAAAGACTCTCGTTTAATGAAATAAGCACGATCGCTCTTTGAACAAAAATCTAGCTCTTAAAAAATGTCAATAATAGTACTGGCTTATTATGTCTTCATTTTGTAAAATATTGAGCATAACATTCTTTCAAATTGTGACGCTGAAAAAACAAACCTCTCAATTATCTTCGTAAATGTTTCGGTGCTTTTTTTTTGATCGAAAACTAAGAATTGAGAAAGTTTTTAGAACAAAACTTCAAGGAATCACCTCGAGTGGTAGAAGGAAAAATTTGAAATTCTTGGTGTTTGGATGAATATGAGAAAACAACTTCATGAAATGTCGGTGGGAGGGAATACTGTTTGGCGTGTGAAAGCGGAAAATTACTTAGTTACACGCTTCTGTCCAAGCACAATTTAAGCTTTGATTACACGGGTGGCAAAGGAAAGTACATCATTAATTACTGTTCTCTGTTTTTTCGTTAATGCCTTAAACTCCGCTTTGAAAGAGAAAGGAATTCGATGCTGTACTATTCCCAATTTGATTAGTAAAGGCTCCGGCGTAAAGGTTGCTTGGAATTTCTCGTAAGAAATAACAAAGGCAGAAATTTTCTTCACAAAACGAGTTTATTTAAAAATGATTCAAATCTCAACTTGTGCGACTGCAGGTGAAAACTGTTTCATTCATATGGTAATATAACAATTCTCTAGTAAAAATATTTCACTGCAACTCCTGAAGAGCTTTTAAAGACTGTTAAGAAATTTTGGAAGTTCTTCCCCTCTAACGAGTAGAGTTTCCCCTGCTATCTTCGGGCCTTCCGTTTCCTGAAAAGAAGCAAACATCAGCAAAAAAAAAATAAGAATCATTTGGGAAATATTTCAAAAAAGGTCTATAGTGAGCATTCCGAAAAAGTGACGTATAACAAAAACAAAGTTAAACAAACAAAAGGTGAGCATCAAAACGAACCAATAGGAACTCAAAGTGAAAGCACGTGACATGCCTAAAGCGCGGGCTGAAAACGGGTGATTGGGTAAAAGAGTGGCGTGATTTTTATAGATCAATCACATAAAAAAACCAATACAGCCCCAGATTACTTCAGAAAGTCGATGAGAATCGATCAAATAAGAAAATCATCGAGATAAGTTCAATGAGGAAAGCTAACGAGATGTAGGTTCAATCCTATACCATTTTTGAAACTGAGATTTTTGCAAGATTTTACACCAAAAATCTTGGTCATTTCAACTAGATTTATTGGAGACTGCCTTATCAGGTCATGTCTGACAGTACAGAATCTGGCTGCTTTTTCCAAGAAATTGTCGAAGATCGTCGAAGACGCAAGTATATGACAGTTGCTTGTCAAGAAATTATGAACTCGTAAGCGACAATTTTGCAAATATCGACAGATGTTAAAAAGCTGTCTGTTAAGCATTTATGTCGTACCTTGTAAATGGATGTTTTCTGATAGTTTGTAGCACCGCATTGCCTAAATAAATTTAGAAATGTAAATAATAAAAAGGAACGAGAAGAGAAAAGAGAAGAGGCTAAAATGGAAAGAAAAAATCGAATAAAGGAGATAGCGAAAAAATGGAACAGAGGAAAATAGAAGAATGCACAAGATTGAAATTTAAAGAAAGAAATAGTGTAGTAATAAAGAAGAAATAGGAAAGGAGAGTTTCAAACGATAAATGAATAAAGGGGTAAGTTTCTATAGAAACTGTGGTGCTACGTCGGTGGGAGAGTATAGCAGGTAATTTAGTGTTAACAACTGAGTTGAAAACGTAAATTAGCCACCGTAAAGGGTAAAAAAGCTGACGAAGGGCTAACGCTCGAAACGTCAGCTTTTTTTACCCTTTACGGTGGCTAATTTACGTTTTCAACTCAGTTGTTAACACTAAATTACCTGTTTCAAATGATAGTTTAGCCAAAGGCAAAGAATGGAAAGTATTAAACGGGAAGCAGATTAATGGTGTTAAAACGAAAGCAGAAGAAAATAAACAAACAAACAAAAAACGATGGTGGCTACTCTCACCTGCAAGGATGTTTAGGAATTGGCGATCCATATGATACAGTGCGAGTTTTGCAGTCTTTACACACGAAGAACTTCTTCAGAGCCTTACAATACTTCAGCGCATGCTTTTCCTTGTGGCAGAGTTCTGAGGCACCCTCTGCTACGTAATTACACTACAAGAAAGACCAAGGTGATTAAGGATTGCCTTTAAGGTAGTCAAAATGCCTGTCATCAGAGCGAAGGAACATTATCGCACAGAGCAAAGTAAAAAGGGAAGAGTTCAAACATGCGAACCTCCTGAAGCGCGGAAAAACGCGAGCAAACGCGTGACACCGGCCAATCAAGACTAAAAAAATATCACAAGGAACCAATGGAAAATCAAAGTTTAGACTGCTTAAAGCACGGGAAAACTTTTACGGGTTTTATTTTTTGCATCTGATTGGTTGAGAGGGTGGCGCCAGATTTTTAAACCAATCACCAGGAGAGGTGAGGCAATCCGAAGCCACTTCAGAATATCTTCATTTTTTAAAAATTGCGAATTGCTCGACGTAAACATGGTTAAATGTATATTTTTTTAAGTAAACAGTATATCATAGTGGCGCAGACTGGTTACACAAGGCAAAAGACCGATCAATTTTCATTAAATACAACTAGGTTTAGTCAAACACAATTGTTTACCTGTTTACAGCAGACCACTTTTACTTTGAGCTCTGTAATCGTCTTCATTTTATCCTCCAGTCTTTCTTTCTTCTCCAGTTCGTTGAAGTATTTTTCCTCTCTCTCGGCCTCAGCCTAAACATATAAAAGTATGCACTAACCTTATCTTAGGCCCAGGCTGCACAACACAACGGTGTAATGCCGGGCAGGCGCAAGGGGGTCAATTTTGGGCGCCCGCGCAGAATTTCGAAGGAAAACATAAGAAACCATCGCTTTCTTGCAAAATGGGCGAAAGAAAACTGAGCTGTTTAACAGTAAAAGGAAACAAAAGCCGCGAAAAGGAAAACTCGATACTTTTCGACGAACTCAAAGCTTATTCAAGTGCGGGTATCCTGATTTTGAGCTTTACCGGAAAAGCGGTACGCTTCTAAAACACCGTGACTTTCTAGCTCGTTTGATTGTTTGTAACTCGTGTGAGACAACTTGGTTCAGACAGCCTGAAAGTAGGCCACCTAGTCATTAAAACGTTCGCACATGCGCAGACATTTGACCGCCGGGTTGGATTGCACGTGAGAAAAACTTTCCTGCTCTTAATAACTGTTTGAAAAGCAAAGTTCTGTAAGTCACCCAGGTACAAACGTTAATCGCTTGTTGCGCTTTGGCTCTGCTAGAGCACAACACCGTTGTTTTGAGGATCATTTTTCCTGATGATCAATTCAAAATGTCGACTTCTGTTTTTGTAAAGGGTTTGTTCATGAGAGAATGGACAGAATGAGCGTAGTGAGGTTGTGAGAAGTGGGGGTGGGCAGTGGTGAGAGCGCTCGCCTCCCACCGCTGTGGCTCGGGTTCGGTTCCCGGACCTGGCGTCTCATGTGGGTTGAGTTTGTAGCTGGTTCTCGTCCTTGCCCCGAGAGTTTTTTTTCGGGTCCTCTGGTTTTCCCCCCTCCGCTAAAAAACCACATTCCTAATCTCAATTCGACCTGGAAACAGTGGACAAGAAGAGCCACCTCGTGGAATATCCACTGCTGCTAAAGTACCATTATTATTATCGTTATTATTATGGCTATCATATTCCTCCAATCATCATACTCACCTCTCGCACGGCACCAACATGCTGTGATTTTGCAGCCAGTAGTTTTTTACCTTCTTCGGAAGTCAGATCTATTGATCCAAACTCTGGTCCCAAAATTCGTCTTCTTTTTTTCCTTGAGTCTTGATCTACATTTCCATCATCATTTTCTACAACAGAAACAAAGAACATTTGCCTTCGAAATGTAAGTTGGAGCATGCGCAAATAATGGTTGAAATAGGGCTGTGACAGAAATCACACGGGCATTTGACGTCAAGGGCGGGAAAACGCAAATGACCAAGTCGCTAGGGATTTGAGTTAAACATTCGATTGGCACAAGATTTCTTTTCCAATCACACAGTGCTATGTAAGCCAATCCCATAGTTCCTTTAACGCCGGTTCAAGTACTTTTGTGTGAACAAAAGGCCTAACCAGGAAATCACACATGTTAGATCGGTGTGGACGAGCTTCAGTTAAAAGTTCTCAGGCGAGCAATGTTTAATGGGCATACCTTTGCTGCTATCTTCAAACGCTTTCTTTTGAATTTCCTCCTGCGCCTTTGGAGATAACTTTTTGCGAACAGCATTTGGGTCATCCTTTTCTATAGGTCCTTTCTGTTTCACAAGTGACAAAGCTTTGAGCTGACAAAATAAAAATAACAAATAAACAGGGTTGTCATCAGAAAATGCAATGGATGTAGGATCTGAACTGAGGAAGCTGTTGAACTGAATCATGAATGGCGTGATGCAAAAGAAACACGTCCTTCTGGAAGGGTCAGGGGGGCATGCTCACCTGGAAAAATTTGAAATTTGAAATTCTTTGAGACGCGATTTCCAGTATTCTGGAACATATTTGAGTAACAATTTCTAGCCACATGCTGATGTTAGAAACCGTTCAAAATACTTATTTTCTGTCTTTGATCAAAATTCTCAAAGTAGCAGGGGAAAAACAGCCTGACAGCCGGCGGAAACGGCCTCAAATGACATCTCTGGAAAAAGTGCCGTTTTCTTCGATTTAACAGTGGTTTGAAAGCAGATAAAACGATTATGGAATGACAAGAAATTTAATCCTCAACTCATGTTGAATAACTTATAAGACAATACTAATTTCCCCTTCCCGATCAAAAAAGCGACGAAAACAGACCAGCTTATCAAAAATGTAACGAGAACAGATCAACTTATCGACGAAAAAGGGATTTCGTAATGTAACGCCAAAGAAAGCTGACATGCACTATGTAAATCAAATCCTAAGTGTTAAAATATTTATGCCCAAAGAGAGTATTAGAAATGTTGGAAAGCAACCAAAAATTTATTCAAAAAATTCGAGTTCACATACTCAAAAAACGATGTTCATCTTGCTCTTTGCAACTATTTTTGCTATTTTTTTCTTTGCAAAAAGACAATGTTTAATCATTGCTTTCCTTTTAAAATTGTGATAGGATCGATAACTGCTGTCTGTTAGAGACCGAACTTGAAAAGAAGAGAGAAATTGGGATTAGTTCATGTTTACCTTTGCTCTCTCTGTATCATTTAATTTCCGTTTCCCGAACTTGGGTGAACCATCAAAGAAGAGATCCGATCCTGGCGCCAGACCACGCCCTAACATGGGTGCTCCAAGTGTGCCCGTGGACGAAGACTTCACTCGTTTAAGTTCCTTTTCATGCGCTTTTAAGAGCTCTGAAGCAGACATTGTGGGCTTTCTCTCTTCCTCTGGCTTTTCTGGAGAGAAAATGTAACATTTTGACTATATATATAAAAAAAAGAAAAAACGCAGCCACGAAACATGTTCTGCAGGTCGTGCGTTTGTCCGCCTTGCGGGAAGATTTGAGACGAGTTGGGGAGAGGTTTACTGTGGGCATGGTAAAAATAATAATTAGAGCCAGATCTCTCACCGATTTGCATTTTTCAAGGCCTCTTCCCATACTCAAGCGTTTACCCCTTATACTCCCAAGATCTCATCAGTAATTCTACTTACTGTCTGCAATACAGTTCTCTTGTTGTCAGTATGGATAATTTGGTATTGAATCAGCTAACAATCTCTAGGTTGATATTTTTCTTCATTCTCATCACTTGTCTGCTTGATATTTCATTGATATTGTAAGGAGAAATTCCGTCTTAGTCACTCATGGGAGTTAAAGGGTTAACCGTTTAACCTTCTCCCACGCTCTCAAGCCAAATTTTTCGTAGTAAACCACCCAGAGCAGGTTCCCCGAAATTTCCTATCAATAAAGCGACTTTTCATTCGTCTCAAGAGTTGGTCGAGTACTTTTCCGTGTTTAGCGCCTATAACGAATTTCGTTAATTGTCCCATGCTAGTGAGAGAGAGAATTTATATCTACATCTTGGAAGTGAAAGAGTAAAGATCTTTTTGTAGCACTTACTTTGTTCCTCGTCTTGGTTTAAATGTCTGATCAGATTTCTGGAGCCAACTGTTGGCATTTCAAGAAGCTGTACTCTGTCAAAGCAACGAGAGAAATGAACATTTTTGCTTTACCTTGATCGGTTTCTTTTGTCACAACCAGCCGCTTGGATAGCCCCGTCGCTTATCTAGCACTGTATTTTAAGCATGCGCGGACTACTACTAAGTGTGTAAATGTTGCAGAGGGCGTTGCAAACTGAGATCTATCTTTTTGGGACTGGAAACATGCAAGGCGGTGCACTTCATGTGTGCCTTCGTGCAAAGCGTGGACCTCTACTTCCATTTGTATCAGTCAGATAACGTCTTTCAGTTTGGCTGCACATATTTAATGGGAACGAGCAATAGATGTATCCAGGGGCCACTCCCTTTGAGAATATGACAGTACAACAGTCAAACATCGGGCATGCGCCACAGGATCAATTTTAGCCGGCCACGCGCCAATTTCCCGCGCAAAATTGTAAAGAAAGACGGAAAACAACCGGTGTGTGCAAAGATGAAAACGTTCTGATAAAACCGTAAAAGGAAAGAAATGGAGAGAGAAGGGAAACTTAGGACTTTTGGGACTCAAAGTTTCTTTTCCAATTATGAGATACCCTGTGTATATACCCTTCTGTTGCACACCTAACCAAAAAGTTATGCCTGTACGTATATAACACACGGTTACTTCCTAGTTCATGTCGTTGTTTCAAAGTCCTGTGCGACAGCTTCATTTTGACAGCCTGAAAGCGTGATGTTGAGCCTACTCTAAGCCGCTTCAACCCTCACACTCGCGCGGACGTTTGACCGTTGTGTTATTGCATATCAATTTGAAAAAGAGGCACTGTCAACTCTCAATACGGTTTATGACAAACGAATCAACTGAAAGGGAACATGTCTTTCAGGCAGGAAATCTGTCACATTTATGGCTTTCATCTGTATCAATCTAAGCACTTGTATGACACTTACAAGAAGTCTGAATGTTCAGCAGTAGGATTGCTCTTATTTCCCTTTTGATGAACTGAATCACCTGAATCAAAGAAAGTAAATAAAAACTTAGACAATAAGTGAAAACCAGATATTAACAGTTCAAAAATCAGAAAATCAGAAAGGATTATAGATATCAAATAAGAAAGAAGCCGAGTTACAAATTCATTGCCCACTGACAGAACCATTTAAATCTGACGTTCTGTGTAGATGAACAACATCTCATGAGGGGCCTTCACCCATACTCTCCAAAGATCTCATTAGTATTTCTCCTTACTGTCTGTCATACAATTCCTATGATGCAAGTTTGGAGAATTTGGTATTGGATCAACTAAAAATCCCCTACCTGATACTTTCTTTATTCTCGTCACTTGTCTGTTTAATATTGTATTGATATTATATATCAGCAAAATATTACTGAGTGACACCCCTTCTAGCTGGCAAATTGTTCTTGGGCTTCCTGTGCCCCTTCCTCTCTAGTGAGCCACAGGCACATAATCTTAGAGAAAACATGATCTAATGCAAATTACCCATCATGAACAAATTTGCTCTTAGCAAGTTTTCAGTCAGTGGTATACCATATGGTCATTTGGTGTAACTCTACAAGACTGGTTCTATCTTTATAAACTTACCTTTTGCCATTGCCTCAGTAGATCCATTTCTTTTACCTATATTAAGACTCTTCAGTGAAACATTTTTCTTCTTGTGGTCGGTATTGTGACTAGACGCATTCACTGTGCGTCCTTGATACATGAAGGTTGAAGTATTGAGGTCTTTCTTAAACTTCTTCATTAATGGTGCTTTACCTGAGGGACCATACCTAAAACATACAACATAAAAGAGAGGGCTGAAAACCCAATCAGCAAAACTATTAGCCTGCATTGCAGGCCCCTTAGTTCATCCAGAGGCCATGTTTGATTTAGAGCTAGCGTGAATGGTTGGGGGAAGGGTTGTTGATTTCCCCCTCTACTCCCTCACCCCCCTTGGTACAAATTTCTTTTTCTCCCCCTCTGCAAGAAAATACTGATCACTCACTTGCCAAAACTCATGCCTACTCTGTAGGCTACAAAACTATGGCAAAGGCATGTTGGATGAACATCACTGAATTTCCATACCCTGTCTGGCATTCCATTCTTTGAGCCCTCATTGAATGGTAGGCTGCTTGGACATGGTATTCACAGAACTCACCATGTTGCCTAATGAAAATAAAATGAAAAAACCTCAAAATGTATCAAATAGATATTAGTATAGATTAGTGTATGCAACACTTTTGAGTAGTACATTATAGAACATCCTACAAGTCATTTGACAAATGATCTCAGTATACAGGAGTAGAAGTTCCTTGCACCTTACCCTCATAATTTCCACTAATTTTTGAAGAAAATAGGTTAATTTATCTTTTGGACTATGTCATGGCAATACAGCCAACCAAAATGGAGGAAAGCCATTGGATATTTCCTACTATAACATGCTTACCCAATGCTGGCCAAATGCTGATGCAACACTAGCCCAATACTGGCCCAAATACTGGCCCAGCCTTCCCATTTAGCATCACAATCTTTCTCTTCCTTGTATGCACAATGTTAGACTAACTACATGTAGGTTAAAACTACCAAACATTTTGTACCTGTTGATAAAATTTGTACACGGGCGATTATCTGACTTTTTGAGTCCTCTGCATTTGCCAAGATCTTTGGATATTCCCATCAGCATAAGTTTTCTGGCATTGTCCAAAGTGAGAGCCAGGTCTTTAGAATTCTTCTGGAGGGATAGGAATGAAACAGTTTTATTTCAAATGTATATAGATTTAATTTCACAGAGATCCCATGTGCTTTCGTCAAAGTAGGCAGGCTAAAGAATGATCAAAGTTTTAGGATAAAACTGCTAGAATAGCAAAAAGGACAGGGGATATTTCTGTATTCTTTGGGCAAGAAGAGGCAAGCAATGTAAAGTGGAGAAGCATTTTTTAGTGCCCTCCTCCACTTGTGTGTATCTTTGACCCTTGCACAATCCTAGTGCTTTCCTCATGCTTGACTCCACTTGTTAGTAAACTGCTAACAAAAAGGGCAAGAAGACTAGCCCTTAAGAAAGTATGGTGCTGCTTCTGTAAGGGGTACTATAAAATCATTTGGTTTTAACTAAGTTGATAATGTAAATAGGCCATTTTACAGTTGTGTACTTAGTTGCCAAGCCTTTGATTTGGAGTGAGGCTGAAGGTGACCTTGTTGTGTTAGAGACCAGAATCTAGTTAGCATGATAACAAATTAATTTGCATTTCAAAAGCAGCAAGGTTTGTATCATAACAAGGTCACCCTCAGCCTCACTCCTGTTCAAAGGCTTGGCAACCAAGCACACAACTGTAAAATGGACTATTGACCACTCCAAGAATTTCTAAGTCTGAAGTTTCAAGCATAAACCCTTTGCCTAAGCAAACACATTCAAAACATAAGCTTTAGAAACTCTCTGCAGTTGCCAATTTTTATGATCAACTCAGTCACTAAAACCAAATCATCTCATATTACATGCAACTGTTACTGCTTACCTCTTTCGCAGGTAGAAGGGATGCATTAAGAAGAGCCACAACACTCCCTTCAGTTGTCTTCCAGTGCTCTTTGTATACATCACCAAAGAGAAACAATGCAACAATTTCATTGCTGGTGTTAGGGCCAAGATCTGAGAGTTTCCATATACCATAAGTTTGCCCCTGAAAACAGACAAAATTAAGAAACTCTTAGTGAAAACTTAATACTCATGCAATGTTTGAACCCTACTACACGAATCGATTGATAAATCTGAAGCTTGTTATTGTTACTACACATAATACAATTTATTCATCTAGAAAAAAACCTGACACCACCCTAGAGGTGCAGTGAAAAGCCTTGTTATCAAGCTATTTTAAATACCTCTAATTAACCAAGTTTGAGGTCTGTACTGTCAGTTGCAGACTAAGTTTTAGATTAATGGTCCAAGCACAAAGCATGCAGACCATAAATCTTAACAGAAAAAAGACACAAGGATGTGTTATTTATGGTATAGACCAAGAAAACAAAGTTAGTAAAGGGAGAAGATTTCAGTCAAAAGAGACCTTTTGAAAAGGACATTTCACAGGTGTGTAATTGGTTGCCAAGCCTTTGATTTGGAGTGAGGCTAAAGTTGACTTTGTTGTGAGAGAGGTCAGTTTCTAGATAGCATGATAGCAAACTTATTTGCATTTGAAAAGTTAAAGTAGCAATGTTTGTCTCACAACTAGGTCATCCTCAGCCTCACTCCCATTCAAAGGCTTGGCAACCAAGCACACAACTGTAAAATGGACTATTTAACAGGGTGTAAAGTGAAATACTATCTGCTAAATTGACCAATCATAGCATGCATACTAACTGGGAGAAATAACGATAAAGGATACAAAATACTGAACTTACATTTGAGCTTTTCTTTGGAGGCATCTTTTGAACTATAACACCAATTGTCACCCAGTCCCCATCAATATCATTATTTCCCTTAATCTTGGTTGATATCTGTGAAATCTTCACCATTCTGCGTCCTTCCATCCTCTTCTCCATAACAACTGATGAAATCAGTGGATTAATAATTCGTAAACTGGAAAACCTATCACGAGAAAAGTCTTCATCATCTGTTGACTTTCCTGTTCTAGTCTCTGTTTCAACTGTAGCTTTTTTCTTTCCTGTAGCCATTTTTCCATTGTTGGGGTTTTCATCTTGTGCAGTCAGTCTTCTGGTAGTCCCTGAGCCTTTTGTACCCAGGCCATTTTCAGGTTTCATTCTTGTTGAAGATGATTTTTCAGGAGCTTTTTGTTTTGTAGAATTGCAAGGCCCAGCAGAAGAATCTGGGGAAACTGCAATTAAAGATATATACAAATCATAAGTATTGGTGTGCATAAGTTGCTAAAATCATAAAGAGAAAAAAAGAGATCGGCTCAATCCTTTAAAGAGACATTTCACTGCCTTAGTGAAATTCTCAATGAGTTTCCTATATTTTTTCTTTCTTTTTTCCATTATTTTCTGAACTTCACAACTGTTGATTGTCTCAATGCAATAGCATTTAACTCTATAGTCCATTTTACAGTTGCATGCTTGGTTGCCAAGCCTTTGAACAAGAGTGAGGCAAGGGATGACCTTGTTTTGATATAAACCTTGCTGTTTTTCAAATGTATATTACTTTGTTATCATGCTAACTACATACTGGTCTCTATCACAACAAGATCACATTCAGCCCCACTCCAAATCAATGCTTGACAACCAGGTACACAACTGTGAAATGGTCTACTACTAGAAAATTGATTTTTTCCACTATGAAAAATACCAAAAAAATTTATATCACTTGATTGCCAGAAGAGATCAAGGATCAATGTCAGTTGAAACTGCACACCTACCCCTCCCTGAATCTAAAATTAACCCAAACTTGTTATCAGTTGACCACTGCTGAGTTAAGGGAGGGGTAGGTGTACAGTTGCCCAGAGACTGACATTGATTCAAGATATACATATAAGTTCTCCTGGTAATGTCAATACATTATTCAGCAAACAGGTGTTGAGAATTGACAACTTCTCAGCTAAAGCGTCATCTCAATGAAACACCAAATTCCCAAAACTAATTTATAAAGAATTGTACAGCAGATGGAAGTGAGAATTATAAATCAGATCTTAGGAAGTAATCTACAATAGAAGCTCAAGGAAATGGTATGGAAGAAAATTTAAAATATAGTGGAACCTCTATTCAGGGGACAACCCTTGGGATCACAGAAAGTGTCCCCTGAATATAGGTGACCCTTTATGAAGGTTACAAATGCAAAGATTAGATGAACATTTTTTCAGGACCAAAGTTTTTTCTTCCCTGAATAGGGGTGTCCTAAAGGAGAGGTTCTACTGTAGCTTGAGAAATTTTTTACATTTCTTGTACTCTTTACCTGTCTTGTTAATACAGTGTGCTGGAGCATGGGCTGTTCTTTTGTTGTCCTTTGAAAACAGCATCTGCTGGCTCTTGTCTTGCTTTGAGCTCTTTTTCTCACTTAATTTGAACTCTTGTTCTTCTTTAGAAGAGCCAGATCTAATTTCATTATTCAGTGTTGTTGGTGATAACAAAACTGTGAAAATATTATCAAGGAAGCAAAACTGTATCCACACTGAAAGATGAAAGCATTCTACTTGGGAAATGACAGATGCTCAAACATAAATATTGGGTGAAGTGAAGTCAGCAGAAGAGCCAGATTATTATTAAATTATTATTGAATTACCTACATGTAATCCTTTTCTCATTGCTACAAGTGCCTAGTTCTATATTTCCTTCCCCTGAGGACAGGATACCAGCCTGATGCATGGTTAACTTCCTTCATAGTCTCAAGTGGCTAAAACTAAATTCAGACAGGCACTGAGAAAGTTCAGTGTCCAAGGGGAACAACTCAATGACCCATCCAGGTTTTGGATCTGATCATCTGGATTTGAAATCCAGTGCACTTTCAGTGCAATTACTGTATCTTTCATGACAAAAACTGAGTGATTGATATCTAATTCCTCATTTATATGTGGTAAGCAATCAGGATCCAAGCAAGAATGATACAGATGAGTCTCAAGTAGAAGATATTTTTTGTTGTAATCAAGTAACAAATGGCACAAATGTTGATCCATGAAAAGAAGTGCAGTAAAGGATACCAGCTTTTTCTGCTTCAAGCTTTTTTATGTATTCTTCCATGCTAGCCATTTGCGCTGATCAATCATAAATCAAACCATAATGTAAAACAATCAATTAACAACTGATTTTACGTTACTAAGCTAGAGACCATGCTCATTGTATTGGTAGGAAAAGATAAAGTCTGTGCTGCAGCTTATCCCAGTTTCCTTAGCATGAAGCGACAAGAAAGTATCACTACTCCCACCTCAATGGGATGTCAGTCCATCACAAGGTTACCCCCCCTCCACCAGTGGGTACCCATTTATACTCCTGGGTAGAGAGAGGCACTGTTAGTGTAACGTGTTTTGCCCAAGAGCACAACACAATGAATGACTCAGCCCAGTCTTGAGCCTGGAGCACTTGACATGGACTTCCTCACACCATAGGTGGCCCAAGCTCCAGATGTGAGATGATCATCTTGTGAAATAAGAGTCATAGTGTAATTATAACAGTTTACATAGAAATATTTACAACTTGGCTCCTAGGAATAAAAAATACAGTCAAATTCTCAATAAAAAAATACCTCAACTTCCACAGTGTATCTCTTGTTATCTGACTGTTTTTTATGTTGAAAACAGCCCATTTTAGTGAGATATCCATTTATAGGTTTACTATGTACATAAGAGAAGCTCAGCAAACCTGGAAATGGATAACTCACTAAAATGGGTTCTTTTCAACATAATATTATAAGCAGTCAGATAACAAGTGATGCACTGTGGAAGTAAGGTGAGATATTTTTATTGAGAATTTGACTATATTCCTAAAAGCGGTCATAAATATTCCCATACAAATTCTTATAATTTCACTCTCTTATTTTGCAAGATGATCATCGTGCTCACACTGTTGATTTGGCCACTGTGCTCATGGTGAAGGAGATTACACATCAATTTATTCAAATTATTAATAATTATTATTATCTTTAATATCTTTTATATATTATCAATTTAACAAATAGATATTCACAGATGACGTCAAAATGTGGTAAGAACAAAAAAGTGGCACACGAGGTGCAGCATAGTGTGTCACTGATGTTCAAATAGATGCTTTTTTGAACAAATAATAAAGAAATGAAAAAAGTTTTTACGATGATGTCATCTATACGTCTGTCCTCCAATAGATCATAAGTGAGAACCAATCAGAATGCGTGCATAACTGAGCTTATTATATAAATCTTAAATATCGTGATCATTGGCACTTTTCAAGTCAAATTGATAAAAGGAAAATCAAGTCAGATATAAAAATAACATGATGACCCTTCTGCCTTCACAAAAGAAGTTATATAGCTCCCTGTGAACTAGAGCTAACCTGCCATTTCTTCCATGGTCAAATTCGATGTTGTTCCAGATCGTATGCCTTGTTCATTGGCTCTTGGCTGTGTTTCTGTTGGCGATCGCGATGAAGCATTCGATGGAATTGCTTCCAGAAGGCTACCATCGTCAAGCAATTCAGAATCACTATCGACAAGACTTGCCAAAAGGTCAAGATCGTCTAGATCATGGTCTAAGATCAATAAAAATTACAAACCACAACTGCATCAATTGATCCTTACAATTATTCCGAATTATTGCACGATTTCTCAGAGCGATCGTACAAAAAAATCAATCATTTGCAATTTTAAGTATCCATGAATGCATCCAATCTTTAAAACCAAGCAAAATTACCTTCCATATCGATGAAAATAAGAATAAATATCCAATCAAGATCAAAACATTCCTTCAAACTGTAATGCACTACTCAACCTGGTCATTTTTCCCGCGTAAATGATAAAGCCGCTGGCGTTAGGCACAGTGGACGTAAGAAGATAATTTATGCACACGCGCGGTGCTTGTGAATCTAATTACTTCCCTAGCAACCACATAGCAACAAACTGTGGAATTGAATGGAAGCTTTGATCTCCTCAACTACAAACTTAAGAATCCCATTTGTGAGCGATTTCGGTGGAGCAGAAGCCGTAGAGGAATTTTGAAATGACAGTGCTTCTTTCTGGAAGAATATTATAGTTTTTATAATTTTTAAAACAACGAGGAGCGTTACAGACTGCCAAAGAAGCGAGGATTGATGAAATGTTGACTTCACGACTTCGTGTCGTTAAAAGCCGCTTGCCTTTCCGGAACTAGAAACAGCTGAAGTTCAATGTTTTGGGGATAAATCATCTTTGTTTTAAGAGTTTATTCAGAAACGAATCGACGTTTACAAGACTGTTCTGAAACACCGAGCTTTATTTGAACTGATCTCGTGTATATTGGAAGATTATATTTTGTGGGAGGAATTCATCACACACTTGTTGACATTTTGGTAGCGGTGAAGATTGTTTCGGAGATGAAATTGGTCCAAGAGAAGGGAGATCACACTGTTACCTTCACCCTGACGGTAGCTCTAGCTTTTCCATCAGGTATGCGACGTGGAAAAAGTTTGCAGCCTTCGATTTTTTAACTCAGCGGTGTCGTGTTTCATTCGATATATCTTATTGTTTATTATATTTATAACTAAAGGAAAGTGTTTACCATGTTTTCATTTACTCGCAGAATTATATTTCTATGGTAGTGCAAGCTCGATTTTTTTTGTATAGAAATGTCAAAGACAGACAATTTGTCCTGCTCTTGTTAGCCTTGTACGGCCATCATGCCCAGACAAGAGTGTAACATTTGTCCGGCTCATTCGCTGGGAGGCAGACATTTTTTTTCTGTGCGACTCTTGTCATGCCGATGTCTGGAGCTATAATTGGTGTTGAGGTTGAAATCAGGCCGAATGCTGTCTCTCTCAGGCTCCAAATGTGTGGGCAGAAGCCTGTCATTGATAATCAAAACATTTGATATTTTTATATACTTCATTTTATTTATAAATGCTTATATGTTTATTTTTAAATTGTCTTTGATGTTTGAAGATTTGGATGAAGCATAGAATGCAGTTCTATTGCAGTTCACCATGTGAGCAGTTTTTGGAGAATGAGCACCATCACAATAGGCACTTATGTGATTCAATGGGAACCAGCTGTCTATTCACAAGATTCACAAGTTTTCTGTTTCTGTAATGTGGCTTTGAGGGAAAGAAGTGTGATAATTGAATAATGTCACGTAATGCTCAAAATCTCCCATTCACCCCCATCACATTAAATGGGAGTAGTCCTTTCCCCCCCCAGAAAATTATTTTATTTTTCAAGTCAGAGGAAGGGGGGAATTGAGAGCTGGGCCCTTCCCTTTTCCCAGGAGTATAATAAATGACATGTTTTTGCATTTTTTAATTAAGATGTTGTAGACAATGGACTAAATAACATTCATTTAATTCACAATTATCAGATGACAGTGAACCCAAACCTGTAAACCGAGGAATTGCTGCCATTAAAGGGAAACGCAAGTTATTTGAGGCACCAAAACCGCATCATTATTATCATTTAGAGTATAAACTTTTTCCCACTGATCCTGAGCCGGTGAAGGCAGATGTTGTAACTTATGGTGTTGCAGCCAAAATCTACTCTGAAAGTGACTCTAAGGTGTTGAAGACATGGAGAGAAGGGGAAAGAACTTGGGTTACTTGGACCCACAGGTTTGTTGAGAGTTATCATTGAGAATAGTTAATTTTTGTACTTTTATTGTTACAAGATAAGTAATGCTTACCTCTGCAACTTTTTGTATGGCTTTTACGAGTGTACAGTTACACACACAAGGCCAGCATTGTAATATTAGTGCTGTCAATTACTGATCAGGTTCAAAAAAACTTTGATATTATTCTGATAAAATTTAGTGTAGGCATTTCATGATTATAATAATAATCAATATTGATTTCCTTGCAACATTATCTTTTAGTCACACTGTCCCAGTCACCACAGAGCTTCTACTTCAGTTGTTCAGCCACAACATGGATCTCAAGATCTGGGACACAAAAGACAAGGTGTCTCCACGTGCACGCTTTGATAGACCCAAGGCCTTTAGGCTCCCTGCATCAAGGGACCCTGAGGATCTGGAGGCAGCAAGTGGAGGTGTCATGCAAATTGTCACTAATCAACAGCAATCATATGAAAGCAATCAGCCAAAACAGTCACGGATTTTTCACTCAGGTGAGGCTCTTTTCAGTAAAATCATTACACCTGGGTCTGAATATCTCAATAAGGTTAAATGTAACATTTATCAACTTATTTGTGGAATTTTTTCACCTTCATAGGCTTTTTGAAGCATCTTTTTACAAAATTAATTTACTTTCCTTCCTTATCTTAATGGTCTCCGGCCAAAAGTAATTTCATAAAAAGACACTTCAAATGGCCCAAGAAGGCTAAAAATTATTACTAACGCGTCAATTAACATTTAATTCAACTTTATTAAGATATTCAGACCGAGATGTAATTTCAATATGTAATTTTCAGAGCTTTATTCATAACCCTCATAGATTTTGTTCATCTCATGTTCGTCTCATGTAGATTGAAAAATAATCTAGATTCTTGAAGCCTGATAGGTTTTTTGGGCTAGACTTTCACTTCTGTTGGACCTCATATTAACAAGTGAAAAAAAAACACACTAGCCAGAGGTGCTGGGATTCAAAGATATTCTGGGTAAAATTACAGCCATAGTGTTGGAAGGCCACAGTCTGATATCCCCCTCTATAAAATGATAAGGGGAAGTGCTTGGAATTAGAGCACTCCATTGTGGTTCATCTTTGGTGCAACATTGCAGTGGGGTAATTAATAATAGAAGTTTACTTTTTTATTCTTTTTACTTTTAATCTGTTTAAAAAGATGACAAAGAGACTAAGCGGTACCCAAGAACAGCTCAAGGCCATATTCCTGCCATGTCAGAGATGGCGTCCATTCCTGACAACAGAGCCATCACTGCACCATCGGTAAGTTTTTCTTGAGTGGAAGGGGTTTGTTTTGTGAAGTCCTGTGGAATGATCCTCAAAAGCGGTCGCTATCATTCAGAAGAAGATTTTCTGCTGTGCACAAGTCCTTCATTTGCACTCCATGATAATTCCTTTGGTTTTTTTTTTTTTGCTAGCCTCACTTCTTTAGGGTTTTCTTCCCCAGCCAATGGCTGATTAGAAATTTTCCAAAGAGGGCCTGGTGGCCCCATTTGTTTAACAAACCCTTTGTCATGAGAGGGGCCTGAAAGAAAGAGCACCTTAAAGGTGTTTAAACTTATTTGTATAGTCTAGTCAGTGAGAAAGCAGGGAAGACAAAGGCAACTGGAATAATAAGAGACTAGAAAATTGAAGTGAATTTTATATACATGTTAGAGGTGTTATAGCTATGTTGTTATCATTGATATTTTGGAATACTGTACTAAAAAAACAGTCAATTCAAAAAGTACTTACACGTATCATTGGGCACAATCATTGCGTCCCATTTGAAGCTTACACGTAAACCCAACGGGGCATTTTTTTCTCGAATTGCGGAAATCTCGCAAAGCAGCACTCAAGAAAAAACTGTAGTTAATTGAAATGTGATTCTTTATCATGGTCAAAATTTTGTGTTAAACCTGCTTTTTTACCCACATGTAAGCTCCTTGAGCATTTCAGTCATCACCGCCATTTTGATCTTAACAAAAAGAACTATTAATTTCTTGTCCACAGACATTTCGTTCGTTGTCTTACATAACGAGTCCATCAACAGCCACTGGTACTGGTAGCATGGTCAAAGTTCAGGTTCGAGTGGACGAACAGGACCCCCCACAGTTCAGTCGCTTAGCAACCTTGGCTGGTGTTACTCCACCAATGACAGATGCAGAAATTCAACAGTCAGAACGGAGGAAAATACGATCACAATCGAAGAAAGAGAGGACCAGCTCAAAATTGGAAGTAATAAGTAAGAAAGATGGTTATTATCTGCTAGAAACAATAAAACTATTTTGTTTCATTAAAGAGCAGTTTTCAAATGGGTGTCGGTAGTAATCTTGGATTTGCTTGATTTCGATGTTGCCACTCTCTCAACCAATCAGATGCAATTCTAACATCAATTACGACTTGGTCGCCCGCGTTTTCCGCGCTTTGAGCTTTTTGCTTGTTTTTACATTGAGTTTTTATTGGTTTTTAAAGGTATTTTCCTTTGTTTTGATTACTTTACTTTTTAGATGTAAGACAATCAATCGGAAATTTCCTTAAGTCTGTTACTTGGAGAGCTGCTAAAGCTATAAACATTAAACGGTTGTGCTACAGAACACAACACGCAGTCGGCCGTTCACGTTACAGATGCTGTGAAAGTCATTGATAAATACGAGTTTGACTTTCGCCTGTCACCCGTAAGACTAATCTCGGCCGCCCAATTCACCATCGGCAGCCACATAAGGAAAAAGCTACTGAAACACCTGCAGTTAGTAGCCGTCAGTTTTTGAATACAAATGATTGAAACGTTTTGCTTCTTTACAGGAAAGAAAACATCCAATGCTAAGACCAGCCCATCCAAGAAGGACCTTGCCTTGGCTGCAGCACACACCAGAACTCATGGAACAGCAGCGCTCTCGGTGAAGATGTGCACGTTTTTTTCTGGTGCAAAATCGACGACGACAAAACTGGGAAAATCCGTGGGCAGTATAGAAGAACTTCTGCTTTCTGTATCACTTGACAATGATCTCCTGTCAGGAATTCAGAAGCGAGTGCTCAACCCCATGGTAATAAGAGTGTCATCGGCGAGTGAACTGCCTTGTAAACCAATGACGTATATGCAACTCAGGGAAAAGTGAGTGTGGTTTTAGAATTTAGTTAGCAGGAAAGGACTGGCATGAGTCGGAGAGGAATTCTGAGTTGGCGAGACGTTCATTTCGTTATTCCTCTCGGACTGCGCATTAAAATAGAGAAATAATTGTTTTGATCCTTTGAAAAAAGTGCTTCCGTAATGGGTGTATTAAGTGCTCTGATGCCTTCAGACGTTTTCTCAGATGGTGAAAAAATAAACTTGCTGGCCTTTTTTTTACATTGATGGTCAATTATTGCCGAGGTCATAACGGTTTCTGTTGCATTACAGTCAGACCGCACCATGTGTTCGTGGTTGATAATTTTTGAATGAGACGAACAAAATCTATGAGGGTTTATGAATAAAGCTCTGAAAATTGCATATCTAAATTACATCTCGGTCTGAATATCGCAATAAAGTTAAATGAAATGTTAATCGATGCATTTGTAGTATTTTTTTCGCCTTCATGGGCTGTTTGAAGGGTCTTTTTACGAAATTTCTTTCGGTCGGAGGCCGTTAAGATACGAAAATAAAGAAAAATAATTTCGTAAAAAGACGCTTCAAACAGCCCATGAAGGCTACAAAATACCACGAATGAGTTGATGAACATTTTGTTTAACTTTATTGAGATATTCAGACCGAGATGTAATTTTGACATGCAATTTTCAGAACTTTATTCATAACCCTCAGAGATTTTGTTCGTCTCATGTCAACCGTTATTATTAACGAACACATCGCGTGGTCTGCTTGTGGTTGCATGAAGCAACTGCTAGTTTTCCCGCTTGCATAGTGCCATTTCATCTCGGATAACCCTTGAAAATTCGTCAAATTTCCCTGAGTTTTTTTTTTTTTTTTTTTACCTGCCTATTTATACTAATGGGAGGTAGTTTGTTCAAGAATACAAAATAATGCCCCAGTCAGGGTTACTAGGACCTAGAACTAGGACCTCTCTATCTGAGATTATTGTGTTAGTCTGAAGTTACCAAGTTCTCCTTAATTCATTCAAGCAGTCACAAAGAATGACCAAAAAAATCCAGCGAATGTTTTTATTACAAAGCTTTCAATTGTGTTCCCCGTGCAAGAGGACAGGCATAATAGCTCTGCAACATTTTACTCAACCATCTGTATTTTATTTATCACAGATGCAAACCAGTGCACGTGTCATACCAATTTTACGAACAGCCCTTACACGAGAGCGCAGGTAGGGAACACGGGAGTGACGTCTTCTGGGAAGATGTGAATGTGGTCCTTCTTGGGACATTAGACAAAAGTGGTCTCGCAGAGTACCTCCAGGGGCCCCATTTCCAAATCGAGGTCCACGACAGGGACCGTAAAATCGAGCCAAAGAAACCCAAGCCCAGTTTGTTTGGTGAGAACCCGGAAGACGAGATGATCAATAACGTTAGCTTGGTGGCAGGTATGATAATTGGAGTTTTCACGAAGTGGAAGACCCTTTTTTTTTTTAGGAAAGCCTATCGTTACAATCGCAACTCGCGTAACACAACTGGAGAGACGGAGGTAAAATCTGTTGAGAAACGTATGTCGACTAACGAGAATCTTCTTCTCAAAGAGAAAAGTGTAGCGATATACAACAATCATTCCGCGTGAAACGCGATACGTTTGCCAAGAATGTCTCGCGACAAACCCAACGCCTCTTGAGAGAAACGAGAAGTGCATCACTAGAAATGATAGATCCCTCGCGTGGTACTAGAGGGGAGGTTATAGTCAGAATTAAAGTGGACTTGATATTTGATAGCGGAGTTCGTAACACGCGCAGCGAAGCCCCATTCCTTAAATTAGAACTGTTCTTTGATTTCAGGTCGTCGCACCACTCACAATCCATTCACAAGCCGTAATAAGCCATGGGACCCGTACGGCATTGCCAAGTTTGATCTGTCAGGGTTGTTACTAGGTCACAAGTATCTGTATCTAAGGTCGCCTATCCACTGCTGTCCTCTGCCGGATACTCGCTCAGGGCTGGAGAAACCAGACGGACCCATATTGGGTCAGCCGGGAAATGTGGACGCACCAGGTATGGTATTAGTAACTGATATATGATGACAGTGTTCGCGCGCTGCATTCCGGATCGAGAGATCTGGGTTCGAATCCTGGATTTTGTGGTGTTTTCATGGGATAGACGTACACTCTGACAATGCCTTTATCTATCCAGGAGTATGAATAGGTGCCGGCGCACTGTCAGGGTTATCGACGAAATGTGTCGGGGAAGGCAGCTACCTGAAATAGACTAACATCTCATCCAGGTTGAGTAACGATACTTCTAGTTTCTTCTTGCTCTGAAATCAGGGATAAGGACTTGCAGGAGGTTATCTCAGAGGGTTTCCCTGGGGTTTATCCCTGGGGTTTATCCCAGGAATGACCTGGGTCATTAGCACTAGCCTTCCATCCGGAGGGAGTAGCAATGGTCGTAGTTGCCTCATGCAACAGAACTGGAGTAAGCCCCGCCAGCTCTACGAGTTAGTCTCGTTTACAGACGTTTTCATTTGTTGTGAAATTTGATTATATTTTAGAGGACAAACCCATGCCTGTAGCTAACTATCTGGAGGCTGGTAGCGAACTAAAAATTAAGGTCGACTTGGCTTACCCTCTGAATGCCACTGAAGAGGAGAAAAAAACTGACGAATCTATTGAAGAGGAAATGGTAAGAAGATAGAGAGAAAACTCGATGGAAATTATTTCATTGAGGCTTCTGTTTTCCCTTCTATGAATCAAACGAATTATTTCATTGAACGTTTGCAGTTGTCTTAAATCGCATTTCTTGTGTAACGTTCCTTTTATCTCTATCCAGTGTCCATTCGGTCGAATTATCTATATATTTGAATACAAGAACGCGCCTTTTCTCCGACAACTTCAGTCCGAGATCACAGCTGTGAATGCGGAGGCACTGGAACTAGATACTCTTCCACAGCATGTGATCGAGGCCGCTCTCTCAACATACAAGTTGTCCAAGTAAGTTTTTAGAGAAATTTTCAAGGTTAGTCGCTTTTTTCATCGAAAGAATGGATGTTGTAATCCTTCATAACTTATAATTAAAGTAAAACTGTATTTTCTCAAAATGGGCGTACGTTAGTTGGTGCGAGCAATAAGATTTTAAGCCATAGTTGATATACCTTGTGTCAGGGATCAGAGTTTTCTTGTTCATTAGAATGTTTAGTCGAGTCAGTGTGCAAGATTTTTTAGTATTTTCCTCTCCTAGTGCGTTCTGAAAACAGTGGGTTTTTTCATATCTTCTTTTCAGAGAACAGAGAATAAATAAGAAACTGGATATTATTACGGGATTTCAGGTGAGTTTCTGATTTTTTTTGTTGTTCAATTTAACAACCCTTAATGTACTCAACAATGGTTTGGAAAGAACTGAGTAATAAAGCAATTTTCAGTTGGTTGTCGACAGTAATCAAGAACTGCTTTGGTTTTTGCCTTGGTCTGGGATTGGTAAAGAAAACTCGCGCCACTTTCTCAACCAATCAGATTTAAAACTAAAGCAAATCGCACCTTGGTAGTCCGCGTTTTCCCGCGCTTCAGGAAATTGCTTGTTTTGCTTGAGTTTTCATTGGCTCTTTGTGATATTTTCCTTCGTTCTGATTGGCTGCTTTGATAGCACTGGTTTTGGTTTTACCACACTCGATCGAAATGCACTCTAAACAGGATGAAGACACTCTCATTTTATTTGAGACTAATTTGCCTTTCCTTATCAGTATGCACTGTAGACATGAATCTAGCTTCATTTTATTCCTATCGTTTTTAACCCAGGTTTTAGACGGCCAGTATCATATATTTGTGTTAGAAGGCTTGACAGAAAAAGGAGTAAGACGACTTTGGGAAAAACTTCCCAGGCCACAAGAGGAAGGTAGGATAACACTACATACTTTAGCCCTTTCACTCCAATTCTCCTCACTGTCTGCCATACAATTTTGGAGAGTCCCCCTTTATACTTTGTAAGCGGTGAAAATTCCCCCCCCCCCCCAGTGATAAATCGTGATAAATCGTGATTGGTCTCTAAACATTAATTTTTTTGGCGTTTATGGACTGGTTTACTTGTTTATACGACCAACTCACAGAAACTCAAGGGAACACCTTACCTGCTGGCATTTGTACCATACTCACGCTTACTGAAATTATTTCTTCAGATATCACCAAATTCAACGTTCTCTACAACTCTGACCTGAGATCCCATGAGCGGCTGTATGCAGCGCTCGATGTGGACTTGTGCCGAGTCAGACTTCACGAGCCACTCGAGGTCATAGTCCAAAATCCTTTGCTGTACGTCAGGGACCTGGTACCCAAACCTTGTTTTGATGCACTGGCGAAACTTGATCAGGTTGGTTTTTGGAAAATTTGTTTGACAAAGAAACCTTTGAGTACTCGCAGACTGTGTTTCACTGGTCAGTCGAACGCGAACTAAAAATAAGCGGGAAAAAAAAGGATTGCACAAAAACTAGCAGTAACTGAGCAAGAAGTTCTCAGTCTTGCACGACCATACTCAGCCTTCCCGCCACAGTCTTCTTCTTTAGTGATCACGCTCGACGAGCGGAAACGATTTTTCCAAACACTGCGCACAGAGACTAAAATCGCCCTGTGATGCCAGAGGCCTCCTAACGGTGCGACATTTCAGACTTTTCACCGCACTTCAACGCGGTTTTTTCTTATGATTTCCTTTGGAATTTTGCGAGGGATATTTGCGCACAGGTGGCCAAAATTGATCCCCTCGCGCATGCCTGACGTCTGAGCGCTACGTTCGTGAACGAAGAGGCAGTTTAGTTTTCTAACGTCCTTTTGCTCCTTTTTTAGAAATACAGTATTCCATAGATATTTCAGTGGCTACGCCTTCCTGAGTTTCACATCAGAAAACTAGTTGATCACCGATTAAATCGTTGTGTTTCCATGACCCGTCTCTGTGCTTTAATTTTCTTAGGTGTTGAAGCTATCAAAACTCCGCGAAGTTTATCGAAATGATTTGTTCCCATCCGCTGACATGATCGTTTCTATGAGCCGCGAATTTGGAGTACCGCTGACCGCAGAAGATTTTGGAGGTGCGTTTTACGTCAGTCATCTGGTCACCATAACCATTAAATCTAGTGATACCTCACCCACCCCTCTACCCAATCGTCGATGAAAAGCACACCCACCCCCTAAAAAATTCCCTTAGTTTAGCTGCCAATTAATATTCGAAATGAAGGTCTTTCTCGTAGATTTGCGGCCTTACTCCTTTTTGGATACAAACACGTCCAGTGAAGGGATTGTATTTATAGCGTAGCTCGTAGCGCGCGCAGCGAAGCCTCATACTTATTCTGGCTTATCGTATCCTATTTTAACTGTTTCCCCCATCATATTCACTGACTGGAGAATTGTACTTTCTTGTTTGGCTGAAACTCACTCGCTTCTCTTTAAACTTTAATTTTCCAGGTCTTCTCTCTTCTATCTCTATGCCTATTTCTTCTTGGATTACACGACTGCATTTCTGTGTATTCTTGCGGCTACAAGGATGTAAAAATCTCTTTTCTTCACATGGAAATTCTTCCTGTTTCCAGCTACACTTGCAGTTGCTTGAAAGTTGCAGGACGTTCTCTTGTCTCTTGTGACTTGGATTAGTGATGCCACTCTCCGTTTCACTGATGCCAAGTTGTGTTACTTCAAAGTCACGCTTTTTCTAATGCGACACTTTCTCCAATCTTTATTAAAGGTATCACAGAACCCTTAAGAGGTCGCCTCTCTACTTTTTAAAGCTGTCTCTGATTTCAAGAATGAAAGATATCAGTTTGATTCCTGCTGTGTAAATAATTTCTCTCTAACTTCTACTTTCAGAACTTGAATCCAGCAGTGGCTCTCAAATTGAGGAGGCTGGTTCAGGTAAATTTCTGGAGGAGCCTCGACCCAGGACTACTCGACCATGGACGCCCCTGTCACTTTATAATTCAGATTACGTCGCGTTGGTTAAAGAAAGAGAAAGAGCTCTGGTAAAACACGACTTCATCCAGGAGAACATAGTAAGTCGATGTATTTCACTGTAGAAGTTTTTCTCAAATGAAAACTTTTGGCCTTTAAGATATTTCTCAAATGCAGTCATTTGACTTTTGCAAGTAATCCGTGACTTTGGAGCGCTTTTCGATTGAGTGGCTTAAAACCAAACCAAAGTAATCACAACGACCAATCAGTTGAACTGCCCAAAGCGGGGGAAAACACGGGCGTCGAAGTTCGTGATTGGTTTTAGTTTTGCATTCGATTAGTTGAGAGGATTGTGCAAGTTTTTTTGGACCAATCTAAGGGCGAAGTTAAGCTAAAACAAATGCAGTCTCGGATTACTTTCGACCCTCCATTGAAAATTGCTTTATCTATCGTTCAATTCGTTTATTTCAGCTAAAAACGCAGGCAAAAGAGCCAAAGAGAAGATCGCAGACCATCGCTGTGGATATGACTGAGCTGCATCAGCAAACCGCACACAACTACAGTATACAGACCTTGAATTCCACAGAACTGGCTAAAGAGAAGCTAAGAAACGTACTTGAAAAGGTATTTTATTTGGTTTAAGTAGCCTTTTAATTCGTTTTTCTCTCAGCAAGCGATTTTTGAAATGAAATTTTTCTTTGACGATATTTTTAAAGCGTTCATTCTGCAACATAACTTTTTGCCAATCTTCACCTCACTCTACATATTTCACAATTCCCTCTTCGCCTCACATCTCAGACTTCACATTTGACACCTCTCAGTTCTCAATACACATTTCAGAGTTTGCACTTTACACATGAAACCAATTCTCGATTTATTCCGTGTAATTTGAACTAGCATGTTGAAACATGTGCAAAGAATAAATAATAAATAATAAAAGTAGTGTGCAAATTTTTAACAATAGATCCTGGGTGTGAGCGTGAGTGAGAACGATCGGAAAGAAGATATGAACTCTTGCATAACCCAAGCCAAATAAAACCCTACCAACTAATCACGTTTCAAGGCGTTTTCACTAAGTTTTAAACGCGTTTTCGCCGTGTCCCAAACGCGTTTCCACCGTGTCCTAAACGCGTTTCCAGTGCAACTAAAACGAGTGTTTTCCTGTGTCAAACACGTTTTTACTACGTTCAATGAGTTGTCATTTTATAATTCAATAGGCTTGGAAATTTGAGTATTTGTTGACTTATCTATTTGTTTTCCTTTTCTCATAGGACAGAGATCGCCGTTTCACTTACTGTCCTATGTACAACTCGGCCACAGTTCTTCCTATTCATCCAGAAACTGTCAAGAAGCAAGATTTTCTCTCCTCTAAGAAACTTTGGAGAACAGAAAACGGATTCATTTTCCCAGGAAAGAAAACCTCGTTGGTTTCAAATATTCACCCTAGGAAACCCGACTCGGCCCGAGTAGACGAACTTCGCAAGGTATGGAAAAACATAGTGACGAACCTTACTTGTTTTTCTGATATTTGCTCAGAAGCTGTTGTCTTGGGGTGCTTCACCCTTAATCCCTTTGAGTTGACAGCATCTAACGTAGCCTTACGATATCACCCCTAGATCAACCATTACGGTCACAAGAATAAAGGAAATGATCGCCAAAATGAAAGCCATGGATTTAGATTGAGAAACAAATTCTCCATGTCAGTATGATAAGAAATGTATGGAGAATACACAAACTGACATGACTATGTAAAGGTTTTAGTGACAAATTCATCTTTGTCATTGACTGCCTCTTTGAGGGGAGCTTTTCGTGATGGAAGCAGAGATTTTTCTCATCTTTTATCTTCCCTTAATGGGAGACATAATGTTTCTTTTTATTATCATTCTAGCCATGGAAGGAGAACATTTTACACGCCAACATTCTTAAACCAACAGTAGATAGGTAAGATTGTCCGACGACTTGCACTGTTTCGTAGCTTTCTAGTTGATGATCAAACACTAAAGATACAGTCTACAGTTAGAACCACCTTGTATATCATAGGCAATAGCACCGCATAGAAGAAATGCTCAGTACTGTGTTTATGGGAATGGCTACACGTTAGGGTTTTCATGCACAGAGTGTAACTTTTAGAGCCTCCTTGTTCAGCGTAACAAACAATACCAAAGTAAAGAACTTTTCAATTTAGTATTATCAGCTGAGTTGATGACGTAAATTGGCCAATGTAAAGAGTTTCAAAGCTGACGTTTCAAGCATTAGCCCTTCGTTAGCGTCCTGGAACGAGTAGTATCTTCGCAATCGTGCAGAAAGCTTGGTGCACAGCATTGCATTTGTAGTGTGTGATTTGTATTCACCATTTTTAGTACCTGCAAAAACGCAAGAACAGACGAAAACGTGTTCAGACAAGTTCCCAAGCCCGGGAACAGTGCCTGAGTTCTACCCCAGGGGGGTAGTGCCCGTGCCTGGGCAAGGCGTTCAGATTTTTTCTCTGGCACCAACCAAAGATTTCATTCGGACTAGTGCCTGTTTCCAAGAACTGAGCACAGGCACCTAGTCTTAACAGGGCCTTACATATTACAACCAGTTTTCAAATGTTTTTTCACGTTTTTATCTAACATTGACTTTTATGTTCTTTCTTAATCAGGGAGAACTTCCCCTGGGATTATAGAGATGCTGATCTGAATTTACTTTCCCTTCCTCCTCCGTTCTTTGACAAAAATCCATGTTTGTCAGTTCACGCCGCCGGCGACACCAAAGAACAAGAACAAGACGAAGCTGACATGGAGACCACGCGCCAATGGCGAGATAGAATCGTTGTGGACGATACAATATTTCGTACGCATCGTTGTCTACCAGAGACTGAACTCAAAGACAGAGGCGCTAAAGCTTCGAACCAACTGGCAAAGCTGGAAGGACTTTTGAAAAATTACCCCCAAAAATTTTCGCTTTCAAGAGAAGGACTCACTTTGGCGGAGATTCCACCACTAGCTGTGGTGGTGAATCCTAGTGTGGATGCTCCTGCGAGGAAAACCGGGAAATTAGTTCCCATTACAAGGGACCTCAAGGAAGAAAGAAACTGGGGATTTTATCCGGGACCTTTTGAGGACGAGGGCTGGCTCATGGAGAAGAATAAGATCCCAATACCAGATCAGGAGCACGAAAGGTTTAAGACCCTTAAGGGCCACGATTTCAGGTACTTGACTTGAATAGTGATAGATGTATAACTTCTATAATAAATTAATTGAAAATTCAAATTTGAGAAGCTCCTAAACGCAGCTAAAACTACCGCTGATAACACAAATTTGCCTATAAAGGAATGTTACACAGCTATTTTGTTTTCTTTCTTTGTTTCTTTCCTTCTCGGAACTTTTACGAACTTTTCTGAAACAAGGAAGCTGTTCATGGCGTATTCAATAGTTATTAACAATTTCGCTGTTTCGAGCTCTCTAATTAGCGATTCGAAGCACGTGGGCAAATTTTCTCTTTCCAGTTTTATCTATTTTATTGATTTTTTTAAGCCAAACGAAGAACGCCCTACATGCAGTTAAAGCAATCAACACATGATATCACGTGTTTTAAAGTTTTCCAATATTGAGCCTTTAGAGGGGCGCTTTATGTGCAATCGTTTTACACAACCAGTCAAACTACGCGTTAGCTTAACATTGGGATCTCTGCAGGTTAGTGGTACAGCATCGGAGCGAGTGACTAAACAAATAAACACTTTTCTTTTTTTTCTTCCTTAACCAGGTCATATCACAAAGACAAAGATATCCTCTGTCGCCGTCCTATCGAACCTTTGAAAGATGACGAAAAAGACAATCACCTTTTTCCTGTTGCGGATATCTGCAGTTAACAAAGGCTGATAAATCACCTTGAAAACGATTATAATTATCACCGTGTTCGAAGAAAAAGAAAAGTAGAAAAAACAGACATTTCTGTACCAGTGTGCTTTATCGCATTTGTTAGCGCTGTGTTGTATCAACTCGCTCTGAGTGAACCAACATTTCTCATACAGAAGAATTTATTTCACAAAGCTTGTTCATAAGTTTATTCTAAAGTATTGGTTCTATGTACAAATGCAATGTTATATTTGACCCGCTTTGATGTAATTCAGTTGTACAGTTATCTAAACTCAAAATCATTCCCTTGGTTTTAAATATGCATTATCGTTTGTAAATTTTTTTTTAAAATAGATCTACAAGCCTAAAAAAAATTATAGGCGCTTTTCGTCTAGGCTTGCCAATAAAATATTGTTTCTTCAGAAGTTTTTTTTTATCTTAGATCAGCTTAAATGTATACGTATAATTTCACTAATCTATCCCCTTACCCACAAAAGTATCTGTGGTAAATATTTAACCTTTGAATTCCATGTTTTGCAATCGAACTTAACCCCAAAATGCTCATCAAATATAATTTGTTCATTTGGAACCTTGAGGCACCAATTCATTCTCTCCCGAAACAATAAGCTTTCTTTCCATTTCATCAAATTTTTGTAAATTAATTTTTTTCAGTATGAATTATGCCTTCCTATTCAAATCTTAAGTAGAGAGCGCTTTTCAATTGAGTGTCGTGAAAACAAAGCCAATGTAATTACAACCGCCCAAAGCGCGGGAAAACGCGGCGACCAAGTCGTGATTTGCATTTGATTGGCTGGGAGAGTGGCGCAAGTTTTCTGGACCAATCACAGAGCAAAGTAAGCAAAACCACCGCAATCCCGTATTGCTTTCGACACTTAATTGAAAATTGCTCTAATACATTACTAAAAAGAGAATTTAAACTTACGGCGAAGTTCTTGACATAAGAAGACACTATTGTAACGATATTTATAGAAAAAAAGCTGTCAATTATTTATATCAACGATTCACCGTATTCGACTGAAAAAATTAGTATGGAGGACTGTGTAGTTAACAAAAATTCGGTATTGCATTACAATGACATACCATGGTTGATACGCTTATCAATTCTCATTACCTTTCTGCTGGATGCTGTAATAATATTGTAAGGAGATGTTACTTGTTAGTCACTCATCACGTGAACTTATATGGGAACATTTGAGTAGGCTTCCATGATTCGAAAAGCAACTCGTTTAACATTATTTGAAAAATTTTAAGTTTTGTGTCCATTATAAAATCTTCTTTTTCTCGGAGTTAAAATCGCCTCAGATCATTGGAAGTACATCATTCAAAGTGACGTAATGAATTGTTCTTCCCTCTGAAGCACGAAAATTAAAAAAAAACATGGTATTTACAAGTTATGGGTCATCTTGAAATTTTGTAAAAATTCCTTCAAAATCGATTAGTGGACCGAAAAATCGCGCTGCAATTTGCTACGAAGAGCAGTTACCTCTATAAATCTAACTTGTAATTATATTCATTTCAGCTAAAATTTCGCATCGTTGAAAAGTGTTCTTCGGCAGTTCGTTGACACTTCGTGCGACGTCGGTCATTCCGACCGTTTACGACGGTGAAGACAGAGATAAACTAGCTATGCAGTATTTAAATTGTTACTTTCTGTAGCGCACTTTTGATCTGTCTTCGTAAGGGTCCACTTCATATTCAGCACTTTGCTGCTTCACACAACAACACAGTTTATGGAAGAATGACTTTCTCTCCGCTCGTGCTCGTTCTCTTTCGTGTTCCGGCTCTGAGTCGTATTTGCCAGTGACATTCCTTCGTTGGCCTTTCTTAGATCTTGCTGTTCTGCGGCGCTTCGCCTCTCTCATAATCATGTCCTTCTTCCGCAAAAGCGTCCCTGTATTCAACAGATCCACGCCTTCAGGTCGTGTCTCGGTTTGGGTTGGACTCGGATTGGGGCTCTCGGCAGAATCTTTCAAATCAACGTCGCTAAAAGCTTCATTCTCATTGACGTTACCAACATCCACCGCCCTTTCACTGTAAAATGGAAAATCGGTCATGGTTCCAACCTCAGCCGTCTGTAACTCTACGTGTGGCTTCTCTTTCTCTTTATCTTTGTCCTTCTTTGTCAAAGTAAGAAATTGAATCTCGTTTTCTTGTTCACGGCAAGTTTCCTCCATTCGACGTTGCTTAGCAAGCAATGCCTTCTCCCGCATTTGTGAGCTTTCCAAAGCAGCCTCGAAATCTTTTTCTCGGTCGAGAGCATCGCTTAATTCATCAAGAGCTTCTGTTAGATCGCTTTCCAAAACTGTAATTTTTTGCTTAAACTCTTCGGTGACCCTCTGAAAAATTAATGGCAAAACAAATTAGAATGGTTGCAATCCCTGTCGTTTGTCTGAACATAGGCCCGCAATTCATATTAAAATCAACCATTGCAGTCTACCTATGAAACATAGGTCCGCAATGCATGTTATAAATGTTTGTGTAAACTTCGTTTACGGCCTCCCTGTTTTTATGTAAGATAATGGATAGCAAGAAGTCGATATTGAAACTTAAAAAAAGGATAAAACTGTCCGACATTAGATATGATCTTGGATAAAAATTAAATAACTGGATTCGTCGATATTGTTGCCATGCTCTCTTTCACTATTTCAATTTATTTTTAGCTGTCTAAGTGTTTGTTGTCGCTGATTACATTTTTTCTTGTCTGCCATTTTTTAGAGAAGTAGACTCTCAGACATATCAGCCCTTTGATGCTTCCAGCTTCCACTGCCAGAAAATAATTTCCTCTCACTCACCTCTCTCTCTTTCTGTTCCATATACAGTCGGAGCTTCAAATCAAAGTTCTCCTTCTTCAGCTCTTGAATCAACTGCAAGTAGTTAAAAAATATAACGTTCATCAGTTTGATGTTAATCGAAACCACTCGCTCGACCCGACAGGAGAGCGGCTTGGTACCGAGTTTTGCCCAGATTTTCTCTTACTAAATTTCGATCAACTTTCTAACAACAAGTTTACATATTAATGCAACATTTCGAATCATAGACAACTTTGTTATAAGTTTTTCAAATCCCTGTAAATCTGCCATCCGTTGTCGCATCGAAATGTTGCGTTAAAAATCATTCATGGCTCATGTTTACACTGGTGATTGATTTGCAAAGTTACTCCACATTTTTTGGATCAACATTTAAATATCTTCTTAGGTAACACGATTCCAAGACAATCTGCCTCGAAAAAACAACTAAAAAGTCGTAAGGGTACCAAAAAATAGATTTGTATCGTTGGCACATAGCTGTGAAACGTTATCAACGAAATAAGAACTTATTTCTTCAACAATTAACATTTCAGAGAAAAACTGGACTCACGTCTGCGTACATACCCCTCCCCTAACCCAAAGATAGCCAACTGATAACAACTTAGGGATAATGTTGGGTCAGGGGACGGGTAGGTCGGCAGTTGCTCAGATACTGACATTGACTCAATTTGGACATTGATCCAAAAAGCTCTACTTTCTCACAAACAATAATTCATGAACGTTCCCGACTGATCACACTCAAAAGCAATCACCCACTCGAAACAACGGAAAAAACAAGCAATTGTCTTCTTGACTACAAGGCATGTTAACTATGTTGTAATTACGTACTTAAATCGATGATTTGAATAAGTTATAAACAGCTCAGTAAAAGAAACACTGTTTACAAAAACCTCCAAAAAATACGCGACTTCGTTCTAATTTCAATTCAAAGGCCCGATTTCAATAAATTCATCGAGAAAATAAGAAAAGTGTATTTACAGCTAACCGAACTAATTCTATTTTCAGTTTACCAAAACCATATGTTATAACCCGAAATTAATGTTGAAATTAAAAAAAATTTAAGGGGAGGTTTAATTTAAAATCAGAGCTCAAGTATTAGGTCAGGGTTGTGAAAAAAAAAAAAAGTTATAAAAATATGAATGTAGATAAAAGATAAGATTTACCGTTTCATGGTCCTTGATCGTAATTCCGCTCGGAGATGCTGTGGAATTGAATAAAAAAATCACGAAATCTCATAAACAACAACATAAATACACTCAAGCTTACGTAACGATGAAATCATCTCTACGATGACATTGACCGCGAAATAAATAACACGGTTAAATAATTTGATAAATTATTTCTATCAAATTTCAAATTAAGCTGCGCGAGATTTTACGTTTAACTTTACCGAATAAAAGGTATTCATTTTCCAGACGAGATATTCAGAGTTTTGGAAACAAAGCATACAACCCCATGTTGTTTTTAATTTACATCTTGAAAATCATGTTTAAACATGAATTTTTCTCGTTTTCATTCATTTAGAAAGCCGGAAACTAACAGAAAATTTTAGCCTTAAACTACGAAAATATTTCACTACATATGTGTTTCGAACTCTCTACGATCTCTCCAATAACACAGATTTCCAATGATCGAATTATTTTATCTTAAAATCGTGTTAACTCACCGGCCAAGGCCTCTAACTGTTCGATGCTCCTGTAGCTTTGCATCTTGGCTTTTTCCTCCTGATCTGTCGACGTAAAAGAAAACAGCATTATTTTAATAAAACTGGATATAACCAAGAAAGCCATTTACTGATTTTTGTGCAGAGACTAAACAGGGCACTTCTGTGATAACAAATATTGCAATAACAGTATTCGTGGGAAATCATCGAAGCATCGAAGAAGTTCGGACGATTTTAAATTGGTATTGATCGACTAATCTTTCACATTCAGACGCCGCCAAAATGGACGCAATATATGAAATAATTGTGACATGATTTCGCGCAAAGATGGTTAACTTTAGAAAGAAATCAGAGCTCACATACTTACACGAAATCTCTTACATCCTAACCATTCGATCGGCGTTTAAGCTTGATTGAGTTTTTAAATAAATTAGCCTCTAAATAGTTATTGCGGCGTTCGCAATTGGATCCTTTGTCGATCACTCGATTAATTGTCGATCAAAGGCTCTAAGTCCTTTTATTACAATAATCCGAAGCTTGATAGAAATTTAATCCAGCGATGAATCATCGAATGATAAGATTCGAAGCATCAATGAATTCCAATTGAACAGAATTTTAGTTGAATGATGCGCTAATGATATATTCCTTCCAGAATTAATTATGACGAAAGAATATTTTTCTCGTTTATCATCCGCAAGGGGGTGTTGAAAGGTTCATATCCTCATTTTTGTTTGCTAGATCGACCGCAGAACGAAACTCTCGAAAGTGTTGGTAACTTTATTTTGAAACAGTGATTTTCCTTTAAAATTTCCCTTCGTTTTCGCCATTATTGTGATAAATTGGTCTCGCTATTAAAACTATTTTAGGAAATCTTAATCATTTTTAACTCTCAGCCCAAAGCAACAGTAAATAGATGATTGCATTTCGGCTGAGTTAACAAGCCATGACTTGCCATATTTTTGAAGCAAGAGTATAAATACTTGACTACTACTCGACGAAGTATAATGGCGTCTACCTCAAGCCCGAACTGTCACGTTATTTGTCTCTGAAAAGTGGAGCTCGATTAAAAAGACAACTTATTCATAACACTGTTTCTTACATTGAAAAGGAAATAACTGACACTTTTAGTTGTCTAAAATTAAGTAAAATAGCTTTAAATTTAGGAAAAACTCGATAGCATGTTCTTCATAGTATTGTAAACCCATGTGAAGACGCTTTCCTCTTCTTGTGCGATATGCGAACTCTTGCAGTTGTTTTCTAACCAAATTTCGGTTTCAAATGTTATCACGTACCTTTAAGCTGATCACCAACGTGTAAGGACAACATGATGGCCAAAAAAGGACAAAACCAGTTGTGTTATTATTCCTTATTTGAGAAGATTCGCCTTTGCCAAAACTAACACTACTTTAGCAGTGATCTTGTGAATGATATTGCATCTGTTTCTCGCATTGAAGCAAGTTTTATGCACGCAAATGGATTTACATCTAACTCGATATTGAAACTTAAAATATAATTTATTCTTTTCGCGCACAACAAGGAAGTTTTGTGGGCAGATAATTGCACTGAACAATGGTGGAATTTATAGAGTTGGGTTATATTTGCAGCAGAAACAGATAAACATTCAGAAAGTAAAAAATAGCCATGAAATAATTTTGACGTATATACTACGGAGCTGCTTTCGATGCTTAACTGGCTGTATCGAAAAGCGAGTACTAGTAATATCTATACGATCTTAAATAACCTACGAAGTTAACTACAAATAAAATTTCTACACAGCCTTCCAAAGCACGCTCATTTGTACCTCAATGATGCTTACACGGTCTGAAGTTACAGAACTTTATCGCTGCAAGAATTTTTTCTTTAAAGCCCTTTGCGTAATAACATACAGTTTTTTCGAAACCTATGCTAGCTTGATATACCTATACTGAAAAGTCCATGTTCTAGCGCAATTCACACCCATAAATTTGTCATTTAGCTATAGATGACAGTTTTAATTCATACGTTTCCACAAGTACATTAAACTCTTTCCTTCCTTTCCTTTAAAACTCCCAACAATGTATTAAAAGCAGCAGTGTGAATAATGACCATTCAAATAATTCCTATTCAGTTTGATAAGAAATAAAACTCTCAACTTTCTTTTAAATCTGTTTCATTCGGTTTAAAGTTAAGCAAAATTCTCGAGCTTTGATTGAAAATGAATAAATAGATACTACTGGATTGAAAAGACGTATTTCAAACTTTGAATGAGGTGTTTATTATTGATATTCTGAACTTTGGAATTTTGCACTGAAACAACAAGAGTTACTACATGCAAGTGGTTGTGTTTTCTGAAAGCTTCACAGACAAAAGGTGCTCGAATTAATTCCGAAATATCGAAAACCGGAACGTTTTGACAATAGTAGTTTATTTCTTCTGTGCTAATTCACATGGCAACCACAACAAGAGGATATTTTCCTTCTCATGTTGTCAAATATATTGTAGTTATATCATACGTGATGTTTTTCCGACACAAACTAGCTGGCATTTGCAACCATATCACGTTTCATGAAGAGGTTTTTAAAAGTAATATTTACCTTCGCCATAAACAAACCTGGCTTGTTGCCGCGAATTTGCATACAAATTATTATAAATTATTTGCTTTTGGTAGTGACTCCGAATTGAATGGAGGAAACCGAACCTAAATAATTGTAAAATGTATTGAAATCTAGTACGGTATATAAGCTTGGCAAATAAGCTACTTCGCTATCCAAACGTTTAAACTTGCGACAAGAGACAGCCAAGGTGAAGAACGCAGTTTCTTAATAACGTGTCATTCAAATTTCGACATGTTGGAAATACCACTATTGAAAGCAATAAAAGAGCAGCGAAGCTGGACATTTCTCTATTCAAATATCTCCTAAAAATTTCGACATATCGCCGCAAACCGTTAACCGCACTCAGACATCGCGTTATGTTGTGCGTTCCGCGCTAAAACCACTCGAGCGAAACGAGAAAACATTGGATGGGCGTTTGAGACAAACGTTATTTTGCGTGAAGGCTTGTTAAACAATTAAATTGGAACTTCCCCAGCTGATCTAAAAATGTTCCCTTCCAGAGCTGAATTCTGAATGAAAATAAAAAGAAGGTTATGAAAAAATAATGATCCGAATGCCTAAGTTGTGTGAATTTGTGACCAAATGGAAACTGTCTGTACATCGCGAAAATCCCCGCTCGTTCGCTAAAATTGTAAGCGTCTTAAATTTTGTCGAAAATAAAATATGCCCCGTATCGAGTTTTAGTTTTGACCAATTCTCGATGGGTTATCTTTCGTCGATTTGAATATCCTTACCTCAGCTTATCCCTTTAAAATTCCCATGTTCCAGTATTGAGTTACAATTTCTCTCTGTCGCAAAATCATTTAAAGTACCGTTCAAGATTATGGTCCTTAATTTTACAGTAAAAGCATGAATGAGAATGTGGTTGCGCCTAAAATATTGATGACGGGTCCGTGTATTGTATAAAATGACCTGCGTATTTTTGAGCGAATCAGCGACCGAGTTTTCGACAGACCTTTAGCTGAGTCAACCCTATCTCGAAGTGGATGTCGGGAAGGGAAATTTGCATTCGTCATTTTGACTTCCTGTGGGGATTTTCATTCAAAACTCTTTGGCTTTGTGTCTTAATTTGTCACGTATCTGAATATTTTCGTGCATTTGAATTTCTCCTGCTATGAAAGCGTTACAAATCACGCCATGAAGAATCCGTTTAGCTTGTGATCATGGTAACAGGGCTTCAATAAATGACTCTAAGACTAGAATTTTTATTTCCACGTAGTAAAATGGTTGGGAAATTTTTCACCGAAATGGCGAGGAAAATTGTTTTGCAGAACGCGCGTAGCTTAGTAACAATGATGTCAGCTTCTTTCAAAATCTTAAAAATGATTTTTGAGCTGATGGAATTAGGGATCTTTTTAATTAGTTTGAGTTAAAACAAACAACAAACAAACGTAATGTCAAGTAGAAATACTTTCTCTTTTCCTAGTGAGAATATAAGAATTTGTAGACTAGTTACGTAATTAAATTCAGTCGACTTTCAATTGTGTAAATTAATTAAGGAACTAGCATGGCAATCGCCTGAGGGCAACTTTATCTTCTTGATGTCTAAGATTTTTAAGAAACAAACAACTCTGTCTACTTTTTAAAATTGTAAAAACGTGCACGAAAAACCAAGATTTAAAGGGCTTTGAAATAAACGTATGAAATCCGTAACTCACTTCTACCTAACGACAGCCAAGTTTGTGTCAATTTGTATTTCGGCACGAATCACGGCAATAATTTGCACAAATCCACCTGCTATATTTACTATAAGGAAGAAAAGATAAAATTTGTCGCCGCGTTTCGATTGAATCGGTGACAATTCTACATGTCGGTAAAGCACTCATTTTTGGGGGCTAATTTTGTTTACACCTTTGCACATTTGTATTCAGACGGTGTTCCATCAATGAAACAGGAAGTTTCTTTGTAACTCTATATAAGTAAGAATACATAATACATTGTTAATCCATTCTCTTCCTGGTGATCAAACATAAACGAAATTCTCGAAAACTCGTCGATTTCGAGCGAAATGACTGTTTGGAATTTGTGCGCAATAAACGTCGTCCACTTGTCTGCTGACATTCGCATTTATTTTTTTTTTTTTTGTAATTCATCTTTGGGGACAATGTCACAAAATTATCCAAACGGTATGAGCAAATTAACTCCCTGTTCAAATGGGTAAGAATAAAGATTTAAACAAATCACTTTTTGCGATGCTATTTGTCTGTTTTCTACCTCAAAATAGAATCGATCCTATCAGGAATCTTTGCCATATTTTTTACAGTTATATTTTGAAAGTAGCAGGTCCACTTTAACTCACCTTCCCTTCCACCCTCCCTCCGGTTATCCCTTTGTGCACCATACACGTTGGCTTTTTCAAGCGTGACGCTCACGTCACGTTACCACGCGAGTCGTCACGAGTCACGTCCGATGACAGACACAAACCTTCCTTAGCCGGATATTTTGAACCTGGAAGTTAGAATGTCTATCTGCCCTATAGCCGATTGAAACTAAATTTATCTACGTTTCAAGGCCTATATTAGCTGATCACTAATCCATCCGCCGATTTAAGGCGAGTTCTTAGTGAATGGTTAGTACAAGTCAAGGATTGTGCGGTTTGAAATAATCATTGGCGTAAAGTTCTGCCTGATCGCATCTTCCGAATGAATCAATTTTCATACTCAACGTAAACAGTCTAAGCTTTAAAAAAATACAAAGTAAATGAAGCAAGTTGAAAAGCAGAAATATCTGGAGGAACTTTTACCTTATTTGTAGGCTTTGATCACGTCCTAAAGGCAAACAAATGAATAAAGTCCATCGTAACAAATTTGTAACTCTTCTGATCGGATTTCACAGTAAGTCTGGGTCCGATTCACGGAAATGACATAATCGTTATATGTCAAGGAAATTATTAACCAGATTTTAGTGTCTCGTAGCAATCCCGGAACACGATACTCGATAAAAACAGACTTCCT